CCCTCTCTCTCTCCCTCTCCCTCTCCCTCTCCCTCTCCCTCTCTCTCTCTCTCTCTCTCTCTCTCTCTCTCTCTCTCTCTCTCTCTCTCTCTCTATCTGGTTCGTCTCAAAATGTTTTAATTATACCGCAATTAAAAACAAATTTTATTAGTTGCCATATCCATTAGTCCCTTCCAAGGATTTTTCTAGTATTGCCTTTACTTTGAAATGCAGCAAACTTTAACAAAAGCAGTAGAAGAATTTTTATGTGTAAAGAATGTTATATTTTATTGTAAAGTATGCTACATTTTTAAAATAAAAAATTCTCGTATATTAACAAGGTTATGAAGAAACAGAGAAATTATAGTCTAAATTTCTTGGAAAATGAAAAGAACGAATATTTTTACTCAAGCAATAACAAAAATATTTTCTTATAAGGCCCTATTAATATTGCCTTATAAGGACCTATTAAATCATTTGTTACACACATCTTGTCTTTCTATCCCTACTGCGGCCCGATTAAAGGTAAAGAAAAATAATCAGATCCTTGCCAGAGCCCTATTAATTTTTCTACTCGCGGGGAGTCGCGATAAGAGGAGAGAAGCTCGCTGCTCGCGAGAGAGCGCGAGAGAATGAAAATTTTGCCGCCTGCCCGGCGCAACTCTCGTTCTCTCAGCGGCCAGGAATGTCCCCGCTACGCCTGGCCGTCCCTTCGGATTCCGTCGCAAGGGCGGAAAATTTGCGAGGCGCTTTTCCCGAGAGAAGCCGAGAGACGACTCGACGGCGCGCTCGCTCGGCGAAGACTCGATATCGAATTTTCCCGCTACATAACACACGCGGGATGAATTCACGGTGTCGCGTCGCGTCGTTTCGCTCCACGTACGCCGACCAATAAATATTTAACGCGCGTCTAATGTACCGGGTGTACCGACAGTCGTTCCTCGGCCGCGGCTCCTTCGATCGCCGCACCCTCACGACTCTCTTTCTCGTCCGCGAGAACTTTGACGCATCTCGTCTTTTTCCTTCGTGCGCGATTCTCTCCCTCCCGTCTCTCGGCGGGATCCAGCGGAATCAATAGGCGAAAGGCCCGCTTCTTCCGCGCGATGCTTTTACCGCGCGAGCACAATCGCGTTCGTTCCTCGCGATTTGTATCGCTCACGCGGAAAACGCGTCCAGACAGCGCGAGTGCCGTGATCGACGATGCGGCCCTCCGCGCGCGCAGACAAAAAGTATAGCGGGAGTCGTAAGCCCGCTTCGTCGATACAGAAAGCTCGCAGGAACGTATCCTCGCGTGTTCCGCGGCGCATCCTTCACTCGCGCTATTATGCCCGGCATTGTTCGCGCTCGCGCGGTAACTTTCGTCCGAGGTGATTCTCAGCCAGATGCGAATTCCCATTTCGGCGGCCTGGCCCGCGACGTGCCGCGGACGGGCGTCGAAAGTGCTGCCCTTCCGAAGGATTTCAATGCGATCGCGTGTCGGCAGCGAATCCTGCCGACTATTTTTGCTCGCGATTAAACGATCCATTTGTTCGCCCGGACGAGTCGCCGTGGAAGACGCGCGAGTCGATCAGCGGCGACTTCTTCGCGGCTGTCAAGTCGCGTCAATATAAAAAGTATCCGTGAGAAATGGACGACTTCTTCGCGGAGAGGGCCGGCATCAATCACGTCGACTCACGCCCGATGTTCCTGGCTAGCCTTCGATCCTGTGATAATCCTGACGGATATTCTCCGCCAGCCACGATCCTCCCTCGTCCGCGCCGACCGCGAAGACGCGTCGGATTAGGCGACGGGCAAATTTGTGTCCGCTTGCCGAAACCGGCGACGGAGACGTGATCGTCTCGTCGAAACAACCGGAATAACAGCGCGAGTTCTTCAGGATCCTCACGAGCGACGAGGAAGAGAGAGAGAGAGAGAGAGAGAGAGAGAGAGAGAGAGAGAGAGAGAGAGAGAGAGAGAGAGAGAGAGAGAGAGTCTTTCGCCCTCGAGGCCGCGAGGTCATTAATCTTCGGCAGCTTTTCACTTATTAACCGGCGGGTCGGCCTTCTGTTTTACACAGAACGAGAGAGAGGGGGAGAGAGTTTCCGGTATCTTGGTGAATTATGACTGATTGATAACCGATCAGACCTGACGCACACGCGCGTGCATGAAGCGCGGCTTTGCTCGACTCCTCGCCCGAGGTGAGACGATGAGAGAGAGAGCCTTCCGCCGTCGAGCTCGCGAGACTTGTTTCTTCACGTAGTACTTGCATTTTCATCTGTTTGTTTATCCGCGGGGAAAGCACTGTAGAGAGGAGCGAGGAAGAATACAAAAGTACGGGGCGGCGCTGGGAATTGCAAATCAAGCGGGAAGACTGATTAGTAGTTTTTCCTATCGGGTGTCGCTCGGAACTGCTGAGAGAAGATGAAAGGAAACCGCGCGGAAATACAAAGCTCCCGCGCTTGGAAGGTGGTCGTCCCTTTGCTGCAACGCGCTAAATTTCGAGATTAACCCCCGAAGGCCTCCTTATGAGTAAAACTTCACCCTCCCCCCCCGCCCGCCGTGCGGATTTTTGATCTCATTAAAAAACGCAACCGCGCTGAGAATATTAATTTTGTATTTCTTCTGTTAGTAGCGGCAACATTAGAGATGTGCGAACTATTCGAATTCGAATCGAATCGAATCTAATATAATTCTATTCGATTCGAATCTGAATCCTGATGATTCGAATCCAAATAATTCGAAAATTTCGAATAGCGAATCAAATACATTAGCGTTTGCGCACATGAACTAACAAAACTGGGCTTGCATGTGAACCCTTAACTTATAATTAACTTAACCTATAATTAATAACTTAATTATAAATTACTTTAAATATTTAAATATATATTTTACTTTAAGATGATGTTACAATATCAATATTCCCTTTCATATTAAAATATCTGCTATCATTATTCGCATGTTTAGTAGTCATATTAAATTTTTTAATGATTCGATTCAATTTCATTCGATTCGATTCGAATTCTAACGAAATTTCATTGATTCGATTCGATTCGAATTCGAATTTAAAAAATGAGATTCGATTCGATTCGACATAAAAATTCTTGATTCGCACATCTCTAGGCAACATTATAATGAAACAAATCGCCGCTCGTCGCATATGCTTTGCTACAAACAATAACGAGAAAAGTTAGCTCGGGCTGGTGTTTGGCGGCAGTTCTTAAGGGTTGGTCGAGATTCAGACAGAATCACAAACTTCGAGACGTCTGACGATTTCGACGTCGAAGAGAGCCGTCAGAGTCGCGCGATGACACTTTTATTCAAGCATTTACGGCGGGTTATTTTCGGCTCGTGTCAAAGTGTGTCGACCCCGCGAATAAGACGAGCAAGCGAGTAAGCGCGGGGGAGTGAATAAATAAATTTACACGTGTCGCGACGACACTCGACGCGAAGACACTCGCGTCCCGGTAAGAACCGGCTCGAACTGCGCGGGAAGTTATGCATAAACCATATTGTTACAACCTCGCAGCCCCCTGAATACGTTACGCCGAACACGTACTATTCCCCTTCCTCCCTCTGCCGCCCCCTCCCCCATGCGCCTAATTTTCCACGCTGATTATAACCAGTCCGCTCCGCGGCTTTGAATATTCATTGTGCGATTCTGACAGTTCTCTTTGACACCGAAATCTCTTTGCGCGCACAGATGGGGTGCGAGGAGCGGCGAGGGGAGGGAGTGATGGAAGGGGATCGACGTGTTTTCGCGGTTCATTCATAATACAAATTCACGTCGTACGCGACTTCCCTCTGTATTTCCGCTGATTCATAATCTCGTGGCGTCCCTCAAGCATCGATGGAAAATTCGGCAACTTCCCCTCCCTCCCTCCACCCCCGTGTGTACCGGAGAACGTAAATGCGTGCATATGCATGAGAGAGCGAACGAGCCGCGGAAATTGCAGCTGATTGCGTCCCCGACGCAAGAGATACTACAAATGCACGCGACTCGAATTTCGAGCTGTTTGATTCTTCGCCGACTTACTCACCGCGCGATGAATATTCCTTCGCGCGCGCGAGCGGCCGATTCTCTTCCTTGTTTCCTTCTGATTTTTTTATCGTCGTGCGCGCCGCTGCGCTCGCGAGCGTGTCGCGCGCGACGAATTTCGCTGGAGACTACCGCGATCTCATCGACGATCCGCTCGTTTTGATAACGCGATTCAATTTCTCGGACAAAGGAAACGCGCCTCTGCAGCGTATACAAATACATCCCCGTAAGTCCCGGCACTCCCCTTATCGGGGAGAGACTTCTTTTTCGCGAGGGGAGAGACTCCGCGCTCTCGAGTTTGCCCCGTCTGAGTGAGCAAACGAATTTACGTGCTTCTTACTTTGAATCCGCGTCTTCACTTTCGTCCGGCGGCGAACAATGCGGCCGAGTCGCCGTCGATTAAGACGGTAGGACATGATTGGCTCCCGTCGTTGAATCAGGGTTGTTAGTCGTGTGCAAAAGTTTTGGCCCTTTTCTTCAGCCCTCTAATGGAATTATTTTTAATTGAAATATATTATGTTTTTGCAAGGTTGGTATATTGAACCTTACAAAATATTTCAATTTAAAATAACTACACTAGAGAGCTGGAAAAAGGACTAAAACTCTTGCACACATCCAATGCAATGGCCGAAGTGGAATCGGTTCTCCAGCAGGAAGCGGTTCATCCAAAAGAAAATAATAATTTCAAAACAAGCGGAATCATCTAAATTTTAGAGGATTTTATTCTTACATATGACCTCAAGAGGATTCCTCTGAGATTGAGAGGAAAATTAATTGATACAAGAGGAAACCTCTTGAAATAAGAGGAAAACAGTTAGAATAATATCTAATAAACTTTAGACGAACGGCTCGCTTTAATCGCTTTATCGGAAGAGGAATCCTTTTCCTGTGAAAGGCTTCGCTTAGAACATGAGACTATGGGAAATCACTTTACAAATAGAATACTTCTTTTTTGGGTGTTCGTAAGTACAGATTAATCACGATCTTCCTCGTCTTTTTTCTCCAGACGGACTACAATCGACACCTGGAACAGCTGTACGAGCGCGTGGCGAGTCTTCTCATCAACAGCCTACGAGCAAGGATAACCGTGGATAAATTGGAGCAGGTAGCCGAGCTCCATGAACGTCTGGAGCACGTGCGGCGCTTGTTCGGTAAGTAGACGAAATGTTATCCCACCGCCGAATCCCACAGTGACGAATTTTCATAAAATGCTGGCCAAAACTGTAAAATTGTTTTTATTAGTGTCCAAATTAGAACTCAAAGATTTCTAAGGTCACGAATTATGAATCGATGTGTAAATTATGAAAAATTACATAAGACCGAATATAACGGGACGATATTTTAAAACTTTATTATACATAGAACAAACATGTCTTGCAATTTGATTGCACTAAAACTGCACATTAACGTAGATAATCAGATGTCTATTTTTCTTGATTAACAAAATATCAAGATTTTTTAGATTATAATAAATACAATTAAATATAATTAAATATTCTAACACATAGCTATGATATCAACTTGACGTTGATATGACTGTGCTAAAAAGAAAATATTAATATAATATAATTGCAGTCAGCGATTTTTCGGAAACAATATCTAATTTAATTGAAATTTTTTTATCAAATTTTAAATTATAAAAAAATTAGTCACAACAGATACATTTGTCTTTTTTGGGTTTAAAGTATTAGACTTGAAAGAAAAGTTATATAGGCTTGAAACTCTAACCTTTGTACACCTCTTTTATACGCAATCGCAAATATTCGCAAACTTTATGTCATTTGATAAGATACTAAATATACCATGCTTACAGCTTGACAGGATTGCGCTGAATAAGCAACTATAATAGTACATTTAGAAAAAATTGTATAGCAAATTCTACATCTTAGATTACATGACTCTAAAAATTTTATAATTATCAGAATAAGAAGAATGGATGATATAACATATTCTACTAACCTTCAGAAATCGAATGCATATTTTGGTATATATTTTGAGAACGTATTTCTATGCGTCTTTTTAATCTGATGCTGTCACAGCGAGTAAACGAGCAACGTTAAAAACATGGAACATCAGAAACACGCTACGGGCCATTCCGAGGCAGGAGAACGATGGGAATTATATCATAATATTGCAAAAATATTGGACTTTTGACCAAACATATGGTACAAAACTTGGGAAGAAAGCTTTTATTTTTTAGATTTTGGCCATACTTTTAAGAAATTTCGCCACTGTGCGCCGACCGGCACTTTCTCTCCCGAGAGAAAGCGAGAGAAAGAGAGAGAGAGAGAGGGTAGATGGTGACGATTTTCTTGAATCGGATAATAATAAAATCTTACGACTTGCCGTCTGTTTGCGGTCACCAGACGAGAACGTGGCCGGCAGGACAATGGCCGCAGAAATCCAGCAGTTCCTGCACAGGGTTGAAGAACTGTCGAACCTGGCAGCGACGTTGAGCACCTGGGAGCCCAGCCTCGAGCCGGAACTGCGGGACATCCAGTCCAGGTTGAGCAATTTGTCGGACCTCGTGAAGCAGGACAAGTGCCTGAATGCCGGCGGCAAGTTTGAATGGGTAGACAGCGTGCTGGTGAAGGTACACTCAATGAACTCTTGCAGCTTTTCCAGAGATATTTCTTTTTTTTTTCTCTTTCCACCTCCACGACGAGGTCGAACTACTCGCTCAAACTTCATTCATATTTTGCATACCGCGAGCGATGAACGCGTCGCGCAACGCTCGGAGCGTCGCCTCATTCCACCTCGATATTTCAGCCTTGACGCGCGATGATGTAGGTGCTGCAGAACTTTTAACATCGTCAAAAATTGCGGCCACCCGGGAACTTTCGGAAACGCTCTCGAAGCCGCTCCGCTCGCACGCGTCGCATGAGATCTTCATATTTCACGCGTCCGTCCTCTTTTTCTCTCGGCCGCCGCACCGCGCCGCGCTGCCACTCCCAAAAATGTTTTCCCCGTTTAAGAGTAAATTCCACTCGCGCGTAATTGCGCAAAAAACTTGTCTATTTGCCGTGTACATTCAAGAAAGAATTATGCATGGACATGAAGCCGCTCGCATCGCACTCGTTTGCGCGGCGTTCATATTTTCATACTTGTCGCGCTCGTTTTTTTCCTTTCTCACTCGTCGTGCTCGAACATCTTTTCCCTCTTAAAAATAGATTAAACCTGCGTGTAATTGTTTAAGAAATTTATATCTCCCCCTATTTGCTCTATACGCGTTCACGAAAAAATTATGCAGAGACACGAAACCTCTCCACTCGCGCGCGCGCGTTTTCTCCCTCGCTTTGTCGTCGTTGAAAAGAAAAAAGAAATTCGTCTTGTTCAGAAACAAGACTATAATTGTCCGATGATGTTATCGCGACTCAGACGTAGGATGACTCGTGCGATGTCGTTATCTAAACGCTGTCCCTTGCAAGCTCTCTCCGTTGCCTTTTCAGTGCCTGCAGGATGGCACTTGGCTGCTCATCGACCAGGTTAATCTATGCAGCCCGGCTGTATTAGACAGACTTAATGGACTGTTAGAGCCGAACGGTGTCCTCAGTATCGGTGAGCGAGGCGTCGACGACCACGGCAACGTCATCACCGTCAGGCCTCACGCAAACTTCCGACTGTTCCTGACCATGGACCCGCGGTACGGCGAGATCTCCAGGTAATCTTTTTGTGCGATCGACTCCCCAGCGGCTGCTAACGACGTGTCCTGCTACAACGAACGATAATTTCAGGGCGATGCGCAACCGAGGCGTCGAGATTTACATGCTCGGGCCGAACGAGAAGGTCGACCACGACGCGATCGACCTCAGGTCGCTGCTGTTCAATGCCGGGATCATGAGCGAGGGATGCCGGGACACGCTGCTCACGATCCACGACAGGATGTCGCAGGAGACGCTCGCAATGGACCGTCTCAACGTGATTGACTTGCTGCACGTCGCGTTCCTGATGAGGCAGCGGGTGCTCCGTGGGTTCTCGAAGGTGCGATCAATAGAGAACGCGTGCCACAACGTCTACATGAAGGCCAGGCCTACGCGGCACCGGGAGCACCTGTTCTCCGTCGTCAGGGAGGTAATCTACCTACAGCAGATGTTCTACAACGACGACACCTTGCCGATTGACATGGACGCCGCCACGTGGAGCGTGAGGAATCTGCAGGACAATCCGGCGCTCACCGTCATCAGGCAGCAAGGCTTGCTGCTGAAAGTGGCCTTCAGGATGTATCACCGGTCGCTCAAAACGGCAGTCACGTCGACGACCAAGCCGTTGAACGTCTTCTGCGGTCTCCAAGAAGGTGGCGAGGTGTTGGATGTGGACATTAGGGACATTTTGGCCCACCTCTTGTTGAACTTTTATGAACAGTCGTCGCGGGACGACGCGCCGCTGAGGAAGACCTGGCTGTCGAAGATGCTGCCGAGCAATAAGACGACCGACGAATTCAAGGAGGACAGCGCGATGATGGCGGAAGAAATCGCGGCTTTTCACTTCGGATCTGACAATACGAGCGACTCGTTGCCCTGGGATCGATGGTGGCTCACGGGAAGAGCGGTCGAAGACGAGGGTGCCGACAACGACGTGAACAAGCTGATGCTCTTGTTGTACGCAAGCACGGCATTTCGGGGAAGCTCGATGCCGGACGTGAAGAAGCAGAAGAACGTGATATCCGTCAGGCAGTACTCTAGTATCGTATGTCAAGGTAAGCTTCCTCATCTTTTTTTTCATCCCCTTGCAATAGTTTGCATCGCCGGCCGGTCGTCACTTTGCCAGAGATGACGACCAAACCTCTGAAATAATCTTGAAGTTCTCTCTGGCGTTTGTTGTTCGTTGACTCTGATTTCTTGCCGAGACTCAACGGCCCTGATAGATTAGAAGAGCTTACGGGAATCTTTCACTCACAGGCAAGCTGCAGTCGCAGTTGACGAACCAACCGCTCATCACACACTTTGTGGAGTTCCTTTGGCGCATGAAGTTGTGCATCAACACGATCCTGCGCGACGCTAGCATGAATGTAAACCTGGACAAATACGTCGAGTTGAGGAATCACCTCACGTGGTACACGAGATTCGAAAGACTGGGCGAGATCACGCTGGTGGAAAAGACGAAAAAGTCCAAGAACATGTTCATCAATCCGAAGCAGACCTCCATGCTGCTGAGGGTGCACTACAAGTGGCTGCTAAAGTTCCTGCGCGAGCTGCGCTCGGTACTGATCAACTCTGGGTCGTGCGAGACCATCGACCAAATCCGCTCGTTGACGAACTTAACGGACCAACTGAACCGTCAACTCAAGTTAGACTACGACCCCGTCTACAAGATCTCTAAGAGAATCAAGAGATACCTGACCCTTCCGCCTCCTCACTCCTCGAACACCAGTGTAAACGTGTACTCGGAGCTTGAACAGGTGACGAAGGACCTCGAGGCAAGGCACCAGGTGGTCAGCACTCTCAGGCAAAAGCTGAAGATCGTGTCCGTGCAACTAAAGGACGTTCCGACGATGAGACGTCAGACCATCTCCCTGTGGAGCGACGTTCACTCCGGGAAGGCGGTCGACGAGGACACCTTGCTCGATGTGCTGACGGTGAAGCGGTTCTGCGACAACAGTCACATCCGTCTGCAAACTACCGCGGAGATCGAGAGCGTCCGCGGCCAAATGAACTCGCTGCCAGCCGGGGAAATGGCTCAGTTGAACGCGAGGACGCAGCTGTGGCCGATCTACGAATACATGTTTTTCTCGCTCGTCTCTTCGTTACAGAGGAAGTTGTGTCTGCAGGAGGCGATCTCCTCCACCAGCAATGTCGAGCAATGTCTCGCGAGGTACGCGGATGTAGCCAGCATACCGTGCGACCTGATAGGCCTGTTGAGCGCGATGATTCAGCCGGAGATCGAGCAGAGGCAGAAGACGATGCTATTGCCGCAACTGTTCCATCAGCTCGCGCAGTTCATCCGGCGATCTTACGCCGTCGAGAACTCGAGCCTGCTCCTGCAGTGGCGCGGTGTGACGGAGCAGGACGACGTGGAGGAGGACTTGTCGATTGCCTACGCCGCGTCTAAGGTACGTCACTGTCTCGCAGGATTTTCCTGGAGAACTCGTGCGGGATCTTTCCGGAGAAGCCCGGCTGTTTGGCTTGTTGCGAGTTTGCAGGAATTTTCGCCGGGAGCTTTCGAGACCGATACTTTTGTACTCGAGCATGACTTCACTCGGCAATGTATCGATCGTTTCCTCCTTTTCCGACGGCAGAATGTCGTTGGGAGAAAACGAGGATAATAGAATTGCGACTACGGGGTACATCGGCTTTGGCTTCTTCGTAAGAATCCCTGCAAACTTGTATTCGGGTCGAGCAAACGAACGAACCTTCCGCCCTCTCGGGGAAGCATTTTTATTGCATTTGGTAGCCATTAATACAATCGATGCTGCAGTATTTCAGATATATATATAGTCGACGTTGCAATATTTCGAAAAAGTGTAGTCGGTATTGCGATTATTCAAGTATGCTCGCGAGATGCGCAATTGTTCCTCGGGAAATCGCCGTGGAAGGGCATTAATACGGAGGTATCGGAAAGGTATCAACTCGCACTCTCGCTTGTTGACAGATGGAGGGCCACTCCAACGGGCCGATCCTGCTGAACCTGATACTGCGCCTGATGCTGAGCAAACGCGACTGCCAGAGGAAGAAGAACGTCCTTTCGGCGGTCGCGCTCGGGACGTACGCCGCGCAGACGAGTCAGCTGCAGCTGCTGAACGAGATCTTGTGGCGCAACTGTGTCTCCCTGACGCACAACTCGGCCGGCGACGACCTGGCGACGCTGAAGTATCACTCGCGTTTGTACCTGTCCGCGTTCGATCAGATGAACAGGGAGCACGACGTGGCCCACCTAGTTAGGACCGCCCTGGCGAAGCGGGGTGAAAACCACGACACCGATGTGGAAATCCGGAATTTCAACTGCTTCGGGAAGATAGAAGAGCTGCGCAGCGCGTACGACGAGATTGAGAAGCTCGACGAGAAGGACGCCGGGCGATACGAGAACATCCTCCGGTGCGGGAGAACTTGGATGTTGCTCGGTTACGTGCAATTCTCGCTTTTCGGCAACTTCGAGCCGATCGATCCGGTGCACAAGGTGGAACTGAAGCTCAAGTACCTGCAGGAGGACATCGCCGACTGCGAGAGGATGCTGTACACCGCGACGTTGCAGAGCCGCGTTCTAGGTGTGAACGTGCTCGTCCACCCGCGATTCGCGGCCACGAGGAGCCGTAGACAGCTGTTGCTGAAGACTCGCGAGCAGCTCGCTTGTCTGCAGGCCTTCAGACCGCCGTCCGTCGACTTCGCCTCGTTGAGCAACGTCTGCAGGCAGTTCCGAGACAACGTGGGCACCTACGAGCTGCTAGAGAAGCACATGAACAACCTGTATTCAATCGCCATGGAGATGGGTATCAGCCACCATGAGGCTGACCCGAGTGTCTATACTCGCGATCAGTCGATGTTCGCACGGGCGAAGGTTGTTCTGCAGGAAGCGCAAGTCTGGAACTCGTCGGTGCAAAGCTTCGCCGTGCGGCTGGAGACGAAATATCTAGTTGCGTATCCGGACATAATCCTGCCGCTGTTGACAGGCCTGTCGCAGCTGAGGCACGGTGTGTGTATGCTCATCGACGAAACTCGACGACTGTTGTGGTTGCACGAGGGCGAACTGGCCGATCTCGATTCTCAGATACACAACCTGATCCGTTTCCCAACGATCGGCCCGGGCCAAGAGAGCCTCCTGGAGCTGAGCGATCTGTGCGCCTCGAAGAACACGCGGCTTCTGGTCGACAAGAGCTCCAGCTTGGACGCGTTCGTCAGGATGCAGGAGCAATTCCTCATGCTCAAGTCGGGCTTGCAGGAGCTGCACAACCACGCGATCCTCAGCGGAGGCTTGAGCAAGTCGCTATGGCGGCACGTGGACGACCTGCTGCAGCAGATAGTTTTGGTCTGGCAGCAGCAGCAGCTGGAGAAAGAGAAACTGGCCGCCGAGAAGGAAAGTCTTTACAAGAACAAGGCCGAGAATCTCGGCGGCGGCCTGACGGAAGAGCAGGAGCTCGCCCTGGAGATTCGCCAGCTGTTCCCGACGCATCGCGACAGCGACTTCCGCGACATAGAGGACGAGCCTAGCCTCGAGCGGAGGAACGCGTCGCCTGAGTCGAAGGCAGTCGACAACTTGAGCGGCCTCATCAGCGAGCGCGACATCCTGGAGGTCCAGCGGATCCATTCGGACATGCTGACGACTCTCGTCGCGACCAAGTGGACCTGCAACGACGCCACCCCGGCGACCTCGGCGAATTACGTCGAGCCGCTGATCCAGAGATACGACACGGTGCACAGCATGCTCGACAACGTACTGCCGGCCTTGAGCAAGGGACTCTCGATCAAGCTGCACACCAGTTTGAACCTGTTGGTCGCCTTGCGGCTGCAGACCAGCCAGGAGAGCGGCTCCGAGCCCGCCGGCGACTTTTACAAGGACAGCAACGTCGAGGAAGTGAAACAGTGTCTGCCCGTGTGCGAAGCGATCCTGAAGCGCGTCCACCAGTTGCTGCAGGATTGGCCGGCTCACCCCACTCTAACATCGATACAGTCTATAATCGAGAGAATCTACTCGTTCCCAATCATCTCAGCCGTGTCCAGGTTCCTCACGGGTCTGGAGCTGCTGCTCGTCAAAATGCACCAGTGGGAGGAGAACGCTCACAGCAGCGTGAGCATGGCAGAGCAGATGTCGATGTTGACGCAGCAGATAATATCGTGGAGGAAGCTAGAGCTATCCAGTTGGAAGAGCTGCCTGGACGCGACGTTCAACGACCTCAAGTCGAGCGCGTCCAAGTGGTGGTTCTTCTTGTACGTGTTAGTGGAGAGTTACGTGAACCCGGCTCACACCTCTGCGGGAGAAACGAACAACGAGCCCATCAGCAGGCAAAAATTGGTGGAGTCGTTGGAGCTTTTCATGCAGGAGTCGTCCCTCGTCGAATTTGAGCCGCGACTGAAGCTTCTCCTGACGTTCCACTATCACGCGTGTCACTTTAAGGATAGCGAACGCAAGGACGAACTCGTGACCGTGCTATGGAACATGTACAAGTGTTACGAGCAATTCGTCGGCGACGTAGCGGCGAGGATCGCCGCGCAGAAGGCTCCCATCGAGAAGAAGCTGCGGGACTTTGTCAAGATCGCCCGATGGAACGACATCAGCTACTGGGCGGTGAAGGAGACGGTCGAAAAGACGCATCGCACCCTGCACAAGTTTGTGAAGGACTTCCGGAACGTCCTCAAACAGAATGTAGCTTCCTGCCTGATCGTGCGATCAGGATCATACAGCGCAGAGATCAACAAGGGCATCTGGGACGATCAGGAACACCGCAAGTACTCGATAAATCCCGTAGACTTCGCAGTGGCGAAGCCTTCGCAGCTCATAAAAGCGAAAATGTCGTACTGGCCGTACGACCTGCACATCAATATGATTTCGAAAGTGGAGGCGCTACAACTCAAGGCCACGAAGCTGTGCAAGGAAATAATTCTGATGAGTTCTTACCCGTGCGCACGGGCGGACGTCGAGAACTTCATCGAAGACTTCCTGAAGCAGAGCGCGCGTCTTCGGGACATGGAGGTGAACCGCAGCTTGCCCAAGGCCAAGCAGAAGTCTCAGGCAAAGAGTATCCTGCAGCAGAAGAGGACGGCGTTGGCCAACTACTTCAAAGAGCTGACTCACATGGGCGTGTCTTACCGCATCGGCGTGCTGAAGTTGAAGAACAACGCGGACTACGTGATGGACTTGACGGTGCCGCCCTTGGATCTGGCTGTGATCGAGCAGTACTTTAAGCTGAAGATCATCGACCGACACTTGCTGACGCAGTGGCGCGGCTGCGACAAGTACTACTACAAGTCCCTTACCAGACTGCACGCTTTGAACGCGATGCTCAACAGCAGCCAGACCGACCTGGGACCGCAGAATATGGAGCGTTGCCGAGGTTACTCCGCGCACATGATGCTGATGGCGCACCGTCAGAAGACGATGATCACCCGGTCGTTCAAGTACTTCTCGTATCTCCGCTCGTCGCTCTCCAATCTGTCCGAGAGCAGCGAGGAGGATCTGAACGCGACGAAGCAACATGCCGGCCGAGAGTGCGCTACGAGGCTGAAGATGTTGCTGGTAACCTTGAAGGCTGGGTTCGAGCAGCTGCTGGTGTACCTGCAGTGCTGCCCGACGACGGACGAGCACCGAGCCGCGCTCACGTTGAATGCGGACGCGTTGCCCATCATCGCCGCATGCCAGGACGGCGAGGTCTACGCGAACGTGAACAGCCTGCTGAAGGAATGCTTGAACTCGGTCAAGGTTACCGCGACTCGCTTCCGCGACCTGTTTGTACCGCTGGAAGTGATGGCGAGCGATCCTGAGCTCATCGCGTTCTTGAGCTCGAGACATTTGGAGTTTCTGAAGCAATGTCGCTCCACGATGGAGAAGCTAAGAGCGCGGTGCGGCAAATTGAGAGGGTTGTTTGAGACTGCGGACGTTGCGCATCCCATCCTGGAGAACGTGGCGTTCTTGGACGAGAAGATGGAGGACTTCGTGCGCGGACTCGACGAGTTGGAGCGTCCACGAGAAGCCGCGGAACTCGAGGATAAAAAGTGGCCGTGGGATTGCAACAGCGACGTTTGGTCCTATAAATCTGACCTGGAGCAGTTGATGGAGACGACGTTGCTCGTTGTGCAGAAGAAATACCACGTCGTTTTGTACGAAACCACCATATCGAAGTGGGAGAACGTGGGAAACAATGACGACGCAAGCGAAGAAATGATCGAGAAGGGTAGATTGAAGAAGACGCTCGTCGACGCTCTCGAGATGGACGTGAAAGAACTGCAGCTGCTTAAGATATCTGAGTTATTCAGCAGTCTCTTGTCGATGATACATAAGCTCGAGCCGCAATTGGCGAATCATTGCATCAGGTGAGAGTTGTCGACATATGTGGAAACTTGAAGTACTCTAAGAGGCCTGTTCGTTGTCGAAAAACTCCTAGAGCTGGTTGTTCCAACTTCTTGATAAGTGAACTGATAGTTAAATCATATGTTTCTCTTTATTTTTCCCTTAATTTAGACAAAGACAGACGTATGATTTAACTATCAGTTAACTCACCAAGGAATTGGAACAACCTGCCCCTCTAAACTCAATTGATTGTATACTAACGAAATTATCCTTGATAACGAAAACTAATTGGAAGTTATCCTTGATTTATTTGTGACACTTTGTAATTTGTTGAAATTTTTTGCACAACATTTTCTGCATATCTTTTTTAAAACCTCTGCAAGTGGTACAATTTTGGCAACAAGTTTCGCGAATTGTTTACTGTGTTTCCTTTATCGTGCCGATGTGATTAATCTAGCAATAAGCAATAAGAGCAATAAGAGCAAGCAAGTAATCTAGCACAAGCAATAAGAGGATAAAAATAAAATACAAACAATTTGTATAAATACTTGTTTAGTTAGTATAAAAGACTAAGAAAGATAATTTTTAATCAAGAAAATAAACATTGAAATTACAAAAATATAATATTTTTGTTTTTAGAATCTTAATTCTAAGCAATTCATTAAAATCACAGCTTATATGAAAAACTAAAAAAATTTTTTACTTATAAAGATAAATATTAAAATTACTTATTAAAATAATTGCTCAATTAGTTACATGCATTTTTATATAAAGTTTATTTTATATTTAAAAGTTGAATTTTTATATTTATAAAATCATTGTCACAACTTAAAATTACAGAAATAAAATATTTTTATTTTTAAAAACTTTGTTATAAAAAATAATAAATAAAAACTTGTTTTTTTTTTTTTTTAATTAAAACAGAAAATAAATGTAAGTAGCACAAAGGAAAGAAAATAAACTGCTTTATATAGATATTCAGAGATTAGTAAAACTTATCAACGTTGTCGTAATTTCCAGACTACTCCTCAGGTGTTCACCGCTGCTGGAGCAGTACATCCTGTTTGTTCAGTTTTACCTGAACGAGCAAGTAGCGTCGTTTCGTGTCACGTGCAAAATGCTGTACCTGCAGTTGAACGTCTTCTTGGATCTGGCAGCGAACGGTTTCTGCGTGCCGAAGGACTTGGATCTCGAGGAAGGCAAGACTGACGAGTCAGGCGAGAATACTGGCAAGGGTGGGATGGGTTTGGCCGACGGCGAAGGCACGAAAGACGTCTCCGACAAGATAGAGTCCGAGGACCAGCTGGAGGATGCGAGACCTGCTGATCAAGAACAAGAGAAGCAGGACGACAAGGAGTGCAAGGAGGAAGAAAAAGGTATCGACATGTCCGAGGACTTTGATAGCAAGCCTCAGGATATGGAGAAAGGTGACGACGACGACGAGAGTGACGATGAGAGTGACAATGACGACCTGCAGAACGAAATGATGGATGAGATAGAGAACGATGACGAGATACTCAATGAGAGGATCTGGGGTGACGATAAAGAGGAATCGGCTGAGAAAGACAACCAGCAAAAGGACGAGGGCAAAGAAGGAAAGGGCGAACAAACCGGCGAGAAGGAAATGGGCGCGAAAGACGACAAGTCAAGGCAGAACAACGAGGACGACCGCGATGCTGATTGCGACGAAGATGAACGACAGGAAGAGAAGAAGGAGATCAACGAAATGAACGAGCCGGAGGTAGACGAAGATCAGATTGACCCGTATCACGGACAGCACCAACCCGAACCGGAACCGGAGCCGTTTGACTTACCGGATGATTTAAATTTGGACGAAGAAGACGCCAAGGAGGAGAATGACGCTAATGAAGAAAATCCGTTCGACATCGATGCGATGAAGGATGTCAAACCGCCACCGGAGAGAATGGACCTCGAGGAAGAGGCCGAGAAGAACGAAGAGACCGATCCGGGTGAGGACGCCAGTGAGGACGAGGACGAGGACGAGGACGGCAAGAATGTGAACAAGGAAGGTCAGCAAGAAGAGACGGAGGATCCGGAAGCTGACAAAGAGGAGACCGGACAAGACAACAAGGACGGCGCGGAGGCCCCGCAGGAAGACGACGAGGACAAGAAGGACCAGGAGGAAGAAACGAAAGAGGAGAAGGCAGCACCGAGTGCGGACGACGCGAGCACTCAAATGGACACTGCCGAGCAGGTCGAGCAGACGAAGGAAGGCTCGCGGGACGCGGTAGCACAAGCACATAGCAACGAAGACCAGCAAGAAGCGTCAGCGGAGAACAGCCAAGAGGAGAAGGACGACAAGGGCACTGGCCAGTCGCAGTCGACTCAGCAGCAGGAGAGCGGCCACTCGGGCTCTTCCAAGCAACAGGTAGCCCCGATCTCGCAGAGGGACTCGGCGGAGCCGATGAAGAAAAGGAAGAACCTGGGACAGAGCAACGAGGACCACAGTCTCTCGGACGATATCTCGCGGACGCCGAAGAAGTTGAAGGTAATCTACACGCCGGACCAAGTGTCGACCAACGAGAAACAAGACGAGACCGAGGGTGAGGTTGACGACGGCAACAAAGCCGAGATGTACCAGCATGTCAAGGATTCCGAGGCATTCGACGACTACACGATGGACGCCGCGACGGAGGACCAAGCGAAGCAGCAGGCTCTCAAAGCCCGGGAAGACGAGGAGAATCGCGAGGAGCAAGAAGACGACATGGACGTGGAGATGCACCAAGACGAAGAGGATATCATAGAGGCCGAAGTGGCCGAGCAACGGCCCGAGAAAGTGCGCCAAGCCACAGAGGACAAACGCAAGGATGCGAAGCAACGTGAAGGAAACAACGAGGAGGAGAGCAATCAGACGGACACGGAGTTGGAAGGGGAAACGGTGGCTACGATGACGGTGCAGAGAGGCAACGAGTCCATGTTCTATACGAAGATGGCGAACTGGGTGGATAACGAGCTCAGCTCCGGTCACGAAGAGAGAAAGCGATTCGAAGTGGAGAAGATGCTGGGCGAATGGAAGCAGAAGCCAACGACGGAGGAAGCAGCGGCCGCGTGGAACTGTCTGTCTTCGGTCACGGACACAGCCGCCAGAGACTTGTCGGAGAAGCTGAGGCTGGTACTGGAGCCTACGCAAGCGTCGAGGCTGAAGGGCGACTACAAGACTGGCAAACGCATCAACATGAGGAAGATCATCCCTTATATAGCCAGTCAATTCCGCAAAGACAAGATCTGGCTGAGGCGCACGAAGCCGTCGAAACGCGACTACCGCATTGTTCTGGCGCTCGACGATTCCAAGAGCATGGCAAGTAACCATGCTCAAGAGATGGCCTTCGAGTCCTTGTCGCTGATCTGTAAAGCCTTGACGTACTTGGAAGTAGGGCAACTCGGCGTCGTAAGCTTCGGAGAGCAAGTACAGATGTTGCACCCTTTGGGAGAAACTTTCACCGAGCAAAGTGGGTCCAGGTACGTTTTCCTCTATTGCTATTTCAAGTCCTAATTGAAACGTGTAGTTGAGTCTTAGACATATGAATCACAAGTGATTCATATCATTTCATCCAACAGCACGAATGCTCAAATGGTCGTTTCTATTTACAGGCTGATACAAGAGATGAGATTCGACCAGAAGAGCACCAAGTTTGCGGAAGTGGTAGACTTTACTGTAGATATGTTTGAAAGTCGACACACCACATCCGACAACGCCAAACTGATGATAATATTATCGGATGGCATGGGAATATTCTCTGTCGGAATAAACCAAGTAACTCGCGCCGTGAGGAGAGCTCGATTGGCCAACATCTTCACGGTGTTTATAATACTTGACAATCCATTAAACAAGGTAATTATATCTCTAGGATACCACGCGTTACTAATAATGACATGTTGCAATATTCCTCACTTGGCTTAATCAAGTATCGGTGAGAATTAATCGATCTCTTTGTTCCTTCCAGCACTCCATACTGGATATTCGTGAGCCCGTGTTCAACGGAAATAAATTGGTGGAATTCCGCTCGTGCATGGATGACTTTCCATTCCCGTTTTACATGAATGTCCGAGATATAAACACATTGCCGAGTGTCCTGAGCGACGCTCTGCGGCAATGGTTTGAAGTTGTCGGAAAGACCGACACTTCATAAATTTTACCAAATTTAGGACAAATGTGTATACAACATATGTATATACAATATATGTATATACATATATATATAGGAAATATGTATATATAAAAAATAATGCAATACATGAAATATGTCAAATACAGAATGAAAGAAGTGTTGTTTATTATCAATTATATAAAGTTAATTAATTAATTCCTTCCTAATATTAATTAATAGTTCGTAGCATCGATCAATAGTTCCTTTACGCTCATTGGTTACATTCCGATATCACCACGACTTCTCCCTTGCTAAATATCAGAATTCACGGTAAAAAACATAAATACATTTCAGTAACTCTAAATTATAATCACTGCACTTGTGGTACCAATTCACTTACGGCTCATCTTATGTCACATCGAGCTAGATTATATCGCGATTATTAAAAGGGTTAAACTGTAGTTAAACATTTTGTTGTTTATAACTAAAACCTACTTTACTTTTACTTATATATATGTATATATATATATATAGAGCAAACTATTCATCCTTTCAAGAATATACTATATATAATATATATTAAAATTTCTATTGCTTCTTATAGTATAATTTTATAATATAATTAATTATACATGACACTATATATACTATAACACTGCGCATGTATATATATATATATATGCATATATATATATATATCCTTACATGTAGAACAGGACAGCATTCATTTTTGTAATTAATTTTCAATTTTCCAATATTTAAAAAGTAATTTGAGAATTTATAAGGAGCAGCGACAAACTTCTCAAGGTAATTCGTGAACTCCAAAGAACTCTCCGGGAAAAGCAACCAACAGAAACATATTTAAATAATAATTTTATCTCTGTATTATACGAGAGATAAGATATACGACCAGAAGAGTACCAAGTTTGCGGAAGTGGTGGACTTTACAGTAGACACGTCTGAGAATCAATACACCACATCCGATAACGCCAAACTGATGATATTATCGGATGAGGATATTCTCGGTCGGAATACGACAAGTAACTCGCGCCGTGAGGAGAACTAGACTGGCCAACATCTTCACGCTGTTTATAATACTTGATAATTCATCAAATAAGGTAATTATATCCTTAAGATACTACGCGTTGCTAATTATAACATGTTGCGATATTCCTCACTCGGCTTAATTACGTATCGGCGAGAATTAATCTATCTGTTCTTTCCAGCACTCCATACTGGAGTGCTCCATTCGTGAACCCGTGTTTGACGGAAATAAATTGGTGGAATTCCGCTCGTGCATGGATGACTTTCCATTCCCATTTTACATGAATGTCCGAGACAAACACACAGTGTTAGCGACGCTCTGCGGCAATGGTTTGAGGTTATTGGAAAGACCGACATTTCATAAAAATCAAATTCGGAACACATGTATATATACACATATATACAAGAAATGTGTATATATAAGAAATAACATAATAAATGAAACATGCCAAATACAAAATGAAAGAAGTGTTGTTTAATTAAGTGCCGGACAATTGATCGTTTCAACTGCACAGTTTCAAGTTTGGCTTTGTATTAAAAATGAACTTATTGTGATTTATGTAGCACAATACGAATATGAAAGCTGTCCCGTCCTGACGTACAGATATCAGTGAAAGTACAGCGAAAATACTACAACAAAGATTCAACCACTTCAGACATGAAAATCATTCCGACACATTTTATTATATAAACCTCCCTTATTAATTCAATCCTATTCTCTAACAAGCTGCATTAGAACGTGAACATTTCAAGTGTTTTGTACTAAGCTCAGCCAACTTCTGCCGTCTTCGTTGATGGATGGAAATCTGATCTGCACCAAACGCACGTTCTTATCATCCATGTCTTTATATTCCGTAGTGGCAGGTACGACTATCGTCTGAGCCTCCTCGGTCTCGTTATAATTGTATACCTCCTCGACATGTTCCACAATATCAGTGTCGTTTTTAACTCCAATATCGTTCTCCGTGAAATCCATCTGGAGAAAGTCACATGATAATTCAAGTATGACGGAAGGCTCCTAACTGACTAACTTCTCGCAACGTATCACCATCGCTGATCACGTCGAGCCGTTTAAAAAGATCTACTCATCCATACCTGAGACTCGACGACCAGGTGATCCACTTCCGTGTCTACATTTTCTTCCGCGGGTATATTCAATACTCCCTCCTCCGTGTATATCGGATCTTCTTCTTCTTGATGTATGATTACATGATCCTTCAACTCGGTCACGTACAAGCTGGCTTCCAACTGAATAGACAGTAACCAACGTTGTTAGTGAAATAAAATAGCGCGTTTCTTTCTCCGCGTCGTATGTAAAGGTGAAAACTAACGTTTACCTGTTCCTGGTCAGTTTCCTCCATCAACACTTCGTTGGTAGCGTTGGTCGGAATCGTTATAACTTGATTCTCTTCCTCAGTCGTCGTCAGTCGTGGCTGATTCACGACTATGGTGTCGTTTAGGTGGTTCTGAATAACCGACAATACGCGATGCATCAATGTTACCGAAAACCTTGCCGTACGATCACCAACATCACCGTAAAAGCTTCTCGTGCATTACCTGAGCTTGCATATGCGCATACAGCAGCGGTTTCCTCATGAAGCCCACGCCGCACACCAGACACTCGTATGGCTTTTTGTCGCTGTGTATAAACCTATGCGCATTTCTGTTGTCCCTGCTGTTGAACGCTTTACCGCATACCTGGAAGAACGAAGTGCGTTTGCGCCCGGTTAGAGTGAGGCGACATTGGAAGCGAAAGGTGGAGGAGCGGTAGCCGGAAGAAACGTTTGAGACGTTTGACACGCACCTCGCAATGAAATGGTTTCTCGCCTGTATGTATACGCATATGTTTCTTGAAGTGCTCAGGGTATACAAACATGGCTGAACACAACTCGCACTTGTACGGTCTTTCACCGGTATGCGCCGCTTTGATATGGTAATCTAAAAGTCTTCTCCTCTTGAAGCCTTTACCACACTCGTCGCATTTGTAACGCTTGTCGTTGTAGTGCGTCGCCCGCTTGTGGGACTGAAGGTTCGATCTTTGGCTGGGGACAAAGGCGAGTTCGCGCGATTAACGCAGAGAATCGGAGCAGCGGTGAAGCGCGCAAAAGCTACGAGATCCTCTGCGAATATTCACCTGAACGTCGATCCGCAAAACTCGCACTGATACGGCTTCTCGCCCGTATGGACGCGCTCGTGATCGCGTATCTCTGCTTTGCGAGCGAACGCCTTGCCGCATATTCTACATTTGAAAGGCTTGTACCCAGAATGTACGATGTTGTGAACCTCCAAGCTGTACGGAGAACCAAAGGCCTTGCCTGTAACGAAACGATGCTATGACGAGACAGTTACGAGCATTGTTGGCGTCTCACCGCATTGTTGGCACACGTGTCCCTTCACGCCGTTGTGCGTCTCCTCGTGTCGATTAAGATTTTGCTGGCTCAGAAATGTTTTGTTACACAAATTACACTGAAACGGACGCGGCCGCACGTCGTGCGTCTTCGCGTGCGCTTTGTACGTATACTTGGACGCAAAGTCCTTGCCGCAAATTTCACAAGAGTACGGCCGTGCGCCTGTGTGCACGTTAATGTGCTCGTTCAGCAGGTTCTTCGAGCTAAACAGTAAAGTTCATCCGTTAAATACATCCCTACTCCCCCGCGAATTTTACAGTTACTCTCAACTTGCCTGTATTTCTTGCCGCACGTCTCGCAGGTCCACGATTTCACCTGTGGATAATGTATCCTTTTGTGAATCCGGAATAATCGCAGGTTGCTGAATATCCGGTTACAAATCTCGCACTGAAAGTCACCCTCTTCCTTCGCCACATGATCATCGAGATGCGCGGACAGCTCGTTCCTTTTTCGAAAATCTTGCCCACACACGTCGCAAATATACAAACGAGTCTCGTGCACGTTTTTCATGTGCATTATAACCGTCTTTGCATCCCCCGTCATCTTGTTCTCCTTTTCCAAGCATATCAGACAACTGTACATGGAACCATCTCTAATTACAATCTGAAAGAGAAAGAGAAATATCCATGTATTATGATTCCGCTGGGCTACGCAGCTGGCCAGTCGCTACGATACTTCTTTCATGTACGCACTTGGTCCATATTTTCTAATTTTACATCTTCTTTACTCTTTTTCACTTTCGTCCTAGAGCTGTTGCCAATGTCATTTTTTGTTTCATTCAGTTCCTCAGCGTCAACTGGAGCATTCTCAGTGTTAAGCATGGATTCTTCTTCTTCCTCCTCCTCCTCCTCTTCCTCCTCCTCCTCCTCCTCCTCCTCCTCTTCTTCTTCTTCTCCTTGCGCATCATCCTCCATTATATAGTCCTTATTTTCTTCTATATCCTATTAGAATTCAACATGTTACCTTATTATATGTACGCTAATTATTCAATTCTTATAAAATTTTATAAGATTTCATACCTCCACTATGGTACTTTGACTTTCTGTATTGTCTGCGTAGTCATGTTCATTATATTCTGTTTCGTTTTGAAACTCAGAAAATCCCCTCGTCTTCTTGTAAGTCTTAAATAGATTAGTCTTAATTTTTGCTAAAGTATCCTGAAGTTCATCATACTAAAACAATACAGTAAAGGTAGTTGGATTTTTTAGTGGAAAAACTCTATCACAAAAGATACTTGTGCTTTACCTCATTGCAAAGTTTGTAACATTTTTTACAAATCACAAAGGAAAGTACAGAGTCCTCACTGATATCAATCTCCAAGATAACTGCTATAATATCAATCAGCAGCTTCCCAGAGTCAGTGGTGGTGTTGAAGATGCGTACACTGTTTCTAGTGGACACGCCAACTTTGTTGTCGCAGATCAAACAGTGATTGCAATCTTTATCAGAATCGGCCGTCATTGTCCCTGCTGCGAACAAAAGGTAACATTTCATTCAAAAGGAAGCAAGCATGTAGCGCAACAATTTACAATGTACAGGGCAGGTTGTTGCAACTTTTTGGCAAGTTAACAGATAATTAAATCATATGTCTGTCTTTGAATTGAAGGAAAAACAAGGATGAACATATGATTTAACTATCCAGTCAACTTACCAAGGAATTGAAGCAACCGACCCACAGACAGACATGTCGTTGAGACTCAACAACGGTACTACAAGCTTGCGAGCTTCTGATAAGCTCACAAGCCCGCGACAGTCGTGCCTGAAGAACGCGGAAGGTTCTCTGCAGTTATAATCGCCAATTAACGACGCGTCGGCAGCGATCGCCGGGACGATCTCTTGTCGCATCGCTCAGCGAGCTTAGCGCTAAATATGGCCGTACAAGCTTCCACGGATTTCTTCACCCATTTTCGCTCCTTCATTTCCGCATTTAGCGCCGAGGCCCGGCGCGGCTCGCACGGCGTTGGTACCGCTCGTTCAATCGAGCTGCGGCTGTTTCGCGCTAAACGTGGCCGTCCGTTTCTCTCGAGCCATATTTATGTCCAATGAGTGACCTTCACGAGTGTCACCGCGCGAAGGAAACTCAAGCTCGACGCCGGACGGTCACGTTCAAATCACGACAGGCGAAACCGTGTTGTCAACCGTCGCCGTAAACACGCTCGCCACAACGCGAGCGAGTTCCCGACGAGAGAAACACAACACGGCTGGCGGCACACGAGAGCGCATACGGACAGACAGATAACAATGACGAGACAACAGGCAAAAAGTTGCCAACACTGACTTGAAATTTTCGTTCCCCGGTACGGGCGATTGGTAGCGATCGTGAAGTAGCAATCGAACGGTCCCAACGGCGACGTTCAGGTCCGCATCACAGCGACCGGCCGTCGTCGAGCGGAAACGCTGAGAATCCTATTCCGGAGAGAAAATGGCGACGCGTTGTCGACCGTGCTTGCACGTTCTCACACGTCCCGTTCGTTTTCACAGTTGAACGACAGACGGGATAGAGGAGATCCGGAGAAACGTCGCATCCGCGCGTCGCGCGCCCTCTGCCGAAGATGCGTCGCGACCGACAGCCGGCCGAGATTTTCCCGCGCGATGCACGTGCGTCGGGATCGAGTCTCGAATCGATCTCGCCGCTCGGAACCTCGAGATGGCTTTTTCTACTCTTGTTTTTTTTCAACAGCACTTTGACCCTCGACCATACCCTTGCGCGCCGAGAGTTCATGGCAATTCTCATCGAGCTCGTTGAGGCGATCGAACGGGGACAAGATTGATCTGTTTTTACCAGATGGAATTTGAAGAATGATGCATAACGTAACATAGATGTACATACACGTTAAATAAACTTACGTGTTATTTGTAAATTATTAACTTTGCTCTAATCTCTTTTTACAGTTGACTGATGTGCGTATTCATTGCATCACCGGAATCGTATCGCGTTATCGCTCAATTCGATTAATCATGTCTATATTTAAGTTAAGTAGTCTCGGTTATAATCGGCGTTTTTTAATCAAGACTCGAACCACATATCGACCCGTTATTTTGGCGGACCAATGAGGTGTCTACTTTCAATATTTCCTGCCGCTGAACCGGTGTATGATTCCGCGATTTGGAGAGAGACAGACTTACAGCGGGGTCTTGCCGCGAAAATGAAGAAGGAGAGGATTAGTGCGAGATAGTGCATCGAATTCATCGATAGAAAACAAACGCAACTTTCACGTTTCGTTGCGTTTGTTTTCGTAATTTGCGCATGTGCGTAAAACCGAGTCTAGCGGGACCGTCGCGTGCAGTCGCAGTCGCGTGACGATCGTAGTCGTATGGGGGTGGTCACGTTCGCTCAAATGAATAAAAATGAGTCGATAAACAGATATGGGCCTCTCGTTGGTGCGATCGACGAGGGCACAAGCAGTGCCAGATTTCTGGTATGTCTAATTTTTTTCCTATGACTCCACGATAACGTGACCGCTCGGTGATGGCAAGAAATCATGAACCGCAACACATAGATGTGTCAGCTCCTCGTTTGATCGATTTACCGTAAACTATGCGTTTAAAAATAAAACTATGCGAGTCGAATGTTCATTTCTTCCTTTGAATTTTTATCGAGACAATGGTAGGATTTCGCGGAAAATAAATAGCTGATCTTTTCAATTCATGATGTAATAATAAAATAAAGTTTGAAGAAGAATCCTACAAAACTTTACGATTCTTTCGTTGTTATTTTTAATTGTTATTTTTAACGTTGCAGTCATCGCATGAAATAGTGAAAGATATAATTAAAATTAATAATGATATGTAATTAATATTGTACATATTTTGAACATATTTTAGACTGTCTTTCCCTGTTATGCTACAAATTGTCTTTATTGATTTTTATCATGTATTGTAATACAGGTCTTTGCAGCCAATACAGCAGAAGTCTTGACGTACCATCAAGTCGCAATATCTCAAATTTGTCCACAGGAAGGATGGATGGAACAGGATCCTTTAGAGATATTACAAGCAGTTAGGGAATGTCTTAATCAAACAATACACAACTTGAGGCAATTGACAATAGATCCATCCGATATAGTTGCCATCGGTGTGACAAATCAAAGAGAAACTACAGTTGTATGGGATTCTATCACAGGAGAACCACTTTATAATGCCATAGGTAAAATTGCATTGTTAAATATCACATAAGAAATACATATCTCTCGAGTTATTTCTCAGTAGGATTTTGCTTGTGATAAAATTTATTTGATTCATCAATTTTTACAATGTGTTGCAGTATGGATGGACATGAGAACCACTTCAATAGTGGATGATATATTAAAGACTATACGTAATAAGAATAAAAATTACTTGAAGCCACTGTGTGGCTTACCAATTAGTCCATATTTTAGTGCATTGAAGCTGAAATGGTTGTTACAAAATGTGCCTCGTGTTCAAGAAGCATTGGCAAAGGAGCGTCTCATGTTTGGCACCATTGATTCTTGGCTAATTTGGGTTTGTTTACAAATAACTAAAAGATTCTTCAATTAGATTATATTGAAATTCTCTTTGATGTATGAATTTTGTAATTAGAATCTGACTGGCGGTGCCAAGGGAGGTGTTCATAGTACAGATGTCACAAACGCTTCGAGAACAATGCTCATGAACATTGTGACTCTCAAGTGGGATCCTACTCTGTTGTCGTTTTTCAAAATACCTGCCAAGATCTTACCACGAATACAAAGCTCGTCTGAGATTTATGGTTATATACAGGATGAGCTTTTACAAGGTGTTCCTATATCAGGGGTGAGTGATCCACTTTCATTTATGATGTAATACCAGAATATGCATATATAGAGCACGAGTTGTTTATAATTCTATTTTATAATATTTCTTGCACACAGTGCTTAGGTGATCAACAGTCAGCCTTAGTAGGTCAAATGTGTCTGCAACAAGGACTAGCGAAAAGTACTTATGGCACTGGTTGTTTCCTTCTTTATAATACTGGCACAGCTGTAAGAGAAATTTCCTTATATTTTTACCGCACTGTGACAAGCTTAAATTTGGGCTGATGCAATTTCATTGTTACAGATTGTGGATTCAGCACATGGTTTGTTAACGACAGTCGCTTATCAGTTGGGAAAGCATGCTTCTCCAGTGTACGCTCTGGAAGGGTCGATAGCTATTGCCGGGGCCCTTATACATTGGTTGAAGGATAATCTAGATATATTGAACGATATAAAAGACTGCGAAAATATCGTTGAGCAAATATCCATGGACAACCGCGTGGTTTTTGTACCAGCGTTTGCTGGGCTATATGCTCCCTACTGGAGAAAGGATGCACGCAGGTAACACATTCTTTTTTTTCTTAATACAACAGCAGAAATACCTCGTCGTTTTGCGATGGTGTCCAAGCTTATGCAAATTATAATTTTTTTAGCGTCATATGTGGACTTACCGAAGATACAAATAGCTCGCATGTTATAAAGGCAGCTCTGCAATCGGTATGCTTCCAGATCAGGGACATTTTGGAAGCTATGAAGGAGGATACTGGCTTGGTGCTGTCGAAATTGTTGGTCGATGGGGCGATGACGAACAACGACGTACTGATGCAAATGCAGGCAGACATCTGCGGGATTCCAGTAGGTACGTAGAACATTTGATGTTAAGTGACATACATGTATATGTGCGAGTCTGGATGAGTCGAGAGTTGATGATGCAAGCGTACGTGGTTTTATAAGAAAGTTAGGCCACTAATGTGCGAGACCACTGCACTCGGAGTTGCGATTGCCGCGGGAAGCGCGGAAGGAATACGCAAGTGGGACGTAAAGATCGATGCTGCAGTTCCCAGCGACACTTTCCTGCCGACGATTACTGAAAACGGTAACTATCACGAAGCCTTCCGCGTCTTCGTCATGAGTATTAGCATTTTGAAGTTTAATTAAACATGCACTCGTCTTAGAGCGCGACATCTTATACTCGCAGTGGAAACTGGGCATCGAGAGGAGCTTAGGGTGGGAGACGCTTCCGGAAACTGTTGGTAAATATTATCACAGTCGTCTAATGCGAATTCTCACCGATGAAATTGCCAATGAGTTTCAATTGCAGATACTGCTGTAAACGATACAAATGATCTACATAGAGCGACTGCTCCAGGTGTATTTATAATAGGCACTATAATATTACTTATAGTTGCCAAATTCAGATCCACTTTGTAATAAATTTGTACGTGTAGTACCATCTATTGTACATTGCATTTAGACAGGAGCGATCGATGCAATTGAGAACGTGCTTACCATAGATGTGATATGATGTACCATATATTTCATCGTCCCGCTGCGTGTATGTAAGACCAAGTGTTATTTATGAGCCAGGAGAAGGAAGAGTCAGGAATAAAAAGTGCCATAATATCGTGATACAGTGACAGAGTCGTTTCGATTAGAGTGTTAATAAATTATTAAGTTACAGCTCGTTCGTGTTTAACGATTTGATTTTCACGGTTCCGCAGGGTTTTCTTGCAGCACTCCCGGAGCTCTATAGCTTGACGTTCAGGTCGACCTTCGTGGTCTCCGCTTTGTCGTCAACGGTGATCTTGGGTCTCTCGTTTAATATCCCTTGAAAGATTGCAGGAGTGATACGTACCATGCCTTCGTCGGGCGTTTCGCGCTCCTTAGGTGTCGCAATCGCTGTTTTCTGCGATGACGTAAGGGACGTGATCAAATGCGAGAACAGTTCATGAGACGCGTCTTGCCTGTATGCAATCGACACTTACGACGAAGCCGTCGTCGATCGAAGTTTGAGCAACCGAGGTGGATACCTCGAGCCAGATATCGCTTCTTATGATGCCGATGCGCAACCGTGCCGGCTGCGGCATCAGTATGCGGGCGATTAGAGAACGACACGGCTGGGACACTTTGGGATGTTTGGGGAACTCCACTCTGCTTTGCACTTGCTGGATGAGGAGGAACGTGAAAAACAGGACTGGATTACACAACGCGTAGTAATTTACAGGAAATGCTTATAAAACGGTAACGATCACTCAGTACTTCTTTCATTCCCGATGAGGAAAGATTGTATATAATTATACAAAATCTCATAATTGTACGCATAAATTGTATACAATTATATACAATCCATACAAGAATTAATTTTGTCTCTATTATATATAAAATTGATTGATATTTAATCATATATGTCTGAAAAAATGGTTTTGTTCAGTTGTCCCCGAAAAAGTTTTCTTTAAATATCTCAAAAAATATTAGGCAGATAAAAAATATTTCAGGCAAAAGTTGTCCAAATTAATTGGTAGAAAAGGATGATATAACAAAAATAGGGGTTTCCATTTATGTTTTTAAAATTGACCTTTAAATTTGATCCCTAGCTCAGGTTCAAGTTCACCCCACTAGATGCCCATTTCCAAATCCTAAAACTTTTGTATTTAACAGTTTTTTTCAAAAATGTCACCCCTTCAAGTCACCCATCTTTCTGGTACAGTCTTTCTGATACTTTCTGGTATCCCTGTATGATTATACTAGTCACATAGAGACAAAATTCATAAATAATTTGGTCGTTATTTCATTTTTCTCTCTATGCCGGAGCGTCAAATTTTATTCGGTTCATCGCATACTGAACCAGGATAACTGTAGCGAAGACTAAGTTGCGCACAAAAGCAGTGCTGTACATGGAATCGACCTAGTCATATTCCTGGTATACCGGTATACCTTGGCATATACCTGGCTACCTTTAATAGCAGCGCATGGCTCGTGTCGTCGAACGGCAGTCGGCCGTAGACCATGGCGTAGAGCACCACACCCATGGACCACACGTCGGAGAGCTGAGGTTGGTACGGGATGCCCCGCAGGATCTCGGGCGATGCGTAAGCGTAGCTGCCGCAGTAGGTCGTACTGAGCGGCCACTCGCCGCTCTTCGGCTTCATCTGACCCCGCGCGAAGCCGAAGTCCGACAGTTTGACGTTGAACTGTTGGTCCATAAGCAGATTCTCGCACTTTATGTCTCTGCAAACGGGTGTCCTCGAGAAGCTCAATCAAACGTTGCTTGCCTCCCTCTTCCTGCCTTTACCTGTGCACCACTCCGCGCTCGTGGCAGTAATCGATGGCATCTAGAAGCTGGCGGAACCACCTGCGGCTACGCAGCTCGTCGATGTAGGTATCACGGCGTATCACGTCGAGCAGACTGCCGTTCTGCGCGTACTCCATGACGATGTACACCCTGCGGAAGGCAGGCGCGATGAGTTGAAGAGAGAAAGGAAGATGCAACTTTGCTCTCTGGGAGCTCAACTGTAGGATCTCGTTTAGCTTTCACTTTTGGAAACGGATCAGACCAACCGATGAGTGGTCTCTATGGCTTGCAGGAAACGAATCAGATTCGGATGCTTCAAGCCCTTGACCACCTCGATCTCGCGGGGCAGGAACTTGCTGAGGTACTCGCCAGGCGCTTGAAATTTCGAGACGATCTTCACCGCTACCTGGCAAGCGTGCCGATCGGACTTTGCGATCTAAGCGCGACGAGCATTTGGGATTAATGACAAGGGATTGAGAAGAAGGGTCAAGGCCGTTACCTTGACCGTGGCGTACGACCCGGCCCCGATGGTCTTCCCGAGAGCGTAACCGTGCGCCTCGAGCACTGTCAATTTCCTATCGGATTTCTCGCCCTTCTTCTCGTCCGTCGACTTCATGTCGTCGGCCACTCGCTCGTTCGAAGTACACTTTATTATTGGCGCTGTCGCCATTTCCGGCGTAGATGCGGCTTTCGGCTGGAAGATATTTGAAATAAGGGCCGTTTATTCCAACTTCTTGGTAAGTTAACTGATAGTTAAATCGTATGTTTGTCTTCGTTTTTCCTTCAACTTAGACAAAAACAGAGATATGATTTAACTATCAGTTAACACGTTGAGCGCCACGCCGATTTTGAAGGCAGTCCCCATCAGGCCACGCGCGCCACTTAGAAGCGCTGGTATTATAGGGCCAATGTCTCTTATCGCAGTAGAAGAGTGTTTACGTTTAGAATGACCCGCCTATATGCATTCATTCATTCGACACGTTACGCGGCAAGTCTGTTTTGTTTTCATTATGGATTCGTGGCCGGTGTTCCTATTACGAATAGATTACAAAAGATAGTAGAGAAATGGCCAGGAAAAAAACTAAGCGAGTTGTCACATTTTGTAATACCTGTAAAGGAGAACCGTTTTTATGTTTACCGTGCTTCAATGAAATCCACTAATCCTGTAATGTGTCAAAATTAAATAAATTTTGAATAAATTTTCTGCAATTCCATAAAAGAGTGTAAATTTTATAGTTCTATATCATGTTATACGCTGTCAGCCAGCTGTTTTTCGCGGCCTATGTGAAAGGTCAGTGTCACCCAGCGGTGGCAGACACAGCCTAAATGTAATTTCAGTGTCAGCCACCGGTGGTTGACGCGGCCTAAACGGAAAGTCCAGTGTCAGCCACCGATGGCTGACGCGGCGCTCAACGTGTTAACTTACCACGAAGTTGGAACAATTGGGCCTAAGGAATTGGAAAAACCTGTCCTAAGTCGTGCGAATGATGTTTCATTGAGACCAAAGTGCATTCTTACGATAAGCGTCTGAAATGCAAACGAGAGATTTCTCGAGTTTCATCGAGTGGCTTTCGCAAGAATTACCTTGACAATTTCTTCATATTACTTCCCTGGCAAACCTGTTCGGCGGATGATTATTCATGTTGCTTGTGTTGAGCGCATATCTTCGTTGAAGGTGAAACTTTAATTTAACTTCGGCATCTAGGCAGGAGAGGTTTTGAATCGTGTGACAACCGCGTGAAGTGTGACGAATATCGAACCGAGCAGCATATGATCGATACGCGTCTAGTCGACAAGTGCCGGATAACTTCCCCGTTTACGAGTTATGCAAATTCGCAGGTAGGTACATTACAGGCAATCGGTAACATCAAGCCCTCCAGTTATCCGTGAACCCTTGATAAGTGAAAATTCCTCATGGCTGCGAATCTCCAAGAACGTCTCGTCGATGACTGAACCCGCGACAGTCATCCGCACACGCTAAACCCGTTAATTATTAATCTTTTCAGGTAGGTCGCTGTTTGTCACAAGCCATAATTTGCGTCACTTCCAGATGTTCGTTGGTCAGATCTCAGCGAGCGTTGCGCCATTTATAGTCGTTATTATTGTGCCTCGCGCGAGTGCAATATACACACTTGGACGCAAGTGAGAGGAGAATACGAGGCAACGAGAGGACGTTACGTTGCCGATAAAAACAGTTGGAGCGAATTCGGTGGGAACGAATTGCGGTTGGCAGATTTGAGGAACGTGACATTTGTGATTGACGTGCTCAACGTCCTCGAAGTCGTCCGGACGGCATGATACGTCACTCTTCAGCCCCGGGGAGAAGAGCCACATACAACCACTGAGGGCACACAATCGAACGTGTTGACAAACTGTATCCGCCAACGAGATAACCTTCTTTCGCAAAGAAAACATACTGTTGCTACTTGTTTGTAATATTCTTACTTGGTTGTTTGCACTCGCCAACCGTTTGCACCAGCTGTTATCGCCGAATCTTTATCTATCTCGCCAATTTTTCTGTGCATTATCAGGTTCAAATACTGCGAACAAGATGTCATTGATTGAGGGGATAGGCGATGAAGTTACTGACTTTTTCCTCGTCATGAGCGTGCTCCTGGTGGGATGGTTCGCCTGGTGCTCGACGAGCATAGCAGATCAACCGTTAATACGCACAGTACTTATATTACGTGATCGGACTCCAGTACGTATCGCGACATTGAGGGCCAGCCGCCAAAGTACAAACGATGCTGATCAGCCGTCAAATTTGGAAAGAACAGAAGAGGAAACGAGAGTATCAACAGTCTCCACCAGCAATGACAATGCACAATCAAACTGTCCAGATGCCTCCAACATGAGTAAATATTACTTTTCTCTGTATACCATATGTGTGTGTGTGTGTGTATGCTTATATAATTATTATATATTCAATATAAACAGTTTAATATATTTCATTTAATATATTTTCACATGACAAATATTGCATAAATTTTCCATTTGTTTGCGATATTAGGTACAGAAGAAACCTCTCGAGAAGTCGACACCTTGGCATTACCTCAGACACCAGAGGAGGTACTTCTCGAAGCTATGGATTCATACAACAATGATGAGCCGTCGTTGTTGCAAAGGTCTGTTAAGACAGAAAATACGGATGAGGCAAATGCAAAAGAACAAACCACCTCAGCAGAGTGTACAACAGAAGAAGCATCTGCGAGCGACAGTAATGACATTACCATAAAACTAAAGTTCATAAACGACGATCAGAAACTAGTCACTGGTAGTCTTAAAGAAATGTTGGGTGAATTCAAAAGGTAATTGTAATTCGATAAATAGCCTCCTACTTGCTAAATTGTGTAAACTTTAATGTATTTTATTTCTCTTTTTACAAAAGAGTGTATCCTTCTGTATTATATAATTTTATTACACACATACACACGCATACACACACACACACACATATATACGTTGTTCATATCATCACACTTGTACATTTTATTGTACTACTCATGAAACTTTGTAGGAGACATTTTCAAATGGAGTTGGAGTCGCATAAGTCGGTGCGATTGGTGTTCAACGGCCGTGTGTTGCAGCCTGACACTCAGACTTTAGAACAATGCGGATTGTTCGACGAGTGCGTAGTTCATTGTTGGGTGCACCAACCACGACCGACCAGCGCACCATCGTCTCAAGCATCCACCTTGGAAAACTCCTCGCCCATTTATTTCAATTCGCAGTCGTTCTCGGATCTGCCCGCCGGCGCGAGCGTCAGCTCAGTGCGCAACGAATGGGATCTGAGTCGAGTCTTGATAAGCATCCTGACGATCGTCCTGGGTTTCGCGTGGTATTCTCGGTATCATTACGCTCAGCTCTTCACCGCGACCACCACGATCGCCCTCTATATACTGACAGCGATCTTCACTGTCTCTCTGGTCAGCAATTTCTTTCCCGATCAGGACAACATCCGGAACGTCGAATAAAACGACGACGCTGTGCAGTGTTGTGTGTGTATGTATGTGTGTGTACGCGCGTGTATGTATGTATGTATGTTTAACAGGATTGTCTGGATTTGTATGTATGTGTTTAACGGAAGCACTTCCTCGGATAAAACGTACGGTTTAAATGTTTGTTGTATGTACACACAGGCTCACACAAAGAGAATAAAACGAGAAGTAATGGTGATGAATTAACTAGCGATCTGTTGCCGAGCATTTGCCTTTAGCGTAATATTCTCGAGGACAGATTTGTCGTTCACTGCTCTTGTGATTTCCACCGTTCTGGCGAACGTTAGTCTTGAATCGTATTTCCACATGATATATAAGTGTGCTTAATTAAGGAGACCGTCAGACGTGACGTCTTTTTCCCCGTCGACGCACGTTTCCGCAGATCGTTGCGGTCTATTCGGATAAACTTGTATCACGGCATAATATACATGCACAAAAAAGTCAATCAATCAAAATCCGTGCGATACGATAGATACTTTGCTTTACAATATATGCACAATTGATCGATTTTTTTGCCCACGTAAGTTATGCGACTAGACTGTGCAAATTCGTCTGGATTGGCTTGTGTTCGTATGAACACATGATCACATTGTCACATGGTGTGACGTTCCTTAGTGGAAAATCGAGAGAGAGAGAGAGAGGAAATCCTTTTTGTCTTTATCTCGCATTCTGGAGCAAACTTTTCATGTATAAACGACGTCAATATTTTCCACGGAGAAATGTTGCGTGGCGTTTTTATTATATGATAATATACAGGTAATAAGTGAGAGATATCTTTTGTGAATATGTTTTTCCTTGTAAAATATTATCTTACAAGGATAACTCTATTTATTACTCTAATTTTATTCGTTTAATTATAAAAATTAAGTTACGAGAGAAGATTATGAGAGAAAAATCCTCTGGGTAGTTTTATTTATTATTAATTAATATATATACGTTTTTTTTTTCTTTAAATTTTCCATAGTGTATGTTGTTTAACATGTAATAAAATGTTATCAAGTAATCTGTATCAAGCATATATATTACGATTATTTGATTCACGCTGAGTTTAATCGAATTACTTCACAACTATATATTTAAGCATTGCACAATCAAGCAGTTACATCTAATAAAGCGAAAAAAATTATAATTTCTAGTACTCTGGAGAAAAGAGTGCATTTAAATAAATAAAGGAGGAGAAACGAAGAGAGTGAAGGAAGTTTGAATTATCTACGACCTATTTTATGTGAACTAGGGATAGTGGCGGTACATATTGTTTCTCTGTCATTTACTGTATCATATAATTCTAATTAGATTTCAATCAACTACATGTCAATTATTTTATCCAATGCCAATAAACGTCTTATTTATTTGATACTTTTATCATTTTTGCTCTCTCCTTATTTCCTAAAATAAATACGATTGTACATATAAGTACGCGTACATCGTCCAAGTTAAATAATCCACTTAATAAAGATTTATAAATATTTAAAAGAAAAAGAAAATATAAAGCAGCAAACACTGAGACTTTTGTGAAATTTTTACGCGGGATATCGAGACTATCGAGAGAGAGAGAATTCTATTGAAGTATTGAGAAATAAAAATATAGGGATAAAATGAATCTTTTATTTTATTTGTCGATATAAACAAAACATCCATAAATTAATCTCAATATAATAGCATACTTGTATTCAATCGACGCATTACATGTATAATTTTCTTTTCTCTTTACGTACAAATTGTTATTGTACAAATTGTTACAATGTAAGATTTTATTGATACCTCTAGTTTGCATTAGATAGGTCGTAGATAATTTAACTTCCTTTTACTCGCCATAGTCAAGCCGAAAGTCGCCGGCGATGGGACAACAAAAATATAGTTGCGAAATAATTTGAAAAAGTCAATGTGAATAGGAAATAATCGTGATATATGCTAGACACGAATTGTTTGATAATTGACATTTTATCAGATGCCAATCAATGTGCATTGTAAAAAATTTAAAGAAAAAAAAAGACATTAACTAGTAATAAATAAAATCACCCAGCTGTACACTTTGCATAGTATATTTAGTATAGTAAAACACAGCACTTTATATACTGCAGTTAAATTATCTCGCATTTTTAAATAAGTGAGGTAACTTTACAACAGAGCAACGTTCAAATAATAACGATCGTCTAATAACTTTCGTCAAGTACTTTGTTCCTCACGATCAGAGAAATAACGCAATGCTAAGGCGGCTCATTTTTACTCACTTCAAGTCCCTGCCGCTCTCTTCGAGCCAATTCTGTCTCCTAAGGACTTAAAGCACACATTACAAAATATGATAAGAACAATCGGATGTTTACGAGACGCTTGCGTACTCTTCCGCGTATTTTCACGACGACGCGAAGTGCTTCAGGAACCGATAAAAAATTACTCCTAGCTCAAGTCGCGCTAAACCTTCAGCGTTTGCCCTCGCAGTCGATTCATTGTGCAAGAAGGCAGAGTGACGTCCGACTTCCCCAGCAACGAAACCAGCTGTCGCTTCAGTCTCGTGTCGTCGATGATGAAGTCGCCCTTGGGATTCTCCAAGAGCACACTCCCGCTCGTCGTCTCGCTCTCCACATTGACGAAATCGCAAACGGGCTGGCCGCTGCGCGTCAGCGCGTCTTCACCGGCCGACGATGGAGTACCTGACCTCAGCACCTTGAGCGTTTGCCCGTCGAACGCCTCTACCGGCACCGACGCGTCGTCCGACCTGGTGATGATGTCGCCATTGAGGTACAGGTCGTAGGGAAAACCGTAGACGCCGAATATCAGGTCAATCTCTTGTCTCAAGCGCTTGTACGTGATGACCTCGGAAGACTTTGGACTGCTCAACAAGACAGTCGCACGGTGGGCCTTCGCACCGAATCTTGGCTGTATGTCGATGAGCTGCACATTGACATAACTGGCGAAAGGTCGTGGCGTTGTCGTTGAACACGCAGTAGCCGCTTCGCCCTTCACTAGCACGAGTTTCATGTCCACATCCTTGATTTTCTGCATCTCTTCAAGGATCACAACGGCGTCGGACGGTAAGTCCGCGGCGTTCCTCTGAGGAGTCTTCGTCACGTTCTCGATGAACTCCTTGTAGCTGACCACGACCTTCGCCAGATTGCTGTTCGCGTCCTGGACCTCATAGTACACGACGGCATCGTCGGAAGGCACCAGCTGCGCCTTCTTGCGCAGCTTCTGCACGCGGTTGATCACCTCTCGCGCTACACCCTCATTGTGCATCTCCTTGTCGGGTGTGACGTCCAGGAGGATCAGTATATTGCCCTCGCTGTGCGCCTCGTAGCGCTTCGACAGCTCCTCGGCGGCCGGGCCGGTGAAGCTGAACATGAGCCGCAAGTCCTGCGGCTCCAACGAGTGACCCTCGACGACGATCTCCTTCGTGTCGACGAACCTCCGCAGCTGCTCGTCCGTCAGCTCCTTGATGGCCTGCGTGACCCGCTTGAATTCTCCCTTCAAGCGTGCGCCGAGGATCTTATGGTCCGGCTCGGCCCTCAACGTCACTCCGTACTTCTCCTTGTCCGTAGTGATCGTGAGCTTCCTCACGTTCAGCTCGCCGAGTATGTACGAGTCCAACGAGACAATGTCGCGCAGCACCTCCGAGTCCTGGTGAATCACCACGATCTCTGGCAACGGATACTTGGTGGGTATCGTCTTCCGGTCCCGCACCACGCGTCCCAGCTCGATTATGGTCTGCATGTGCGACACGGCCTTCTCGATGTTGTCGTCGATGAGGTGCGTGCGCGCGTCGGGTATCATTTGATAGTGCACGCTGTCCATGTTCTCCTCGAACGGCGGCAACTTCTTCGACAGACGCTGGAAGATGAATTCCGTGAGGAACGGCGTGAACGGCGCGTTCGTCCGCACCATCGTGTAGAGCACCAGGAACAAGGTGTTCAGGGCGTTCCGGCAATCGGCGCTATTGCCACCGCTCTCACCTTTGATGCGCTTCCTGTTCATCCGTACGTACCAGTTGGTGAGATTGTCTATGTATTTGATCAAGTGCGGCACCACGGTGTACAGTCTGTAAGCCTGCATCTCCTGCTTCATGAAGAGCAGCAGCGTCTGCGTGAATGACACGATCCACTTGTCCATTATGTTGTCGGAACGCAACTCGGCGGCGGCGTCGTCGTCGAACACAAACGACGTGCCTTCTTCTCTCTCGAAGCGCTCGATGTTCTGCATGAGGAAGCGAAAGGCATTGTACCACGGCAGGAAGACGTCCTTGATGACGTCCCGCACCCCCTCCTCCTTGAACCTAAGATTTTCGGCGCGTACGACCGGCGAGTTGATGAGGTAGAGACGCAGCGCATCCGCGCCGTACTTGGTGACGATCTCGATGGGATCTGGGTAGTTCTTCTTGCGCTTCGACATCTTCTGGCCGTCAGACGCGAGCACCAGGCCGTTCGCCACAAGGTTCTTGAACGGCGCCTTGCCGAACAACGCGGTGGATATGACGAGAAGAGTATAGAACCAGCCGCGAGTCTGGTCGATACCCTCCGCGATGAAGTCCGCAGGGAAACTCTCGTGGAAGTCCTTCTGACGTTCGAACGGGTAGTGCATCTGCGCGTATGGCATCGACCCTGACTCGAACCAGCAATCGAACACCTCGGGCACACGACGCAGAGGCGGATGACCCGATCGCTTCGACGGTATGGTCAAGTGGTCTATGCTCTCTCGGTGGATGTCCGTCACCTTCGCACCCGTCAGCTGCTCCAGCTCGGCGATGCTGCCCACGCACACGATCTCTTTCCTGTCTTCGGAGATCCACAACGGTATGGGATTGCCCCAGTAGCGGTTTCGACTGATGGCCCAGTCGCGAGCGTCGCGGAGCCAGTTACCGAATCGCTTGTCCTTCACGTAGTCTGGCACCCAGTAAGTCGCGCTATTGGCCGCCAACAGCTTGTCCTTCATCTGCTCCACCTTGACGAACCAGGACGGCACAGCTTTGTAGATCAGTGGCGTGTCGGATCGCCAGCAGAACGGGTAACTGTGCTTGCTAGTGCCGCTGACTACCAACTTCTTCTTGGCCTGGAGATACTTGATGATCTCTTTGTCCGCATCTTTCACGTACTTGCCGAGAAAGTCGTGCACCGGCTCGACGAAGAGACCGCAGCTGTCGACTGGACACACGGCCTCTTGGTCTCTTGTAATGATACCAGCTTCTAGACAGCAACGGAAATCGTCCTCGCCAAAATATGGAGCTTGGTGGACGATACCAGTTCCGGTCTCGGCAGTGACGTAAGTATCGTTTAATACTCTGAAAGCGCCCTTCTTTCTGTGGTCTATAAAGTAGGAGAACGGCGGCTCATAAGCTTTGCCCTTCAAGTCCACACCCTTTCTTTTACCTTGCACAGTATAGAAATCTTGGGACTTGAACACGAGTCCCAACTGAGCCTCTAATATAATGTAAATATTACCGGACACGTTATCCTTTACCTCTACGTATTCAAAGGTAGGATTAGCACATAATGCCAAGTTACTAGGTAACGTCCATGGAGTAGTTGTCCAGGCCAGTATGGATACACCCGGCTCATCCAGCAGGGGAAAGGCCACAATGACAGATGGGTCAGTGACGTCCTTGTAATTTTGACCAGCTTCAAAGTTAGACAACGGTGTGTTACAAGCTGTTGAGTAGGGCATGACCTTGATACCCTGGTAGACCAGTCTCTTGTTGTACATCTCCTTGAATACCCACCAGATTGACTCCATGTACCAAGGATACATCGTTTTGTAGTCGTTCTTGAAGTCTATCCACCGCCCTACCCTAGTGATGATCTCCTCCCACTCTTTGGCATACCTCATGACAATACTACGGCATTCTTTGTTGTAGGCTACAATACCCATCTTCGCGACGTCGTCGGGCCCGTGAATATCAAGTGTCTTGTCTATCTCGTATTCCACAGGCAGCCCATGAGTGTCCCAGCCGAATCGGCGCTCCACGTGAAAGCCACTTTGATGCGCATATCTCGTCACGATGTCCTTTATGGTGCCGGCGAGGATGTGGCCATAATGCGGCAAGCCGGTGGCGAACGGCGGCCCGTCGTAGAACGAGTACTTGGGCCGGTTTTTCGACAGGCGGAGGCTGTTTTGAAATACATCCAATTCTTTCCATAATTTCAGGATCTCAACCTCCTCCTTCGCGAAATTTATAGTCTCCGGCAACTTCTCGCACATGTCTTCCGTACTTTGGGCTTTCTCGTATCTCCTGCCAGATGGGATCTGCAACTGACACAACGTGATGCTCTGATCTGACGTAACCTTAATCTCAGTTTGCGTGATTGAAATTCAAAGCAAGCTTAAAATCCATTCGTTTTATTTGCACTTTCTACTAGCCGGCTAATTTTTAATATTTCTATAATTACTTAACACACAATAAGTTATTATTAATAATATATACCTGTCGTTGTGTGCGGTAAGTAGAAAGTTAGCTCTCTCTTTCTCTCTCTCTCTCTCTCTCTCTCTTTCTCTGCGGTCCACTGCGGTCTCTACGATCGCGGAATTATGTCCGCGACCATACCTATCTCTATGGCCTGGTCTACAATAGGTGTTGTAGCTGTAAGCCGTAAGAACTGACCAATTATAGCCGATTATTTTTATAATAATCGACTGTGATTCGCCAATTCTTACGGCTTACAACTTACGACACATATTGTAGACCAGGCCTAAAGCCAGCGGCACACGGTACTTGTTTCGTGCTGGGTTGCTTGCTGGATGAAAATACTGCGTTCTGATTGGTGTATTTCCATCCATCTTCGGAAATGTACCAATCAGAACGCAGTATTTTCATCCAGCAAGCAATCCAGCACGAAAACAAGCACCATGTGCCGCTGGTTTTACTCTTTCTCCCTCAATAGGTCTGTTCTTTTTAGCTGCTCGCAGATTGAGGTCGTAGTGCAACTCAACGACAGGTTAGACGACTTTTACTGCAGTAATATGACACAATGGCGGATCAAACGGTTTTTTATTTTATACAATACAATTCAACGGCAGGTCGGAGGGAGTTTTATTTTCAAATTATACATCTCAACGATGGATCAGATAAACTTTTTATTCTCCAATAAAACACAACCTAACAATGATGATTTTCGATCAGTACATAATAAAAGTTTGTTTAATACGCATCACGTAAACATAAAAATAAAAGCTTTTATTTCCTTTTACGAACGTATATATACATTAGAAAAAAAATATTCCTTATCAAATAAAGTGCAACAAATAACTATACAGTTAAAAAAAGTGGATTTTTTCTGTATTTTCTTATAAAATATTGCAATTTTATAGCTACCATTACTGGAATACTTTTAAATGTCACCATTTTCGCAACCCTAATGGTTGTTTTAGTTTGTAACATTTTCTATGATATTCTGCATGACATAACACAATGACTAGATGACTGAAGTGCATAATGCAATGCAAATGATTTGGTTTTAGGATTTATGACTGATGCATCATGTGTTGTACTCTAGACCGTTGACCACCCACGTAAATTACTTGTCTGTGCTCGTCCGGGTGGATCAACTCGTCTGTGTGCTTCCAACGCCACTTTTTCTCACTCTCCTTGATACGTCTGTGATCAATATAACTAATCACACAGCTCGCCGGGATCCAAATAATAGCGGTAATAATTATCACAGCTCCCACTATATTATCCTTCAGAAAACGCATGACTTTGTTGATGTTTATGTCCTCGATGATGTCCCAAAATCGTTCCACTACGTCCTGAATCGTTTTCTCGCATACGCCCTGGAAGGAAACGTCAGAAAACATGCGATTTATGCTGAAGCATGTAAGAAAGAATTAACTTCAATGTAGCCGTACTTTGTTGCAGAAACCTTGGATGCATGGTGTCCCATCCGGCAAAATATCTTGTGGGTCTATTGGGAAGCACGTTTCGTTCAAGCTCATCCTACAGCATCTTTTACATGCATCGCCAACTGTCGAGAAAGTCCGGCAAAACGACACAGTTGTTATCAACACCTCAATAGACTGTATTTTTCAATGATAAGTGGATCTAATTGTGTACAAGACGTGACTAATTTCGGAACATCTGAAAATTAGGATATAAAATACATACTCGTGTCGCACATACAGCTTTGCAAGCTTTGGGTCTCGCAATATGGTACGCATTTGCCCGCGCGGCATTGACCCCGTTCAAGACAACCAGTACCGTCCATCATAGCTGGTGACTTGGGACATTCACTGGATACTCCAGTACAACGTGACTCTTGCTCGCAGGTCGCGTATTGCGCGTCGCGACATTTTGTGCCCGGAGGCATAAACGCGCAATTCTGACAGCAAGGAGAATTCTTGTCGCTGGTGAAAAAAGTCAACGTCAAGTGCTGATTAATTAATATTGTTTTTGCGAATAATCGCAAAAGAAGTTGGAACGTAAATCTAAACGTTCCAAATGTCTACGGACTGACACGAACGCCGAGTCTCCACGTTACCTGCAAACTGCATTCTGGATTCTTCGAAGTTTGCAGTTTTTGTCGCAACACGCGTCGTTATCCTCCGTCCCCAGGAGACCAGCGTCGCATTCCTCGTCTCCTTCGACTCTCAAGTTCCCACAGAACGATTCCTCTGGCTCTGAGAAGCAACGTCCAGATTTTGCTTGCAGCACCTTCCTGATAGATCGTAAACTGCACGGCGAAAATCTCTGCAAGAAGTTATTAATCTATAAATATCTTTATAAATATGAAGACTTGTACATAAATCTACATCGCGCACAACAATCGATGCTTTATTCAAGAAACAGGAACCTTTAGTCAGAATGCGAATAGGGGGAGAAAAATTTTACCTTGTTATTTACATCATAGCCACTAACACTGTAGGTGTACATCAAATAAGATCCACCCTGGCTCGCGCTCGGACTGCATTCCTACATTGATAAGGCCGTGACGTTAAATTTCAGCTTCCAGGAATGCAACTTGCCTTTTGTTTCACTGTAAGTGAACTCACTGTAATGTCCGGATCGTGTTCGGAACCCCAATTGTGACCAAATTCATGCGCTGTTACCAAATCGGCTTCTCTAGTAATAACTCTTTGCCCATAATGATTTCTGCTGGAACTCAGCCCAGAGTTTAGGTATAACGTATATCCATTCTTAAAGTATTCTGCAACACGAGTTGTTTTCATTAATAGAAATAACGAGTCACTGCATTCCCGTGTCGTTAATCGAATGGTATATTGAATAATAAAATAATATGGATATGTGTTCCTCTTCAATATACCTGGTGTACAGATACCACCTACTGAATTTCTACGGGGAGACCCTACATAGGCTAACCCAAGAATACCACCTTCGAACTTGAGATCAGTGAACAAATGGGCTAGACAAAAATCTTTATGGCTGTATTCCCGACTAAATACCTACATCAATACGGTGATGTTAGATGAGCAAACTCAATTTCATAAATTTAGATAGAGAATATCCTACATAATCAAATTATATAGCTACCTCGAGTAACGTACGGACGTCCCACTTCTCGCGGACCATATTATAATGTGTTTCACCACCCCTCACTCGCGTAGGCTCATTATGGACGACAATCTTCTTTATTACAAAACCCATTCCTTTAAAACCATCCTGCTCTTGCCGTTCTTGCCACATGGTGTCATTGTAAATCTTGTGTACTCTGTCAATTAAACTTATCTGCAAAGTGATTAATACAGTATTAGTATCGTAAATTAATGTTTAACGTAAACAATTACACGGTTACATCCATGTACCAGGTAATTAATTGTAGTTTTTGTATTGCTGGCTCCCATCTCCTGGAAGAATCGGTAATCAGCGACTAGCAAAAGTGGGCATCTTGTTTTCGTCGGTGTATATTCATAATTTTCTGCATGTCTTTTCACCCTGAAGCTATCTACTTCCGCATCTTCAAAATCATCCTCATTCAGCAGAACATCTGGAACATCCAAAAGATCTGGAACAATAAGTAATAATCTTGTCACAATATTAAAGACAATCGTACAAAAGGTACACAAACAATTATTCGTATCATCATTTGAATTGTAATAAAATCATACCCGAGTTTTCTTTAACATAACCACAGGTTTTTGGAACTCCATGCGTATGTCCTTCTCCATCTTGGTAATGTTCCCAACTGAGTTTAACATCGGAAGTTTTGTAAACTATCATTGTTTGGTTATCCAAATGTGGAAGATGCCTCCAGGATGGCTGAAGCATATTCATTTCTTACTTTGTTACATATATATTTATATTTGTTATTTCGTGTATAAATATTGACTAGTTGACAAGATCAGATTAAATATTAAATTATATAATCACTGTTAAATATTTAAGTATACCTACTTCAATATGAAAAGTTTCATCTGATATTGTTATACTACCAGTCACAACACCATTGTCAATATGCACTTGAGCATGAGATTCAATCTCACCAAACACACGACCATGGTAAAAGCTGTCATGATCTGTATGGAACAGTATTATAAAATAATGCAATGATTTAAATCTTTGGATTAAATCCACTATAATACATGTTACACATTTCTGAATATATAGTCAATACCTAAATGTATAGTTTTTTCTTTTCCATCAGCATTGACTTCATATGCTTTGAAGTTGGAATGTATAACTTCTCTCTTAGGTGTTAGAATTAACCGAAAGTGTCTGGGATTGAAAGGAACATTGTTAATTGATGTACATTAAAGTAAGATATTTAATGATATATTGTCTTTGATTTATTGAAGAAATAATTATCTCACCGTCCATGTGAGGAGAATTCTAGTTCACTTATTTTATTATAAGGATGATAACTGTACTGAACACCTCGTTTTACAATCTTGTGTTGAAGATGAGTACTATGAATTGTTTCATAATATTTCAAGTTTCTGTGAAGTCCATCTGTTGAAACAAGAAACTGATGAACACTTCATAGCTGGCTAAAGTAATTGTATCAAAATTGTAACATGTGACTCACAAACACTTTGTAGAATAATAAAAATGCAGTAGATTAGTGAGATATCTCGTATTTTCATTGTCAACAAAGTTATAAGTTATGAAAAAAAATGTAAGTCCTCTTCGCTTTTATACACTGATATTGTTTTTTTTAAATTACTGCGTTCTGACGTGCAATTGTAATGCTGTAAGAACTGATACAATTTCATGTATATCCTCGAGACACTTGGCCCAAAAATGATTCACGGTAAATAACATAATAACGTGTGTAAAAATAACAAAATTGGATTATTGCGGGTTAATTTGTGATGTAAACATTGCCTCTTATTTATCTCGTGTGACATTTCTAGGTTATTAAATTGCTTTGGCCGCTCTACAGGTGAATTCACATTGTATTTGACATGTGACGACATGCTATAGTTAGAACACTCGAATCTAGAGACATCTTGGTTTAACTGAAAACCCTAGAAAATGAAACCTCCTATTGGATAGAGAGACATTATTTTGTATGTTAGAGACATGTGAATCCTCCATCACGCGTGTCGCACACACCCAAGCGCAGAGAAATAGAAAATTTAGAGGTCTACTGTGTGAAAGAGGAATAAATTTTCAACAGCATAATAGCGACGCATGCGCGAAATCTCGGCGGGCTTTAACACATTCTACACAGTCATAACGAATATAAGCGCTCTGCTCTTTCATGTTTCTCCCGCGCGTTTTACTGCATATATTTTGATGTAACTTGATACGAAATAACTTGAGACGAGTTCATTTACTCAAGGAACGAGGATTGATGTGTGGCAGCCACGAGTTGGACGTTTGATCAAATTTTATAACTTTTGAATACGCGGGAAATTGTTTATTCAAATTCGTCCTCTGATCCAGGTTAGTTCATGTGTTGTTACGAGAAATTCTATTTTCTATGATTACAAAATAACATTCCATGAATATTCTCCCAGGGGATATCCTCCTTCTTTCACATAAAGCACAGAATAACTTTAATTTCGTAAGACTATGATGTTGTTGTGTATATACATATTAAGTACATAAATGGCATCGTGTTGAACGCGATTAACTAAACAGAAAACGCAAACAGCAATTTTATCGGATTTAGGAAGATTCTATCGTTAAAAATGTTTGTATTTCAGGAAAATTTTTAAGAATATATTGCATGTTCAGTAGATATTTATGAAACACCATTAGAATAGCAATAGACAGATGAATGAATTGTATTCTTGCAGATGTCATGAAATTTGATATTATTTTTGAAATATGTAATATATGTAATTGATTGTGTAAATCAGAGTCTGATACAAAAAGATCAATTTCTCTTCTGATGTGTTATTTATTCTAATTGATAAATTGTTTCAGGCAATTACTTTAAGGAATTGCTCGATAATGGCTACTCATCTTAAACAGCTGGAATTATTATATACACCACGGCGTGCTCAAAAATGTCTCTTTGCATCTGATGGTAATTCTTGCAAGAAGAACTTATCCCGAGACTTAAGTTACAACAAAGATATCGAAGCAACTTCAGGAGAAGATTCAGACTTGGGACCCATGTCACCCCTAGCCCTGACCGATCGAAGCCCAAATAGCTGTGGAAGTTCTCCGGGCAGAGAGTTTGTTTCTCCACTAGCCACTCCTGAGAAATCGCCTTCCTTACCTATGGCATCCTGGGATCGTTTAATATCATACAGACGTAATACAGAAGACTATACATCACTGTTCAACTCACTCAAGAAGCTCAGCAGAGAGGCTAGATACTCTCCAAGGTGTAATACAATAACTAACCAAAGTTTTCCCAGATCTATGTCGCCTTCTCCAGTGAAAGAAACGTCGGCATCGTCAACACCATCAACACCCAAATGTTCAGAGGTAGATGCGATGGCCGACGAGATAATCCCGGAAACGCCTCAGCGCAGCTGTGCCACTGACATTCAAAATCAGAGCATCACGGAGACACCCCGAAAGAGTGGAACTCCCAGTCCGCACAGATTGATCACGCCCTTGGGCTCCATAACGAAATCAGCGTTGTTGCCGAAGTTGCACAGACGGAAATCTCTCGGCACGTTCGAAGCGAATGAGAACTTCTCTCCTGAGCAAAAAGAGAAGACGTTGAAGAGACACGCGCGCGATCAACTGTTGATGACTCCGGCGAAACTCTTCAAGGCGGACGACTCTTCGGCACCTCGAGCGCGCGCGGCGTTATTTCAAGAGAAGAAAACCGAGGCTCCCGTGAACAATATCTCCTTGAGCACGAAAATGTTCTACAGCAGTGGCAAAAAGTCCGAGCGACCTTTCGTCGTCAACAGTCTTAAAAATAACGACGTTAAAAGAAGACGAAGCTTACCAATACAGAGTAGCAGCAGCAGCAGATGCTCGTTGAAGAAGCAGAGATTCGGCATGATAAACGCCGGTGTGTTTCACGGCATCAAGAAGCCGAAGACTAAGGTGAATCTAAAGGTATTGAAGAAAGAGGGCCAGCAAGTTACTCAAAGCCCCGCAGAGTCAAACGAGAACAAAGAGAACAAGAATCCGCTCGTGGAACAAGCTCTGCCGATGGAAGCAAACGCGACCACGGAGAGAACCTCTTCGCCGGAAATCGACGAGAGCAGACGCTTTTTCAAGACTATCAAGCCAAGCCAAACTGCTACGGTGACGGTGAACAAGAGAATCAAGTTGAAGATCGCAGACGGTAAGATCTTGTTGAACCAGAAACACGGTTTCTATTCGACAAATGCGTGCAACAAGCAGCGAGCGAAAGCCAAGGATGTCTCTTGCGACGCCACTGATCTCACCGTGGACGAGCCGAGTGTCGAAACTACGTTGGAGGGAAACAAGGTCGCCAACATCTTGAAGATATTGGAGGACGACTGGGCGAATGATGATTACGACACGATGGAGACGTTGACCGTCAATACAAACACCGTGTCGTCGCCGACGACAACGTTAGCGCAGGATGCGATCATGTCTCCGGCAAGTGAGCTCAGTAACATGACTTCGACGATGAACATCAGGGATGTTACCTCCTTGACGAGCTTTGGCAGTCTGTCGCTCAGCAACACGAACAACAACCCCGCGAAAGTTGACCAGGAGTCCGAGGAGAAATACTACCCGTTGTTTACTAAAAGATACGCTGCACCTTCGGCTGACTTCTCCAAGTAGATATTATGAGACTCGCTGTTGAATCTGGGGAATCAGTTAATGAGATATGTCTTTCCTTGTTTTCAGGGAAACAGGAAAGATCAACAAATCGACGAGAGAGAAGAGGAACACGCAGTGGCAGCTGTCCGTGAAAAATGGACAGGATCAGTATCAGCTAGACGCTGGTCAGAAACACTTTGGTGCTACTCAGTGCCCAGAGTGCAACATTGTGTATCAATTGGGCGACGCAGAAGACGAGAACGCCCACTTGAATTACCACAATAGCATACGTACTTTGAAGTTTCAAGTAAGCACTTTGCATTCTTGTTTCGTTAATGTGCGATACGTCTCTTAGCTATATTTTTTATTTGTTGCAATATTTCGTATCTTAACGTTTGCTGCCTCATCTGGTAAATGTCGGATCTGAAGTAATCCTAAAGATGTGTGGTAATATGTAAATGTCTTATTATAGGGATGGAAAAATGAACGCGTCATGATGGAGAATTCCTTCACGGGAAGCAGAATAATTCTGGTAGAATCGCACGATCCGAAACAATATTGGAAGAAAGTGTCGGAGATTCTGGCGGTTGTGGACAGAGATCTAGGACTGGCGGATATGAAGCTGTGCGTTTATGAGAACAAGAAGGTCAATATACGGGTTTTGTATCTCGTTGGGTCATTTTGAATTCGGGAAATCTAGAGAGAAGTGCATCCTTTCTTCTTCTCTCGTCTGCTTTTAGGTCTATCTGTACATACGCGAAAAGAGTGTCCTCGGAGTGTTGGTGGCGGAGCATATCAAGACGGCGCATCGTATGATTCCCGAGCTGATCGAGCTGGACTGTTGCACCGCCGAAAGTACGCCTGCGAAGTGCGGCATAAACGTAGTTTGGACCGCGATGAGCCATCGTAAGCAGGGCATAGCTACCAGACTCGTCAACACTTTGAGGTGAAATGCAAAAAACGTTACGCGATGCGGATGAGTCCGCATCGCGTAACGTTACTGATAATTGTAACTCCACGTCGCGCGATACTAACAAGTTACACGCTTGTTTCAGAGCCAAATTTTTCTACGGTTACGTGATGTCACTGGATGATATAGCGTTTTCGACACCATCCCTGAGTGGCAAGATCTTCGCCGAGAAATACACGAAAACTCGGAATTTTAAGGTTTACAGCTAAATCGCAAGCTCCTACATATTTGTGCGTTTTCAATTTTCTCTCATTTTATACTTTTTATATAAAAGACTTCTTGTTATAAGATTAATATATATATTTATTGATTTGTATCTTTAAATTTTTTTTAGCAATACAGCAATGCGTACATTTTATTTTTCAACATGAAATTAGAAATTTAATATATAAATCTATAGTTTTTTTTTTTTAGATATAATGTACTTCAGACTTTTCTGGAAATTAATAAACGTAGACAGTAAATATAAACTTGGATATATTGGTTTAGGTATGATCAATCAGAACTTGAACAACCTAAACAACATAAACAATGTTACAAAATTGTTTAAGATCCATATGATAAAAGTTTATTCAATTATACATCTTTGTGCGTTTATACACAGTCGTTCATGTTTGCACATGAATAGATTGGAATAGCAATGGTATAAAATAACTTTTGTCATACGATGTTAAACATAGCCTTGTCCAATATGTACGAAAGATAACATATCTTGGAATGAATAATTTAGTCTTGGCATTTTTAATTTACTAATGAGACTTAAAGATTTAGAGACTTTAGAGATTTGCGCTATTAATCTTTTTATTTTTGTGAACGTGTACGAATGTAACGAGCTAGTTCTTTCTCATAGCAGTTTATAAGTAGAGAAACGTGATGTTTTTAAGTTCATTGGTAAAAATTATTTGAACGAATGAGCAGAATAATCTCTGATTCAAGTGTTTCATTAAATAAAAATTAAGCGGACATATTGAGCAGACGTGAATATCACAACGTAAGCTTAATATAAACTTAATTTAACTTAATATAAGTTTCTTTATGCCTTAACAAAATATATAAAAATTCTATTTTAACTTATAATTAAATTAAATACATAGTTATTAGTATATTACATACTGTTATAACTTTGAATTTCATATCTCACCATTGGAGTAATTATAACAATTTAAAGAACTGCATAATCAGCAATTACAACACATTATAAATGTATCGCTATGTTTCATTGTTTCAATTTTAAATACAGTTCCTGCTTTAAAATATGACATTTCAAAACACTATGTCTTAAAATTGACATTCCTGATACAATCTTAGCACTACAACAGATTCTAAATTATATATATTAATCTCTGGCGATCGATGCAAAAAAATATTTCACTCTTTTCTGAGAGATCATATGATCGAAATAAAAATACTTATTGAAATGAAAAAAAAAATGAAAGAAATTGCAAAGCATTCGGTAGAAATTTATTACTTATAAAAATAAGATTGTCTTTCTCTTTGTATTTATTTAGTTGTACTTTTCTCTAATTTCTCCCTAATTCCTTTAATCTCTTTATTGATAATATCTCTGCAGACTAAAACAAATTGCACATTACCAAGAGAAATTTAGAAATCTCTATAACGATTGCGGCCTCCTCTGAAACCTCCTTTGCCTTTGCCATCAAGTTCCGCTTTTTTCTTCCACGCTTCGTATCTCTCAGCCATTTTATACAATTCCCCGGGTACCTCCTAAAATATCAAGTTTATTAGTGAATGGAAAATTTGCACAAACCGGATGCTTCCTGTAATTAAAACAGACTTGATGAGCTTCTTCGAGAATATTGATAAGTTGCTGAGCATGCGACCAGTCTTTTCTCGTCATGAAAGTAATACTTTCACCGGTACGACCAGCACGCCCGGTACGTCCAACTCTATGGACATATTCTTCTATGTCCCGTGGGAAATCGTAATTTAGTACATGTCTGAAATGAGAACAATACTTCTCAAGTAACGGAGCTTGTGTTTCAGATTTATTTCAAACCTGAAATCACTGATAAGTAACTCAATAGAAACAGTACAAGTTATATCTTATCGAAACGTACGTAATATCTTCAATGTCAAGCCCTCGGCTGGCCACATCTGTGGCAAGAAGAATATGAACATTTCCAGTCTTCATGTCCTCCAGCGCTTGCTCTCTATCACATTGGTCTCTGTCACCGTGAATACTCTGGCACTCGATACCCGCTACAGCTAAGTCGCTAGCAACGTGGTCCACCATGGCCTTCTTGCCAAAGAATACTATCACCTTATCATTGACACCCATCTCTCGGAAGAAATCAAACATCTACAACGCAATGTCGTCTCTTTAACATCGTTGAATAAAAGCAATGCTTAAAGTAAATGGCAAATTCCAAAAAAAATTTCCAACCATATTGTTCTTCTCTTCTTCATCAATCAGATAAACTCTTTGTGTGACAGTGTGTACTGCCACTAAATCGAGCGATCCAACAAACACTTGAATCGGATTTTTCATGTAAGACTGAGCCAAACGTCTTACACCTTGAGGCCACGTAGCGCTAACAGATGAAAGGATAAAACAACACGATAACAATGGCACTGTTAGTTGCATCGCACGGGAATTGTTTCTTCAAAAGTTTGCCTTAAAGAAAAAAATCTATATACCTCGTCATAACAGTTTGCCTATCAGATCGTACGTCCAACAAAGTCTTACGAATTTGTGGCTCAAAGCCCATATCCAGCATACGATCTGCTTCATCGAGTATGAGATACGTTACGGATGTCACATCCAACACTTTGGCCTGTACCAAATCATTCAGTCTTCCGGGAGTTGCAATTACTATTTGCACACCTTTTGTTACTATATTGATCTGCTCTTTGCGATTTCCACCACCGTATACACATACCCTGAAGTAATTTTTATATACAAGAAAACAAAGAGATTGTAATGTTTTGAGCGTACTATCTAATGGCACAAAGACATAAGAGAGAAGTTATCTTGTACAAAGTAGACTTACGCTTTAATACCGTGGTAAGAATACTTTCCAACTTCTTTTTCTATTTGCAACGCCAGTTCTCTCGTCGGTGCCATAACGAGAACATTCGGTCCTTTGCGTTCAGACCGCGGAGTTGACTGTCCGTCGATGTGGATGAGAGCCGGCAATAAAAAGGCCAGAGTTTTTCCTGAAAATATAATCGGTAGTGTATATGTAAACACATATATGTGAATTGCAAGATAAAAGAAACGGAACCTGTTCCAGTTTGAGCTATTCCAATGAGATCTTGACCGCTCAACAGAATAGGCCATGCTTGACACTGTATAGGGCTTGGTTTCTGAAATCCTTGTTTTCGTATCTCTTCAAGGATATCTGGATAATCCTGCATTAAAATATAATATACATATAATAAAATCAGTAGATGTATGTACTAAAGCAACTACACGAGTTGATTCTTGACTCTCATGTTACCTTAAAAGCTTGCTCAAAAGTCTCAACAAGATTTGGTATCTTAACTGTATCAGTTGAATCCTTATTTTCGAAAACATATCTAACTTCTATACTATTGTTATTCTTCCTCAAATCAGCTACATATTTTTCTGACATGTTAGCAACAGCTGGATCTTCATTGTAAAAATCCTTTTTGATAGGTGGCATAGAGGCCAATTTTCTCTTCTGATGTTCCTCCTGTAAAAAGTATTAATATGAATAGCAATATTTACCGGTAATATTTTAGATGTGACTACAGATGAAACTTACACATTCTTTATAAGCCTGGGTCCAGTCAAAATTGTTAAAATCAATTTCTTTGGGTTCTTCCTTTTGTGTAGAATTTGCTTCCTCTTGTGAGAAACTTTCCTCACCCAAAAACTTTTTTATCGTATCACAGGCTCGTTGCCGGTCTGTGTCTGAACCATATATTGTTACAGCAGATTTTCCATGAGGATTCTGATTTCTGTCAACCTATATAAAAGCAGACTTAGACACTAAACATCTAGATCAATGGATCATGATGCACAACTATTCTTTATTACTCACGTTCATTTTGGTGTTGGTTTCCTGTTCCAGAGCTTTAATTTGACTTCCACCTCGCCCGATAAATTTACCAAGATCTTTTTGCTGAATGAACACCACACTTGATTCTTGGTCCTCGGGGTATCTTGTTCTGTTGTTGGAATTATTATTGTAATTTTGTTTACTTGAATCATCGTTGTAGCTATCTCTTGAGAATCTGCTACGATATTTTTGAGGCTTTTCATTATCCCATCTATCATTGTCGTAGTCAGACTGGTATCGTTTGTAACTCATTCTACAAAATAAATATTCTATGAATATCAGATTACTTTTCATCAGACAGGAGTGATCTTAGTCGACTCACTTGGCTGAATAAATAGCTGACAAGAGTCGGGTAGTCACGTCTTTGGCAACAAGAATTTACTTCAGAACGCAATATTATGTATCACGACCTCAAGCAGACATGAAACACGTGTTAGAAAAAAGTAATTCGGATCGTCCTTGCTATTTGTATCACACTATCACCACAATCGTCCGCGCGCAGATACTCAAAAGTTGGAAAATAATGGCAGAAGCGAGCTGACCAATCGATGTCGCTCGCAGCGATGCAAGCGCCACAGACGGAGTTGAGAAAACGTGCACTCAATCCCGCGAATACCTTACCGCTCTCCAAATTACAGTTTCATCGTATTTCCAAAATTCCCGACCGTCGATTATCCCCTTGTCAAGTCAAACGCTGTTCGGTTACCTTCCTGTCCGCTAGGCACTCCCCCGTAACCGACTTCCATAAACCACTAAACGTTCATTTTTTCAAATAAAACTTTACATTCTACACAGGTAACTGTACAGGTGGCGAGCAAAGAACGCAGACGGACGATGGGAACGGCGGTTGAATTAACAAGGAAACTTATTCCACTCGTTCTCTCTCGCTTCTCGCCAAGCGCGTGTGAGCGCAAGAAATACAAAAAGGTACACGATTGAATGCGGGAACAAAACCTGCTGAGAAACAAACTTTACAAGAGTTACAACCCAGTCAGAATCACAACGTTGATTCGACGTCGATAAAGGTTGAATCAACACATTGATTTGACGTTGAAATGGTCGATGAAACGTTGAATCAACATTAATTCAACCCTCATCAACGTTATGGTTCCGACTGGGAAATTAACTGGCCAAGCCGTTCTTGCGTAACGTGCGTTTCAAAAAGCCGAGGAACACTTTCGTCCGGTTTGCATATAATTTTTGAATTTAGAATTCTTTCGATGTAGAATCTCGGCGTGATAACGATGCGTAACCAATAGGTCTCGCTGATCTTTCGGTCTAATGGAAGATTTATGAGGAAATGGCGCTCTTTTTGGTCGTGCGTGTCGCTTTGCAAGGATTCTCGTCCTCGCGATGCGTCGCAGAAGCTTCCATGACCGAGCAAACCGCGCCAACAGGTTGTCTTCCGAAAAGCCTGAGCGTTAATTTCGCCCGGATTCGCATGCAGGAGGGCAGTGCCGGTGTCACCGCATGGCGCGGCACGACGTCTCATCGGTCAGCACAAAGGCGATACATGAGGCTGCGCAGAATCGTATCGGCTAACACGAGTTAGACGAGCCGTATTTAATTGTGCATCAGTGTGAAAAGGGACCTTGGAAAGAATGTTGTCGATAGTACGTACGGTCTCGCCCTCGATAATTATTCTTTTGATACTCGAGCGTTATTTCGGTGAGTGGCTAGCACGGCATTGTCGGGAATTCGCCCGTCGCCGTCGTGTGCCGCGTCGAATCGGGAAAGTGCGGAAAACTTGGCCGACTTCGCGCGAACGTCAAAACGGGGACGAGACCGTCGTTCTCGCCGTGGCTACTTTCGGCCCTCGTCGCTGGACGTTCAACGTCGGAAAATCGCCCTCGACAGCGAACCCAGTTGGAACTATAACGTTGATTTGACGTTAAAGTGGTCGATGAAACGTTGAATCAACGTTAATTCAACCCTCATCGTCGTCGAATCCAACAACGTTGTGGTTCTGGCTGAGGAGTCGTGCGATCCTACGCGTTTCTCTCTTCTTTTTGTTCTTTTTTTTTTTCTTTAATAGTGTGCGAAATTCTCAGCCGATCGAGCAATTCGAACAGTCGGAATTTCCAGGTCGTTCGTCGAATTTCGAGAGCACGCGCATTTCGAACGTGGCCACAAGTTCGAGGTTCGAACAGCTCGATTGCCGCTGCATGTATCGCGTTCTCCAAACATATGTTGTCCGCAGGAGCCCGCGGTTCCTCGATCAAGTCCTTGGACGTGCCGCTGGTCGTTCGCAACGGAACCGGCCCGGTGGATCTCGCCTGCGTCTACGAGGTTGACGACGAGGAGAACGGACTTGTAATCAAATGGTTTCACGAAGCGTATCAGATCTACCAATGGATTCCGCCGAGTAATTTACGCCTCACAGCTACTACCCACGCGATTTTATTATAACTCACGCGTCTGTCACGCCGCGTCGCGCGCACATTATTGAATTTATTTATCGGTAGCTTCGTTACGTCGCGGCTGTGCGTGCGTACGCACATGAATCACCCGATCGGAAGATGCGCGAAGAACTTAGCGAATAATTTCATCGGTTCTTCGTCCGACCAAAAAAGAACATGCCGCATAATCCTGACGAAGAAATATTCCTCCGATTTATTATCTTGTTAACGTAAATTTAATAAACTCACCTATATGCCGCCAGTACAACCGCAGGATGTCGGGATCATCAAGGGCCTCGCGGAGTACCCGCCCGAGAACTTGAAGAATCCGTACACGCGCTCTGTGATCCGACTGAAGACCGTTACCGTTGATATGACAGGAGAGTACACGTGCGCGATCAGCACATTCCAAGATGAGGCGAGCAACTCGACAAGGATGATCGTCTACGGCAAGTTTTCTTCTCTCTTTCTTTAACGCGGGTGATACATTTGCAATCTGTTCGCGTGGAGCATATTCGACAAATTGTGCAAATTTAAATCTAACGAAAAAGAAATCTAATAGAGGGGAAGTATTCATCAACCTATTAGTTCATCCTCCTATTAGTTAATCTACAAGTTTAGAAAGAAAATTCAATCGGCACACCCTCGCCGGATCTGTTTTCTCTTCTATTCTAACCGAACTCACTTCAATCGCATGCGATTATTTCGTGGATTCGGCGATCCGATCATCGTCCTTTGTTTTCAGTGCCGGAAAGTGACATGACCGTGCGTACTTACCCCTTCAACAAGACTCATGTGAATTTAACCTGCGTGGTGACCGGCGCGCGACCTCGACCGTCTTTGAAGCTCTACGTGGAGGGTGTCGAGAGCGACGATCGCGGAAACGACCGCGAGTCTTCGATGGACTGGTACAAGGGTAATCCTCGAGTGTCGCTGAATGTGGTCGTCGAGGACACGCTGGACCCCGCGGTGGTCGAGTGCGAGATGTCGATTCCTGAGACGGAGTACAAACGACGAGAGCGGATCGTCTACTACCCCAGTTCGAATCGTTCCAATGGCGTAAACGTTCTTGGGGAGATCTCCATGAGACAAAATGATTAATTTGTTATAATTTTGGGATACACGACTGTGTGTCGCACACATATACACACATGTATATATATTTTTTAGCGAGAATTTATTACACTCTGTTACAGAGACTGTTGTCCTTTTGTTTCTTGTTCAGTGACGAGACATTTATTAAACGAACATCTCTTTCGTGTTTATGTTTCAGCGCAATTACTTGCCTATCGCACAAATGTTTCGCAAGGGAGGCATCGTGCCAAGTCGTTGCTTGTCGTTGATATCCTTTACGTTACTATTATCAGATTGATATTAACGTAGGATTAAAGTAGTTCATTCTGCGCTACGAATAACGCTGACACGTTAAAACGGCAGGTATTTGATGTACTTTAATTTTAGTATTTAAGTATTCGCTCTCTCTCTCTCTCTCTCTCTCTCTCTCTCTCTCTCTCTCTCTCTCTCTCTCTCTCTCTCTCTCTCTCTCTCTCTCTCTCTCTCTCTCTTGGCGCTGGACGATGAAATAATAGTGCGCGCTTCCCTTTTTAATTATTAATTAATAACATTATCATCTAAAATTGCGTGCGTTGTTATTATTATCATTATTTGTCTTCGCTATTAATAGGATTACATATTAATTTCTTTTCATATTTACTTTAGCGAGTAAAATAAAGTGCACTCTCAAGTAGTCTAGGAAATGATTTATCGATTATCGGCGGAATTCGCATTCGCATCAAACCATGCAAATAACAATAAAATAATGCATAAACTGTGAAATTCATTATTTTACTCGTCCGTTAACTTCGACGAACTACTTTCTCCCATCAGTAATTTCGTCGAAAGTTGCGCGTCACATTGTTTTTTCTCATTGTTTCATAATCTTTTGCGCTGTCTCTTAAAAATTAAAAATTCCGCAAAATATATGTGCTATATTAGAATATGCAAAAAAATAATGTTCCTCGTATTGCTTCCTCCGCACTTGTTGCTGCGAAAATGAGCGAATTTTCAAGGGATCTTGATTAGCTCGCGTTTCACTCCAATTGTACTTCTTATTCGTCGTAGAAGTATCCTCGCAGAATTATGAAACAAATCTGTCTTCACTCCGTACAGCTCGTGCAATAAGATAAAACTGATACAGGCTGATAATGTATTTATTTGTGATTTTGCTTTCCCTCAAAAGTGTTTCTCTCAAAAATGACATGTGACATACCGTGCGAGGACCTCGTGAAGTGAACTTTGTTGACCAGAGCTTGCACAACTTAACTTTGAGCACGCTCTGATGTATCACTATATTGAAATGATAAGGCGATTGCGTGCGTCGGGGGTGGAAGAGGTAATCTCAGATGGTGGGGATATCTAGAAGCAGCGGTACCCCACAGGATTATCATTCGCTTCCCGGCGCTCACCTGTAGAGGGTAAGTAGCCGCTCGCAACGCGAGTCTCCTACTAAGTTGCAACCTGACATAATTCGCATCTTGTGCACATTGTAACATCTTATTCTTTTTCTTATCGTTTTAGGCTGCTACATTCGAATGTAATTTCACTGTCAACGCGGCCGGAATTATATTTTCGGTTTTATCTTTTTATAACTGCCCGTCCGAATAATATTGCTACTTCATGAGTGGTCATAAGCGGTCGAAATTCGTTCTACTTTGTAATTTTATCGGGGAACCTTTCGAGAAACTTGAACATCTTCACAATTTTTTACACTTATATATATTCTTATTAATGCTTATATTGTTGAAAACGCAGCATCCACTTTCGTAACCGAAATCACCAATCTCTCCGGCGTTGCGAATACTTCACAAAAATGAGTCGCACCTGGATATTGCTTTTTCTCGCAGGTAACAGAAATCTTGTATTGCACGAACGTGAGCATTTATTAAGTTGCATTTATTAATATATCCCTTTATTTTTGAGTTGGCATCATTCTTGTTTCCGCTTAAAACAACAGTCGCCATTAATTTTTCTCAACGAATTGAGAACTATTTTCTCTACTTTAAAGAAAATGTTCTTTCGTCACTTGCAGTTGCGAAAAATCATCGAAAAATTTTCATCTCCGATGTCGCTTGCTCTTGTTTGTAGAAAATTTCAGAAAATCATTTTTAAAATTATACGTTAGCATATATGTATATCTCTTTCCAAATTAAACGAATGTCTACGCTTTCCTAATTTACAATATAATATTGCGCGCAATAAAGTATAGTGGTCACAAATCGCTGACATTTCAAAAGGATGTTAAATGAGGTTGATAATCAAACGATGTCTATAGTGTCTTTCGTGTTTACGGGATAATCCGATCAACCGTCCCATCAGCAGTGAGCGAGTAGACGAAGTGGTATCGTCGGATTTCGCGTTGATCTCTTTGTTGAGAACAGCAGACTATTGCAATTTATGCTAAGAATAGCTTCCTAATCGTTCAATGCCTCCACAGATCATAATGTTTCGAAAATAATGAAAAAAATATCATAAAGCGGATTATTTATCAATGAAACAAGTCGATGAAATTGTGGCTTCTGTCAATGACTCGTAAATAATTTCGAATTAAAGTATAAAAAAATTATAAATTACAATCGCAGTTCGAGATTACGATTATATTAAGGTAAATCACGTCACAGATAATTATTTTGTTTAAACGTCCTATTTTCAGGACGAAAATTCTACCGCAAATTTGATTTTTTATTCAAAATATATAATTCCTAAATTTATCTGTCTTTTTCGATCAATGTCTAAAGATAAAAAAATTTTCTGTATTGCAATTTTATGGATTTATGCAATGCCGATCCTTCTCTCAATTACGTCAGGGCGCTGTTAAATTAAGAAATTGTCTACCAAAGTTATCGATGTGTAATGACGGCCCAGAATGAAGATTCTTAAAGTTGAAGGAAGTTCGATAAAGATATGCATTGGCTTGCGTAATATAAACGGGATAACTTGTAATTACTTGATTGACATTCATTACCGAACATCGAAGTATCGTCACATCCATAAATGCAACGCGTCGTGGAGCAAGAAAAGACAGGGGACCTGTATGAAAGTTTTTCCGCGCTTTATTTGCTAAACTTTCTCACGCCTGCCCACGTGAGACATGAATAATTATTTTCATCTCGAATTCGTCGTCTGCATCGTACCTTATTGATTGCTGTTCTGTTTTTTTTTTTACATTATCATTTATTTATACGCACGATGATGTCCTTTTATCCTTTTATAAATTATTTATAGTTATTCCTGTCGGTGATCCTTCAACGGAATTGTCAATTTGGAAATGTACTTCAAGTAGCGTTTACTCAGAAACTTATTCTTTAATTTCCATTTGTTGAAACAATAATTATTATTACATTTGTTGTTCCTTATTTTAAATGTATATACGTAGAAATTATTCAGTCTAGTGTTCGAGAGGTAATTCCATTTATTATTGCAGTGTGCGCGCTGTGGTCTTTCGGCGAGACGGTCTCCTGCGACCAATGTGGGCGAGAATGTGCCGACATCTGTGGAACACGGCAGTTCCGCGCCTGCTGCTTCAACAACATGCGGAAGAGACAATCCTCCGACTTTGGCCTGAAGTTTTGGAAGATGAGACCGCGAAGATACGCGATTCACCTGTACCCGACCTATGACGCTTAATCACCGTGCCGTACACATATATTCAAGTGGACAGAAATCTCTCGGCAGAAACTAATTACCGCTCAATGCTTATTTTACTTTGCACCGTTTAATTAGAGACACTCCAATGTCCAATGTCCCTTATGTTCCCCCTTGGCCTCTCGCAATGATTCGCTTGTCGACGCTTCAGTGAAATTAAAGGTGTTACGTAGCAGCACATATTTGGCTACGATTCTTTGATTACGATAAAAAAAAGATATCTCACTCTCGCCCGATTTCATATCAGCATCGTTATATCTAAGGATGCATACGTTGTCTTCAATTATTTAACTTTATTAAAAAGATGGCACGGCAACACGTACGGCATACACATATATGTATAATTATTTTTTATTGAAAGTACAATCCCTCAATTATTTACACGTGTAAGAATTTGTTTAATGATATAAAACTATGGAGATCTCTTATCGTATACATATATACACATTATGTACATTATGCGCATCGTATGCATTTGTAGATTTACGATTGGAATTTGTTCGTTCTACCTTCTTCATTGTTTCCTCTTCTGTTTTCTTATTTTGTTCGTTACCTTCACGTTTGGCGTAACATTTGTCTTACAGACATCTGCGTTATTGAACAATTTTTCTTTATGCTTCTTTCGTCGTTTCGATCCATTCAATTTTATTTGGATCAAGTCTTCTGGTATTACTTCTTTCTTCTTTTCCTTATTTTTCAATTCTTCTGTTGTTTTCACATCAATGTTGATGTGCGTATGTTTACGTTTCTTTACCGGAGAAGTTTCAGCGTCATGTTTATGTACCTTCGACATACTCGCTTTGAAAGCCTTTCGACTTATCACTTCTGTAAAACAAAAATTAATGGAATTAATAGGTACAATTCAACGTGAATAAAATCCGAAAACTGCAAAGAGAGAATATTTTGGCATAACTGGTTTATGGCGATCTAAATACAGTGATTAATTTATGCTTATTGGCCCAACTCTTATCACAATTTTAAATTCTATACAAAATTTAGTATTTAATAACATGCAATACGAATTTCACTGATATCATTATACTTTACATGTAAAATTTAATTTTTACTTTTGTGTCAATAACGTTTCATCTATCATGAATAAAATATTTGTTTTTATTACAGAACATGACTTCTTGCTCCTGCTTGAAATGTCGAAATATTTAGGCTTAACAGAAATTTGATTTAATCTTTCGCATTTTTTTTTACATTGTACAATTATAATAAAAACAAAACGACCCGTATGCATATATGTGTGAAATAATGGTTAATTTATATTGCTGTTCAGTATATATACCTCCAATATCATCCACATCAGCTTCTGATTTAGGTTTATCTTCTGATATATCATGGACTGCAGTATCCTTTTGCGATCCTTCTGATATATCAATCAATTCACATGTTGTCATACTAGATTCAGAAATAGTGATTGTTTCATCAGTACCATCAACTGACGGTTCTCTGAGTAGTTTAAGTATTACATCATCCCAGTTATTGTTAGGACAAGTGCTAAAATAATCCATTGTTTTAGAACGCGCATTGATTGAAATATTAGATAATTGCAGACATACAAAGCAGTTTCATCATGCATCCACTCTATAGAAAGCCACTGTTCCAAATCATGTGGCAGAGATTGATTCTCTGGAATCCAAGGTAAACCAACATACTGAAAGATGGATACATATTGGTACAGTTCCTTATACCACACGCAACATTGCCTAATTAGTTGTCTCGACAAGAACCTGCAGAGAAATGGATGCTGTATTATTAGAGTAAAAATATACTTTACATATAATATAAATAGCTTATATAATAATCTTACCAAATCCTACTAATATTGGAATAAGCAACTAAGGAGATGCTCCAGGCATGACCTAATCCAATCCTAGTTTTGAGAAAATGTGCACAGTATCTCGCAACTTGTTCTATCCTTTCCATTAATTTTGCAAAACCTTGTGTTCTTACAAGCACATATTCCAGCAATTGTCTGCTTGGCAAGGTGAGCACTTTGTCTTCTACATGAATATAAGACTTTAAATCTTTATAATTCTCTACCAGTGCCATATTCAAGTAGTTGATTAGGGCTCTGTTTACTTTCTCCATAAATTTTAAGCCTTTATCACTTCGAAATTTGTTCTTCATACGATAAATTAATCGACTTAAAAATGCAGCTTCCATATCAAGAACAGCCATTGATTCCAGCTCTCTGATTGCCTTATTAATTACAGCTGTAAATTTCTTGATACCTATAAACAGACAAAAACAATATTTAACTTAACAAATGACATCGATTTATGTTTTCAAGGCAATAAGTTACATATACATAAAGATATGGTTGAATTCAGGTTTTATAATATTCATCTACATATGTCTCATATATAAACATGGTGAGATATATTATTATTATATATAATTTACCAAATGCATTTTTGTTGGTACGCCAAGTTAAGTACGGTGGATGCTGCAACTTATAGTTATTCCAAATTGCATCCATTTTGCAACAAATTCTGGCACCAATTAGTAGTGTAGTGCCTCCTTGTTTACTGTTTTCCTAACCTATATATAGAATCAGAGCCAACAATTTAATCGCGTCTTCATTCATTCATTCATTCAATATATGGCTCTGAGCAGAGTTATTACACTCCTTCTCCTATGCCAATTACAACGATTTTGGAAATAAAAGAGAAACAGGGACAACGCGTACGCAGTCCCCAAGATCAAAAATATGTGTAGTTACAGGAACCACATCCAACCGCCACGGAGGCGAACAAAAATCTCTAATCGCGTCTTCGAATGACACGTGTTTGGATAGAATTGTGACGCAAACACACAATTAAGATCCGCTCGTTTACGAAAGATGTCTAAACTAATTAAAAAAAATATTAGAGTGGAACCACAGACAACATTTATAACATAGATGCTGTGAGTGAAACACACGCGTATATTTTTCCCCACTCCGCTTGTTGCACTCGGTTGCACTAGTTTAAAAATTCGGAAATTCTTCACAAGTTGTTCTGCGACATCCTGTATACAGGTTGTCTCCTAACCATTGGTCTGTTCTTTTCAGCTGCACTGCGGAACTAGTGCAATAAGTTAGAATGAGACAACTATATTTTTTCTCACTTTAACTTATTGCACCAGTTCAGTAATACAGCTAAAAAGAACAGACCAAATTTGTTGCAGAGCTCGTGGAGACATAGAGCAGGTTAGAACAGCCATTCGGATCACAACGTAGTTTAGTCGATTCAGCAACTGCTGGTGATATGCGTTGAGAGACGTGGAAGCCGCGAGATAAAATATGAATAGCGGCATGTTGTCTTTCCCCTCACACCTTGCACCAGCAATAGTTGCTAGCTGTATTATCATGAGCGTAGCTAAAACAATCGGTATTATCATTGCTCTTAAATTATCTCCGGGCCCTTTGGGCCCTTTTAGTTGATACGAAAATTTACCCAGGTCTGTCAGTCTTTAAAAAAATGCAGAAAGTACAAAAAGAGCGAACGTTCGAAATTAAGTCTCGCGCCATCTGGACATGACAGTGGCGCGTCGCATCGTTCTCCTTCCCCGGTCAGATGCGACTGGTTACTGGCACAACGTCGCGAGCTGTCGTCGAGCAGACGATTCGAGTTGTGCTCGGGGCTAACCTGGAGATCTGCGAATCTGCTAGAAAGATTTTCCGAAAGCTCTTGCGACTGTCAGCCGCGTAAGTGTCACGATATTTCCGTTGGTCTTCCGCACTAATTGTTCTCAATGTTGTACGATATCGATCCTTCGGGAAATATGCCATGCGCTTCGCGAGAAGAGTGCTTTGACATTCCCAGACAGGTTGAGTCAGGTACATCGGGTATACACACGCCTTGTGCTTTTGTCGTTTTCCTCGCTGCTGCTTGTCACCTGTTTCTCGTTGCTCGCTTCACGTGATTCTACCCATCTCAGAGAATGAGAAATAAACGCGATGTTATATTTTTTTAGGTGGTACAACAACATGACGAATTCGTCATCCGAATGTCAGAAGTATGTTCACGACAGCAGCAGCGACACTGAAAATGATTACAAGGAGATTGAAGGGAGGGGAAGACACCATGTGATTAAGAATAGACTGAGGTAAGATTTCGAAAAGCTCTTCCGTCCATCTCGTTTCGTAGAGTTCTTACAAGTTAGAGAAGAAACCTTGGAACCTTGAACTGCATAAAAATTCCTCCATGTATTGTTCAAAGTTTTTTTTAGGAATAGAGGAAAGTTTTCACTTAGAGAAAGGGTTTCCTTTTTATTTCGAAAACTATAGAGTCTCTTGCCCGGGAGGGTTTTGCATGATACAAACAGTTTCTTGAAATCTTTCCGCACTAATAAGGATATCTGAGTTTCAGTTTTAGGGTCAAAGGAAAGTGAGAAGGTCCTGATCTCTTTTTATTTTAGTTTCAAAGGATGATTGCCTCTTTCTCTCTCTCTCTCTATCTTTTTCTCTCTCTCTCTCTCTCTTTCTCTTTCGCAAAACTTTTCAGTTTCTCAGAAGAATAAAGTAGAATGAAAGAGATTTATCGTTTTTCGAATTTCTAGAATTTTAATTAGCGTAGTAGTAGCGTATAGTAGACGTCATGCAGCGTTCGACATGCTTGTCGATGTAGTGAATGCGATTAGATTGTAAGCGAGATTACGTGGTTGGTTGTTCTGTGCATGTGTAGTTGTGTCGGTGGCTCCGCAAAGCCGAAATCTTGTCTGGTACAGAGGGATGGCAGCAGTGATCGGCAGCATTGCCATTCGTTTGGTTCGCTCAACAGAAATCATTCGCAGGACGCGAGTCTTGGCAGGTAAGAAAAACTCTACTCATCTCGTCGGAAAGTCCTTCTATTCTTGAGACTTTCATTTGCGTCGTTGCTCGTCGACTTACAGCCAGCTCTTGAATTCTCTCCCATGCTTGAGTGTACATTTATTTATTATTTACCTCATCTATACATATATATATATATATATGCATATATTTAATTCTGTTGTAATTTATATTACACTTGTCATTGTACCTTAAGAACCAAATTATTATTACTCGATATTAAATATATCTTTTTTCTTTTTTATTCCCAAAAAATTATTCTTTATTACGAGAAGATTATTATCCCGCTCGCGCAATATCTTGAACTCGAGTGACCGGGCTGCAAAAGTTGCAAGGTAGGTTCCGCAAACCCCGTTTCAGTCGTCAGTCGAGCGTTTCAATTTTCTAACGACGCGAGAGTGGCGTGTTGCTCCTCCCACCAGAGGGAAGAGAAGTTCGTCTTAACCAGTATATTTCTCCGTAGAATCCGGTCCAATGTCGGTGTGGCAAAGAACCAGCAGCAGAGCCAAAGTAGCAGCAGCAACAGAGATGGCATGGCATCAGGCCCAACGGGGTCTGCCATCAGCGGAGGAGGAGCCAGCAATCCGTCAACTAGTGACGAGAGGATCACCTTGATTGTCGACAACACTAGGCGAGTCTGCAAACCGTTCAAGTTCTAAACATTCCTCCTCACCATCACCAACGTGTTCTTCATTGTTAATTTTAACTCTCACGTAGCTGAACGTCTCTTCTCTCTCTGTCTTTGATCCATTCACGCTGCTAATTGTTTCTTCTTATTGTTCTAGGTTCGTCATCGACCCGGCATTGTTCACCGCTCATCCCAACACCATGCTGGGCCGTATGTTCAGTTCCGGGGTGGAGTACGCGCAACCAAACGAACGCGGCGAATACGAGGTCGCAGACGGCATCTCCGCCATGGTGTTCCGCGCTATTCTCGAGTACTACAAGGGCAATGTGATTCGTTGCCCGCCGACCGTGAGCGTACAAGAGCTGCGAGAGGCGTGCGATTACCTACTGGTGCCGTTCGATGCCAGCACCGTCAAGTGCCAGAATCTACGTGAGTATTATGAGCTAGTGTTTACCTGGAAGATGCTAACCGAGGAATTCATCGTGGCAGGTGGCTTACTGCACGAGCTGTCGAACGAAGGCGCGCGTTGTCAGTTTGAGGTGTTCTTGGAGGACCTGATCCTGCCGCTGATGGTGAACAGCGCGCGACGTGGCGACCGCGAATGTCACATCGTCGTTTTGCTCGAGGATGACGTGGTCGACTGGGACGAGGAGTATCCACCGCAGATGGGCGAGGAGTACTCGCAAAGTGAGCAAAAGTAGCGGTCGTCGACGGCTGATTACTCAAACTTTAATCTTCCTCTCCTTTTAATCTCCTTTTAATTTGCAGCCTTTGCATAAAACTTGCGTGAAAAGCTCGATTCACTTGTGTCGTAAATAGTCTTTGAAAAGGAAGAGAGAGAGAGAGAGAGAGAGAGAGAGAGAGAGAGAGAGAGAGAGAGAGAGAGAGAGAGAGAGAGAGAGAGAGAAAGAGAGAGAGAGAGATGCGCTGCTCTCGATACGTTCAATTTTTTGGGACGATCTGTAGAGTCCGTTATAAGCGGAGCTGACCTTCAAGTGAGAGGACGCGCGTAATTTTTTTTCGTCGTAAGACGCGCAACCTTGCATTATCGTGATCAACACGTGTGTATATATCTGATGAAAAATCAATTAGCTCGGCCTTTGCAAGTGCACGGCAAGTCCATTAGTTCCGCTTGTTTTCTTCAATAATGGATGACCATAAGCTGCTTCACGGTATTAATACGACTCCGCGACGTGCCCCATTTAATCTTCCACTCTCCCTCCGCCTCGAGAAATACCGCGATTCTTCACTGACGCATCAGCTACCCGCTAGCTACCCGCTAGATTCTGCGATGACTTTCAACGATATATTCTGTCGCTTCTATTTAATTTCTCTTCCCTTTTATATCGTCAATTGATTTCACACACGTGCGAGTAATGTCTGACCCCAATTGCGTGTTGCAACAATCCTTTGGTACTTCTCTCAGTTTCTCCCATTTCCTTGTCATCTGTCCGCAGCCGTCAACAGCACGGCGATGTATCGCTTCTTCAAGTACATCGAGAACCGAGACGTGGCGAAGCAAGTGATGAAGGAGCGCGGGTTGAAGAAGATCCGGCTAGGCATCGAGGGCTACCCGACCTACAAGGAGAAAGTCAAGAAGCGCGCCGGCGGGCGCGCCGAAGTCATTTACAACTACGTGCAACGACCCTTCATCCATATGTCCTGGGAAAAGGAGGAAGCGAAGAGCCGTCACGTGGATTTTCAGTGTGTCAAGTCCAAGTCTGTCACGAATCTGGCCGAAGCGACGGCCGACCCTGCCCTAGATCCCACCCTGACGTTACTGGAGGCGAGTGCACTGCCGCCGAGTCGTCAGGGTGCCGCCGAGCCCTCTCCACCATTGGCGTACGTAGATGGAGCCATGGGCCCCGTGGTCGACCCTGATTTGGACCCGTTGCCGGCCGACGAGCTTCAGTAAATCGTCTTATAACTAGTCGAAGCCTTGTGTCGAGCTCTGGGACACCCGAAGTTGAAGGGAAGGGTAACACGGACGTTTGACGACTCATGCGGAAAACTTGGGATTCGACGTTGACTTCATTCTCGTCAAGTTTCCCCCTCTGAGGTTTTCGACTGCCCGATCGAGCCCACAAGCGAATCTCCCCCCTCTCTCTTTTTCTTTCGGCCGGTTTGGGACTTTTTGACGCCACTGGGTCTCCTGGATCTCCTGGCTTAAAACGAAGAAAAGACTTGTTGAGATTCAAAGTGGATGTCTTCGTGTAGTATCTTTTGTGATAGCCTTTCTTAGGTGACAATTCATCGTCGTATTAATTATCGTGAAAATACAGCCTCTGGTGTTCTCCCCCCTGCCCCCCTCGCCTCTACGAGTCCTGCCACCCCACCGACGCCTATGCGGTGTTTTGCAGTCTTGTATATAAGTGTGTTTAGATTTAAGACTCTCTTCGATTAATGTATTATTATTATTATTATTATATCTTCTTCTATACTGCTTTAACGTTTTATACCGTTTAATAATAATTAAATTAACAATATGAAAAGTGATTGATAAATAAACTTGAATACGATTTCGCAGTAAACACCGGCGCTGAGACCATCCTCCTTTCATCTCGCGATCGAATTCGCGTTAGATCCGCGCGAGGTATCAGCGCTGCGTCTTTATAAATACACGCGAGCAGAACGATTCGCTCTGAGATACCTTCTAGAAGGATTTCGGGCGAGCACGCCAGTTACCTGCACGAGCTTCTAGATCGAAGATTAGAACTGAGAGAGAGAGAGAGAGAGAGAGAGAGAGAGAGAGGAACAATCAAACGAGATAGATCAATAAGCAAAATCATCGACTCTCCCCCGTTTCTATTCCATCGGCGCCCTGCTGTCCTCTCCCGTTTCGACTGGCCGTTTAGTAGGTCATCGAAAAGGAAGTAGTTCGAGGGTGTCGGTGGGGGTGTAAACGCCCGCGCACAATATTATATACACAATCGCATGCGCGCACTTTGGCCGGCCGGCTGGTGACGATCAATAGACGCGCCGCGCCGCCGCTCAGTCGCGTCGCAGGCGGGCGAGCGATCAGTAGTGAACGGGTTCGCGAGTGGTGAGGTGTTGCGCGCGTGTGTGTGTGCGGGGTGTGCAGCGCGCGTAAATAGAGAGGGCGAGATAGTGAACCCCTTCTCCTCCTCTTCCTGCCTGCCTGCCTGCCTGCCACCTGCCTACCTGCCTGCCTGCCTACCTGCCTGCCTGCCTACCTGCCTGCTTGCCTGCCTGCCTATCTACCTGCTTGCACTTCCTCCACCTCGACCGGCGTTACGGGAGCGAGGAAAAGAAAAACACAACACAGACTCTCGTCGCCTCAGCATGCAACCTCCACCGAGAAAAGTAAGCAACCCCGAGTTTCCCCGAGGGTGGAAAATCCCGTAGAGTTCAGTCTCCTGTACCATTGGCACGCGAAAATCGTCCTTACGACTTGAGGACCAATTTCATGCCGTCGAAGTGCACTGTAAAAAAAAGGAAAAATCATGTCATGTATGTCCGTCGTCGTGATTGCAAATGTAAGGACTATTTTCACGGGAAGATGATTAATCTCTCCGGAAATTGTCGGTTATACTTGTACACATAGATGCATATACGCACACACACACATACACACACACACACACATACATGTATCGTTGATTTAATTTGTTCGTTTTTGTGTGTACGATCGCAAGGGGAACTTCGCGAAATTCCTGAAGAATGTGCATACAGAACAAGCGGCAAAGTTGCAGGCAAAAAACCAGCATGAGTGCGATCTCCTGGAGGATATACGGTGAGTCTCACTCGTTGCAAGGGAATTAGACGTTAATCTTAGCCACGCGAATATTTCGCCACACACAGCAGATTTCGAGAACGCGACCCGTCCTAATGAAACTTTTAGAAATTGATCTTACGGCTCGCGCTCGATAATTAATAGCCCCACGGCTATAAAATGTTCTCTTAATAATTGGCAGAATTTCGCGCTACGGTAGCTGGCTTTAATAAATCACCCTTATAGATTGGTTAAAGCTTAAAGATCGCTTTTGCGCGCTATGAGCCGAAAGAGATTATTCTTACGACCTGAGAGCCATTTTCGCGTGCCATGCGAGAAAATTGCTCTCGGCGCTTAGTAATGATTTTTACGCGATAACGCGAGTATAATAATCTCACGGAAATGGACGCGGGAGTGATATACGAGCTTGCGATACGAGAGAGAAATAATGATGTGGGCTGATGGGAATTGACCGAATTTTCGATCCGTCCCGACGACGCAGCAACCCTGTGTCGAGTATGTACAACTATTTCATCAACATACACGAGTCCTGGCAATTACGCTGCACGTTGATTCTTGCCTCGCATCGGAATCGAAGATTGCCACCCACGCGTCCTGTGCGCCGAGACGCACGCCGCGAGTAGTCCCTCGATTAATTCAATCGACGAGTCCATCACTTTAATTGATCCGCATTATTATTCCTCTTCTCCGTCCGAAAAGTTGTTTCGACACCTAGAAAGAGATGAAGAGCGAATGAGAGGAGTAAAGTAAATAAAATAAACGGACGTTTCCGTTTCTTTTCAGCAATTTCACAATAAAAAAGTCCGCTATTGAGAAATCCTATTCCGAGGTAAGCAATTTCCGTCTCAGTTCAGTCGTAGTGGCGCAGCGATTAATGGCTTTAACATATTTTTCATATGGATACTTATGATAATATATTACGATTATTAAATGTAATTGTGATAATTAATTAATATCTCATAAAATTATAATAATTATAATTAACTAATTAATAATGCATCCTTATTCTCTACGATACACCGACGTAATGTTGTAACGATCAATTATGAGAAATTATTATCGAATGATTACTTTAAAAATTTTATCAGTAATTATCGATGTCGATGATGACGACGTATAATCGATGACGATGATGTCGCTTTTCAGGCGCTGCTGAAAATATCGTCCGCGTACTTAAACAAAAAGATACCCAACATCCCAGACCTTAAAGTCGATGGAGCCGAAGAGAAATGGTAATTGCGAAACATACACGTGCGAAAGAATCGAGAGGAGACAATGAGATACGCGATAGAAACTGTCCTACGGAAATGCGAGCGAGAAACGAGCATTGAGACCGGTATGAAAAATATGTCGCGGATCGAAACACGATGTCTGCCGCGGGGAGTCGAATTGTCGCAGCTTCCGTTTCTCTCGCGTTGGCGCCGCGAGAGAGCGAAGATAAACTTCGCGCGCCGCCCGTCCGCGTTTCGTAAGGAACGCTCTCGGCTCTCATCTTACAAAGTAATCGCGTACCGGTTTCAATGGCTTGTCATCGATCGAGGAAGTTTGCCAAGCACCGGCGAGACAAATGGCGAACGGTTGCAGGAACATGTGGAACGTATGGCGAACAGTGCTCGAGGAAAACGAGAAACTGGCACGCGCGCGCCTCGCCGCCGTCGAGGTCTTCCAGCAGCAGATCGCTGACGACGCCAAGAGCCTCAAGATGCACAAGCTGCAAATCTCCAAGAAGGTATCATTCACCCTCGCGGATTGTCCCTGCGTTAGAAACAATAGAAACGATATTGAGAAAAAGCTCGGACATTTTTGCGACTTGTACGCGCGACATAATCCGATTTCCAGGCAATCGACCAATTACTGATAGTACAAAAGGAGCTGCAGACCTGCGTGCAGGACGTGGACAAGACGAAGAAGTTGTACTTTGATGAGGAACACAGCGCGCACGATGTGCGCGACAAGGCGAAGGACATCGAGGAGAAGTACGTAGTCTCGTAGAGTTTCCACTTCCGACGCCTCTAGAAGTCGTAATGGCGCTTCTTAACAGACGTTACACCTTCGTTTTCCCCGGAACACTTGCCCGCGAAATTGCCTGCAAATTAGCAACACAAACGTTTCGTCGAGTTCATCAGTTTTCAATGTTGACGCATTTGAGGTCGATGCAATAACACATCGCGGTCTGCCAACGCTTGATGAAGGAAATTGAGAAATGATGCATCGAGATTCGCGGAATTATCGGCCATTATACCGGAGATTATCGAAATCGTCTCGCAAATGGCTGCTCGTCAGCGTCATAGAATCCCTCTCTCTTTTTTTTCGAAGATCGATCGCGACCAATTTGAAGTTTCTTTTTTTACGCACCGTATACATATCGTCTGCGGCTATACGTACCAGCTATGTAATTGCGAGCGCAAAATAATTCATGTGCGATCGATCCTTGCAGATTGAAGAAGAAGAAAGGCTCCTTCTTCCAGTCGATAACGTCGCTGCAGAAGAACAGCGCCAAGGTAGTCGCCAAGCTCGCGAGAATCCCTTCGTGTCTCCCGCGACCGGACTATTCAGTTCAGAAAGATCATTCGTTGTTTCTTTCTTCGTTCAGGTGAGCTCGAAGCGAGATGCCCTGGAGGAGAAGTCCACCGGAGCGCGCAACGATTACCTACTCAGCCTGGCCGCCGCGAACGCCCACCAGAACCGCTACTTTGTGGTCGACCTTCAGAGCACCATGCAGGTAAGGTATCCGATATTAGCCGATAAGTAGACATAATGCGATATGAGGGAAGCAATGAACTACGCGCGGCGCGTAAATCCTGAATAATACGAGCGAGAAGGGAGGTTTTATCCGTCCATCAATTGCTTCATCTAACGCCGCCGTCGTCTCTTTCCGTCTGCAGTATCTAGAACAGGGAGTTTACGACAAGGTGGCGGAGTATCTGACTCTGATGGGTCGCACGGAACTGCTCACGTGCGTCGCCACGCAGAACAGCTTCGGCAAAATACGCGACCAAGCGCAGCAGGTACGTTTCCCTCTCCCCCCTGCTCTCGGGAAGCTTCACAGAGAAAAGAATCATTTGCCAAGATTATCGATTAACATGTCGCGCAATTTCACACACTCGCCAAACGTTGGACGTTGCTTGCGTTGCAGCTCACTAGGGAGTACAATATCCAGTGTTGTTGTTTGTACTATCCGGTCTTGAAGCAGCACATCCAGTATGAATTCGAGGCGTGCGACCACGACCCGATGGACAGGTACGCGAATCGTCCGCATCGCTCGGTCTATTTATATCTATTTCTATTTGCGATTATGTGTCTTCAATTTACATCAGTCTCTCTCTAGTTGGATTCCTTCCTATTTACGTTGCGAGAGACTCTCGAGACGAATATGGAACGTTGCTCGATGAGAAAGAATTCTGAAAAAAAAGAAAGAAAGAAAAAACACTCGCGTTTTCTTACTGAGCCCTTTCTATAAAATTCATAGGATAACCGCCGATCACGCGGCGGCGAACGCTCTCGGCAAGGAGGCACGTCGCTGGTCGACGAGGATCGCCCGTGAGGTCAGCACCGTTCGCGAGAACAACCGGAAACTGCAGACGATGCTGCAGCTTAAGGAGGCCGGCCAAAAGGTAAACGTGCTTCAGGGTGTCCTGGACAAATGATTCATTCATTTACTTGAATGTCTATCGAAGATTAAAGCCATACATACCAAGAGAGAAAGGTCTGTGTGTTCTAAACTTGTCCCTTCATATTTTTTCGTCAGACTGATCCGAATGATCCTAATGGTCCAGACTTAGACACTAAGATCGACGAGCTGAAGCACGCCATTCGACGCGCCGAGGTGAGACCCTCGTGCACACATTCGATCGCGCGCGTGCGTCATATTGCATATTTATTACATATGTAATCTTTACCCGTTGCACATAGACTGCAAAGCTCAAAGCGGAGGCAAGGATAGAGTGTCTCCGGCACGGTGGAGGTTCGTAACATTTACTTTACACTACCGTATACCGATTGTGTCAGTTACTTGATAGCCTGTGTATGTATCCTTCTTACTTATCCTTCCCCCAGTGAACGTGGACGAGTTCCTGCAAGAGGCCGAAACGCTCAGCGTGCAGGATATGCCGCGCTCGGCCAGTTCCCTCTCTGTCAGGACAGACGCATCCGGTGCAGCGGTGAGTACATGATCTGTCCCGCGACGAGTATGAGACGAGACCTGTAAAAGGAAAAAGTACAATGTAAGATAAAAAATGAGAACTCCTTTCATTTTCAATATTAATCCCCACGCGTGAAATTCCTTCGCAGGAACATCCGTCCTCAGACTCTTTCTACGACAGCGACGGTGACGGCGGCAGCGACTTGACAACTGTGGAACGTCCCGGGAGCGGCAGAAACGCGCCGCAGCAAGAAGAGGAAGTTGCCGCCGAAGAGAGACAGAGGCACGACAGCGCCGAGGTTGATGGTACGTACAGGAGATTGTTCAATCTGTTCAAACGGGACGAGAGTCCAGATTCGGATTTACTACGTGAGGATTTTATTTTGTGCAAATTCCACCGAATCAGATGTGAGATTAGTTGCTTTTTCTTGGTAGCTTTGTTGGAGCAGGAAAAGCAACGAATAGAAGAGTTGACGGCAGGTTGGGACGATCCTACGGCGGTGGACTGGGACAACGAAGAGAAGGACGAGCAAGAGACGCGCGAGACACCGGAAATGGTCTCCAGCCAACCCATCTACAAGTGCACCGCTCTCTACTCATACACAGTAAGCTATCGAACGAAACGCAGAAAGTAGAATGCAGCGTCCTATTTCGTTATCCGGCCTTATTACTTTGTGTCGTTACCATCGCCATTATTCGACCTCACCAGGCGCAGAATCCAGACGAGCTGTCGATTGTGGAGAGCGAGCAGCTGGACGTGGTCGGGGAGGGCGACGGCGACGGTTGGCTAAAGGCGCGCAACTACCGGGGCGAGGAAGGTTTCGTGCCGCAGAATTATTTGGACGTAGAGCGGGAGCCGGAAGGGCCAGCTTCCGGCGGCCTCTCTTCACAAGGCCCGGTGGGTCTGGTCCAGCAAATCTCCTTCTCGTCCGTCGACTACACCATCGATGATCACGACGCCGTCGATCCTGACGCGAACCTGCACGACGCCGTCGCTCCTGACACCATTGTACAAAATCACATCGGAGGTACGGCTGTGGAACTTGAAAGCATCAGTGAAAGCAAAGCGCGACTGTAAAATACGATTCACTAGGCATTACGCTCCGTGTACTTTTATATACTTTTGTATCGATTTTGTATCGATGTGAATCTGGGCCGTTGCCAGAGGTGGAGCAGTACTGCATCGCACTATACGACTACGACGCGACTTGCGACGAGGAGCTGAGCTTCCTCGAGGGCGACATCGTCCGGGTGTTGCGCAAGGAGCCTCACGAAGTGGACGACGGCTGGTGGGAGGGAGAACTACGGGACGAGCGAGGCCTCTTCCCGTCTCTCATCGTGGAACCCTGCGGGCCCGACGGTTCCCCTCTGACCCCGCAGGTGAGGGAGATCAACTCTGTAACTTTTCACCTTGGTGTACAATGTGAAGTGTAAATTTTGTTAGAAATGATGATCTGAGCTATTAGCAAATTTGATCGCACGATAACGTCTATATTCATCAGGACGACGTAACGCCGCCAAGTTCTGCGCCTCCTGTCTTCACCCCGCCGGAAGTACCGGAGTTTTTATTGGCCGATGAGCTCGCTCAGTTGGATGGTAATTATACGACCAATTGGATGCAACATTTTGCACATGACAATATATTTTCACGGAAGTATCGTCTTCTGCCTTAAGAAAGAAGCGCCAAATTGACTCAATTATGTGACTATCTTTATGGTTTCATCTCCATCTTTGATATAAGTACAGTTCATGTGTCTTTCAGTGTCTTTTTGTAGGTATATTTTCAAGGTTGGTTTAGATTAGGATTACCTTAATCCTCTTATTTCTTCCTTTAACGTACACTCACGTGGTCACAGAATCGCTAGAAGAGAAGCCGGTGATGAACGGCGAAGGCGGTTTTGTAATAAACCTGTCCAAGGACCAAAAGGACCATTACGGCTCGCAGTTCGAGGACAAGCCCGAGGCGCCTGGTATATTAGGTGAGAAAATGGGGTATCGATTATTTAAGAATCTGCCCCTGAGAGGTAATGCTGTAATAGCAGGACACTTTGTGTGCGTACACATGTCGCTGTTCTAACGCGAGAGAAAGCTGAGATAAACCTTGATAATTCATAGAAGATAGCGCGTATTTTTTTCCAAACGATGCTACATAATTTTATTTGTCGCGAAGTTAGAACAGCGATGTAGCCAAAAGTAGTATAGGTACCATTTATTATTATTTACCCGCATATTTTAATCTGTGAAACACTATGGCTTGCTGCGCAGTCGTGGAGGTATCAGATGAGTCGGGCGATAAGGTAAATCGGCGTAGTACGAGCGACGGAGAGGACGTTTAACGCGTATCGAATAGGGCGGACTCCTCCACAATAATCGGGTGAATCGAATTCTCTCGTCAATCAGTCTCGTCTGCACAATGGTGGAGAATGTTTCTTTTCTTCCAAAGAGGAGTTTAGTGGAATCCGATGCGCGTTATACACCGCGTCTACATAAATTCGCTAACGAGGGAAACCCGGTTTCTCGTTCGCAGGCGGAAAAGTCCGAAGATTCCACGGCCGTTGAGGAATCCGACGCGAATCGCAAGGACGACTTCGAGCTGGGGGTAGCGCAGATCGTTATCACGGCGGCCACGCCGATGGAGGAGATCGAGCATTCATTTCCAGGTGCCGAGGAGGCCCCGGAAGACCAGGTGAAGTCTACCGAGAGCTCCGAGGGCGACCAAGAGGCTTCAAGCGTCGCTTCGGATCCCAATGAGAGCGAGTGCAAGGAAGAGGAGGAGGCCACCGTGATTTTGGATGAAAAGGATGGCGATGAGGGCGAGGAGAAGTCCACGATCGACGAGCTTCCAGCGGACTCCGCGCCGTTCCCGATCAGCAGTAGTTCCGGTAGCGAGGCGGACTCGACCGCTTCCGGTCCTAGCACGAACGAAAACTCCCAATCGCGTGGAACAGTGGTGGAGGTGACGGAGGAGGGCGAGGCGGGGGAGGAGGGGGAGGAGATGCCGGTAGGGGGAAAGATGCTGGTCGGTGGACGAGCCAGCATCCCTGATGAGCTGCAGCCGGACCAGCTGGAAAAACTACAGAGTCTGAAAGAGTCGAATGCCTAGGGTCCCAGCTGACCGGGCCGCGGCAGCGGGCCCGGCAGGCTCCTCGCCCTGCCCCAAGGCCACCCCGACCACTTCCGTCACCTGCTGAACTTCTGGCGCGCGCCTGACGTCCTCGCCAGGAAGGACTAAGGACTTGTCTAGAGACAAGGAAGGACTCCGAGACTGAGATGTGAGACACGAGCGGTGACAGAGATGAAGATGATCATTCTTGTGGCTGTCTCGTCTTCGGGATGTAGCTTTCTTAGCGTCCAATACAAGAATAATCGCGCTTACAACTGCCCCCTATCTGGAATAGGAAATGATGATAAGTCCGGAGGAAATGTGAATTAATTAGTGTCGAGGACGAGGATCGTCGAGTCTTAATTATTCTGAGGATAATCGAGAAGAGATCGATCAAAGCTATAGAGAAAAAGGGGTTGACGTGCTCCATCGTCGGATGGATTTCAACATTGCGATAATCTGTTGTCGAGTTGCGAAGCTATCTATTAGGTAGATCACCACGTTAATCTATTTATCTAGCACAATAACAATTGATTTCGATGAGAAGTAAGAAGATGAAGAGTATCCGAGGCCGGGACAGCCGCAATGGATGGATGATGCAATATATTCATGGTCACCGAGAGATTCTATGCAAGACTTTATATAATGTCGCACCGAAATCTTGAGGGTTCACAACGCGGCAGCGGTCCGATCTGATCTCCTCGAGTTTCCGAGAAGATCGATGTTAACTAAAATTTCCCAATTCCCAAGTCGAGCCTCTTGAATCTTTGAGGAACTGGTTCAGGCCACCGTCGCGCGTCATACCTTTCATTTCTATGTCGACCTATTAATATAAAAAATTAAACAAAAAAAAAACCTGAGAAGGCAGGATCACACTGACTGTGTCCTGTTGTTTGGGATAGCTGATCTCGGGTCGGTCGAAGCGGCCCATCTAGCGAATTTGACGATTGAGGAGGGGCAATATATGAATGCGATTAGAGAACGATGTACAGTGCGAATATATACGGGAGAAGAGGAGAATTGTCGATACCTATCGATATTAGAGGACTGTAAAGCGACGATGACGACGACACCCGCACGACGGTCGTCGGTGTACATTTCAAAGGAATTACACTGGTGTTGCATGTAAAAGGGCGAACGACCGTTTCTTTTGAAAACCACTCTCTCCTCGTGAATCCTATCTCGATCTAACAAACACAATGAACCTAATTATTCAAACTGCTTCAAATTGCTTGAAATTCTATAGTAAACATCAAGATGCACGACTCAAGTTTTACAGACTTTCACTAACAGATGGAAATAACAATGAGAAACTAAACCTATTCGTGCTTTCAAAGAATAAAAGTCCGCTTGACTTGAGTCCCATTGTTGAGTCGTATTGTTTGAAAATAAAGATACCTCTTTCGTTGAACTTTCCGTTATGTAGCGCTATATAAAAAATGAAAGAGTTATCTGACTCCGCCATTGAATCATATTTGGTTCATGGTTCATGGTTCAATAGATAGCTCTAAGCGGACCGATTCCGCTCCTACGCCAGTCATAATGAATAATGCTTGAAAAGAAAAGATTCGTTAGACCAGAGAGGAACGTGAGAGCGGCCAACACAGTGTTTTTGACGACAACGACTTTCCGCATTGGGAAAGAGCGCCCTCTGCATCCATTTTGAGAGGGGAACTACGATGCTACATCCACTTTCAGGTTTCGGCGGTAAAACTTGTATGTGGTGGCAGTCCGTGCTACATCCATTTTTAGGCGGTTTATGTCCGTGCTACGACCATAATAGCGTATTTGACAAGCACGGTCTCGCACATTGTTACGCATTTATAACATGAATTAACATGTTAACATGTGCAAAAAAAAAGAATTGACATTGTGTATGATTAATATCATGAAGATCATACGAAGTGTCCGGTAATTAGCTGCCAACCCGAAGTGTGAGGGTAGATTGGGTTAAGACGAACATAAAAGTCCCATACCATTTTGCGAGATTCGCAATAATTATCGAGTTATTAATGACAGAAATCTGAGGAATAAAAGCGCGCCGACATAGATGATTCGAAAAGCGTTGCAACTGCTCGGAGCAGCGATCATGAATCTTTTCCCTAGCGTGAACTAATAAAAAGTGAAAGACTTCTGTGAATCAGTGAAAAATGAACAATTTTATAGGAATTTGTGAAAATCGAAACATTTCACACCACAATTGAGTCGTTCAACATGGCAGTTCTGGATAATTATGTTATTTATATAATAAAAATGCTGTCATATATGTATTAAACAAGTTTTAGTTCGATGTAGTTTTTGGTGCAGCCGCGCCAAGATTTTTTGTATCAAATATTTTTTATTGCATTGTTATAATAATTAATTTGTTACAACAACAAGTAAAATAACCATATAACTCAGTGTTCTAATAAATAATGATAAATTTTACTTGTAAAAATTTATGTTATGGATATTTTTTGTAGCAGGTTTCCTTGAATATTTTGAATAATATAACTTTTAAAAAGATATTTTTTTTTAAATATTGGACACAATTAACAAACATGTTAAATTTTTATAACACGATGTAAATTTTATTTTTAAAAGTTTATGTACATATATATCTTACAAAATAAATAATTTGATAAGTTTTATTTATAAAAACTTATGTTATGTACATAATATTTAAAAATATATTTTTTTAAATACTGGATACAATTAACAAACGTGTTAAATTTTTATAATATGATATAATTTTTACTTTTAAAAGTTTATGTACATATATTATAAAAACTTATGTTATGTACATAATATATATCTTAAAGAAGAAAATAATTTGAATTTGAGATTTCTAAAAATATTGAGTTAAGTATACAATAATCATATATATATGTTAGGTTTCTCAGTTAGCGCTACTGTTCTAATATATCACTCCTTTTGTACAGTAGAAAAGTGTTGCAGAGTTTTTTATAGTTATAAGTTTTACTTGTAAAAATTTATGTATACATATATACAATAAAAAAAATAATTTGAGTTTGATACTTCTAAAAATAACACAAACGTGTTGCGTTTGTACTTGACGCCTTTTTTTACCTTTTTGTTTAAAAAGGTAAGTTTTATATAATATTAAATATATGTACGTTTCACATATAACGTGATTGACTTGGAGTACTCCGTGCCCACATGTGTTATTCATAGCAACGCATTCATACTTTCCCTGATCTGTTATATCGGATTCGATAATCTGCAAGGCACCTGAAACATAAAATATGATATTCTCGAACAGCGTTCCTCTCAGGATTTTCTTGTCCAAAGAAAGATCAATGATGCGATCGCAGATCTCGTGTATGTCATGTCAATAGAGACAATTTGAATTCGGCGTAATATGATTCTTGGAACAGACGTAAATAAGTATTGTGAAGTTTGAAGCGAGTCTCTCACAGGCATGCTTTGAAAACACGAGTTGTTTTCATTTTCAGCTAACGAACGACGCAGGCATCAACACTGATGCAAGGTGGGGCAAGGTGGGGGATAACCGTGCCTTCCCTATTGTTTGGTTTCGTACCCTTATATATGACTCCGTGATTGCGGAAAGGACATTGCGCCTCGGGCCGACGAACGACGCGCATACCGCGACGTAGAGTACGAGTGTCGGTCGGTAGTCGTATCGGTTAATACGCGTTTCTTTGTCCGAATCTTACTTGCGCGAGTGTTAGAGCTAGAGTCAATGTCGTCGCCAGTGCTACGATGGAGTATCCATGGGGATGCTGCGATGGAGTAATCAGAAGGAGGACGTCGGATCGAGAAGTCAGGATGGAGAGAAGACTTGGAGCGCGCCGAGAGACGTGGACAGCGATACATCATGTATGGTATTCGAGGTACCTCGAGTCATTATTATTACGCAGGATTTTTCTGATTTTAACGGACCTTACTCGAAGTAAGGACATACCCGAGTCGAAATTAGATCAGCATTCATAGTTTACCATCTGAAAAATGATAAAATAGCTTGAGATTTGATTATTCGTTAACCTAATTTCACGTAACATGAGTTCTACTTTTCTTTTCTCATAAAATATGAATGTCTATTCAAGCAAGGTTGCTGAGGCAAGCTAAGGTTTATGAATATAAATTTTTAATTATGTTCTCAATAAAAAGTTGCACATAATTTAGAAAACTATGAATAATGATCTTAGAATCTGATATAAATTTTACAAGTGTTGATTTTTATTCGTCTAATAATGCTCAGATTGCTGTTTTCGTTTAGAATCTGCTAGAATGTCCGTTTCTCATTCTTGTTTATCTTTCTTATTGTAACGAATCTGAATTAAAATTTCTATTAGTGAAACAGCATTATTAGACATAACCGTTGTCTTTGCCTTTGCAGCTTCAGCTCTTTTGAGAGCTACAATTCTCATCATTCTCATTAGAAAAAAGAAAAGAAAAAAAGAGAAGAAAAAAGGAAAAAAGAACTTTAAGAATGATGAGAATAAAAAGTGTTTTTCATCTCCCATTTCCTCTAATTCTTATATGATTATTTAATCCTTATATATTTATATTCCGAAGATGGATGGAAATGCACCAATCAGAACGCAGTATTTTCATCCAGCAGGTAATCCAGCACAAAAACAAGCACCGTGTGCCGCTGGCTTTACACTGCTCTACACAGCAAGTCTGAGTTGCAGCGTGTAAATCATATCAATGCTACCAATATTTCGAAATATTTTATATAACAGATGGTAACTGTTTTTATTCCTTTAGTACGAATATAATTTACAATAATAAATATATTTAATTAATGTGAATGTAATCTACAATATATATATTGTTATATGTATTTTTATATTATACTGATTTATACCGAGAAACATAATGGAACTTGTAATGAAAGTTGAAGATAAATATAAAAAAATAATTAGGACTTTTTTTATTTACATATCTTGTTTAAATAAATTTCTTCATATATCATCCTCTTTCTACTTCCTTTCAGAACTATTTGTATGTAAACAATGCAATAATGTAACTGCATTTTTTGCATTTCTGTAATTGCATAATGGATTTTTTTGAAAAATTCTTATTCCTTTAATTGTTTTAGAATTATTATATAGATCCATAAGATACTCATAAAAATAAGAATGACAAACCGTAATGCATTCTGGTGTTACACAAAGAAACTAAACTGCGTTCCAACAAATACTTTACACGGTGTAGCACAGTGTAATTTAGTGTGTCATAGCTGGAAAACGGCCGGTAGCTCCAGATAGTTCACAGAGGAAATTTAGAAACTAAAGACGATATCTCGAATCGTTTAGCTTAGACGTGAACTCTTACTTGTCGACACTCGAATTTGTTAGGTATGAGTTTTTATGTGAACGTCTAGATGGCGCAGGTAATCCGTTACCCGTCAACAGGAAAAAATGAAATAACTGAGTTAATAGTAAGCTGAGTAAATAAACAAGATAAGGAAGATAAGTTTCCGCATACGGAAACAATGTAACAAAATAATATCAATCTTCCACATTATAACAAACAATGAATTCGCACTTTTGAAAAGTTTAAAGATAGACTTTCCTGTAGCCTTGAAGTTACATAAGAAGAGAAGGAATGTTCTTTCTCTGCATAAATGAAAACCACAACTAAATTATAGGTGTTAAATTATAGGCTTATGACATTAAATCGCAATTGGGAGAAATTAACAATTAAACTAACAAGGATGTTGCGTATACAAAATATTTATTGTTTTCTCCATGTATTATCATAAATGTAATAAAATATTAGTAAAAAATAATTGATATTTTGCATGTTTAGTATCGGAATAATGACAAAAATGATTTCTATATCTTATACCATGTATTATCAGCGATACATGGTATAATTTTCTGAAGATTCTTCAAGCTTGCATTCTCAGTGCACCATCCAATCTAATGGTCTCACCATTTAACATTGGATTTTCTACGATATGCTGCACCAACATAGCATACTCATCAGCTTGCCCCAGTCTTTGAGGGAAAGGTATAGTTTTCGCTAGGAAAACTCGTACCTTCTCAGGTAACGCCCTCAATAAGGGCGTATCGAAGAGTCCTGGTGCAATCGTCACCACGCGAATTCCATCTTTCGCAAGGTCACGTGCAATCGGTAACGTCATACCTACTACCGCACCTTTCGATGCAGAATAAGAAGCTTGACCTATTTGGCCTTCAAATGCCGCCACGCTCGCTGTGTTAACAACTACGCCCCTCTGACCATCCTGATTTGGAGTGTTCTCAATCATCAATCCTACTGAGAGACGAATGACATTAAACGTGCCTATGGTGTTAACTTGGATGACCTTGGCAAAATCATCCAAATGGTGAGCAATCTTTTTGTTGCTGTTGTATGTTTTGTGCGCGATTGCGATACCCGCCGCATTCACCAATACGTTCAATTTGCCAAATTTCTGTTTTGTAAGCTCTAGAGTTGCCTGAACATCTGATTCAGACGTTACCTATTTTGGAAAAACAGAAAATATACAATACAGAGGATACCACTTTATTATGCTCTAGACTATTTTATTAGGGGAACATAAATATGAATGTAAATATGAAAGAGATGCAAGTAGTCATCACAAGAAAATGTAAAAAATGAAACAGTATACTTGAAGGTAATACAAAAGTAAATTTAAATAAGTTGACATCTACATAAAATATGTAGATTACAAAAAAATCAAGTAAAGAGAAAAATATATATATACTTATATATGTAAATTATCGTAGCATAGATAACTCATGAATTATATTTATGGGTTCAAAGTACATACATCCATAGGTGAGAACACTGCATTAATTCCTCCTAGTTCTTTGGCCACAGTTTCTCCCTTGGAAGTCGGTAAGTCAGCAATGACTACTTTGGCACCTTGCTGGACAAATCTGTGTACAGTGCCATGGCCCAAACCAGAAGCTCCACCAGTTACCAAAGCTACAACTCCCTGCAAAAACAAATTGAATATCCCAGTTACTTCATAATTTCTATATATTCAATCGTAGTATTCTAATAATGCTAAATTATATATAACTACAAAACGATATTCACATCAACAATCGCAACTGTATTAAATGTTGTAGAAATCAAGAAATAACCTAAAAAAAAATCTAAAGCCTCACGAGTTTATTTTTGCAAACGCTACAAGGTGATAATACAAACGACACACGAAACAATAGATCAAAGAATAATAATAAATGGCACCTTCAACATATTAAAAATAGAAATGCAACTTCGTTACAGCGCAAAGTAGCGTCCAACAAGTGACGATTGCCGAAGAGTTCGAATTAATCTGAAACAATTCGGGCGAACGATGGTTATTTCAAGACTGCCAAACGGACTTTGAAATGGCGTTACGACTTGCTTTAACGACGAGTCATCTTCTGCACACACGATAAATTGTTCAAATATGTATGTATATACAACGATAAAATGTAAATAAAAAAAAACTTTGTCATCGAATAAATGCTAGTCAAGATTAGCATCTCTTCGTGCTCGCAATTATCGCCGAAGTTATTCAAGAAGAACACGAGGCGGCGGTAATGCCTTCGTATCGCAACTTCGACTTTTTCATGCGGAACATATCGCATCTACATTTTCATAGACTATGACTTAACACAATACGCTTTGAGAGGCGGTAAATATGATGTAGGAGTAGGAAAGTTAAATCGCAAAATAGTCGCATGTAAGATCGCGCGAATCGAATTTGTCAAGAGAAAGAAATAATTTTGAATTCCTTAACGATTAGTCGCGAGTTATGTTCTATGCAAGTGACATCGCGAGCGCAATATACTCCATAATTGTAATCTCGCGTGACGTACACACGCATACATAACACGCACACACACGCACACGCAGTGCACCAGTCACCACGCAGTACGCGTAATTCATGATTCATTGTCGCGCAACTGCGCGCAAAAAGTGTATGCAATTGTGCGTAGCGATTAATGTGATGTTTTGCGTCGGTCGTAACGAGGTAAATAGCATTCTCGCATTATTGTCATCTACTAATCGCGGAGGGAGAGAATTTACGAAATCCCCGGAACGTTAGAAGTGTCATATTCTCGTGATATCGAGGTGGGTTGCTCGCAACGTCACGCGGACATTCGTCCTTTTTTTGGATGAGCCCGCTCGAAATTCGCGCGAGCTTTCGGGTTTCCTCGCGTTGTAATCCGCCGATTTCGAACAATTAACGAGGACGCGTCGAAATCACGACACGTTCGCGATCGGTAGAATCCGAGGGATGTGTGGTTAGAAAAAAAAGTGTATCTTCGGCACTTGCCGCACTTTCTGCGTCTCCTGTTCCATGCTTCGTGCTTTCGAACATGCACTGTCATAACCTACGCTTTTTGCGTCTGTTTAATCTTTCCGTCACTTTTGATGCTTGAAACTTGACGTTTCGTGTAATTTTGTACTCGTAGATGATGAACGGACGGCGGAAGCACTAAGGCTGGTGATATTGTTGATAACTTTATCTATGTTAATTATATTTATGTTATTTAAACAGACCGATTTTATATTTTAATACTTTTATGCAGTTACATGTTTACTTATATTAATTCTTGCGATATCATTTAAATTTATTTATATTTTAATCGATAACTGAGATATTTTATTTTTGCTCTTTTATCGCAGAATGCCGATACAGGCACCGCAGTGGAATGAATATTTGTCCTGTCCAATCTGCTGTCATGAGTTCGACGTGGCGGAGCGAGGTCCCATCTCGCTTGGTTGCGGCCACACCATCTGCCGTACCTGCCTCGCCAACCTCCATCGCAAGCAATGCCCCTTTGATCAAGTGTGTATAAGTTATTTGGCTCCCGTTACATTATCTTCTCAACGTCCTGTATTAGTATGATCAATGAAAAACACCCATAGTTTATGTACCATTCGTTACTTTATCGACTCGTTGATATTTCTGCTCTCAGAGCACGATCAACACAGAGATCGACCGATTGCCAGTAAATGAGGCACTGCTACGGCTGGTGGGCAACAGTCAGATCCCAGCGGGCGTGGCCGCGGCATACCAGAAGCTGTTACCGGCTGAAGAACATGCCAACTACCTGGTGGCCAAGAGCTGCATCGAGCAGCTGGCTCTATATCTCAAGCCATGTCAAGCCGCCAGCCCCACCGTGGCCGCAGGTACACGATACAGAAAAGAATTAAGTAAATAATTCTTACAGTAGAATTGGTGCTTATCTCAAGATTATCTGTCGATTATCCTTTCTCTACTCTTTTCGACAGGCGTGGGTCTGGTGTCTCGCCCGATGCAACGTAAACTGGTGACGTTGCTGGGCTGCCAGCTGGTTGAACCCGAGGGCCGAGCGCGGGCAGTGCGTGCTGCTCGCAGCTTGGGTGAGCGATCTGTTACCGAATTGATATTGCAACATCAGAATCCACAGCAACTCAGTGCCAACCTCTGGGCGGCAGTTCGCGCTCGCGGTTGTCAGTTTCTCGGACCAGGTAAATTATTCACTCCGGAATCGGAGGACTTAAGAAATGGATTTACTTCGTCTTGAGGGAACGACCAATGACCGTTTCTCTAGTTTTTATTTATAGAAATCTTCGCACTTGTAAACACTTCAAGATTCGTATACGCGAAGCGATTAGATTAGATACAGATTTGGAAAAAATATTCTGTTCTCGAAGCTGAATGAGGTGGAGGTGAAAATTCTTAGAAATAATAATAAAAAGGTGCCACTCCCACGATGTAATCCTGTTGCATTGAACATACACTAGCGATGCAGGAGGAGGTCCTAAAGCTCGTCCTGTTGGCCCTGGAAGACGGCTCAGCGTTGTCGCGGAAGGTGTTGGTGATGTTTGTGGTGCAACGTCTGGAGCCGCATTTCCCACAGGCGTCGAAAACCAGCATCGGCCATGTGGTGCAGCTTCTGTACAGAGCGAGCTGCTTCAAGGTAACGCGTCTATTAAAGGATGTTCCATTCTGGTTGCATGATTTTCCACCCACAGATCCAATCTGGCAAATTTAGTTCTTGTTTAAAGTTAGACGAATGCGTGAGAAAAAATTCATAGATGAGTAATACGCCGTTCAAAACGTCGCCAGGTGTCCAAGCGAGAGGGTGACTCGTCGTTGATGCAGCTGAAGGAAGAATTCCGTACTTACGAGGCTTTGAGACGCGAGCACGACGCCCAGATTGTGCAGATCGCTACGGAAGCTGGCCTGAGGATCGCGCCGGACCAGTGGTCGGCGCTGTTATACGGCGACACGGCCCACAAGTCCCACATGCAGAGTATCATCGACAAGCTGCAGACGCCGCAATCGTTCGCTCAGAGCGTGCAGGAGCTGGTGATAGCGCTCCAACGCACGCCGGATCCGGGACAACTGAGCGGTCTGAGACCGCAACTGGAGTTGCTGGCCGCTATAGACCCTAGTCCAGGTGAGTTACTTGAGGACTTATGTTCTGTCGCGCTGACCCAGGCCAGCATCTTCAAAAGACGAATAGGTTTCACACTGAGCAACCAATTTTTCCAAAGTTCTCGCGACTGTTTTCGTATCGTTTTGTATCTTCACCTTAACAACTCCTCCTCTCGCAGAAGCAGAGCCACCAACCTTGGCAGACTGTCGAGCTGCGCTGGAGGCTGTGAGGATAGTAGTGGCCGCGCTGGTTGACTTTGTGCGGCAACACGGCGGCGGCGCCGGCGGTGGCAGTCGGAAGTCGCAGGACGGTGGCGGATCCGCGGGTTCAGTCGCTGGCTCCGGGCCAGCGGGCTCCGCCAGCAAGTACAAGGTCAGCATGTGCAGGGACTTGGCGCTGAGAGGTTCTTGTCCGCGATCTGGAAGCTGCACCTTCGCTCACAGCGATGTGGAGCTTGACAAGTGAGTACAAAATAAATTGGTCGGTAAGAGAAAGCGCATTTACAAGTACAAACTGTTTAATACATGTAACAATTATAGGTATCGATCGAAAAATCGTAAATTGAGCGTCAGGACGAACTTGAACCCAGAATTGAAGGGAGATAAGAGTACAACCAACAACAATAAGGCCTTCAAGCAGAAAGACGAGTTGGCTTATCATCATTCCGTGAAAGCGCACGATAACAACGTACACCGAGAAAGTGAGTCGAGTAATCAAGAATCTTTCCTTCTCGTAATTAATAGGATTTCCGCCACGCGATAACACTTCTCATTAAATCGCATCGCCGTTATCGTTTCTCTATAGAGTTTCCTATACTTTGCACAATTATCTTTTCAGCTCTCTCCGTTCCACGTTCTATACCAGCCTTGAACGAAACCACCTTCATCGAGCCACTGACAACGGGCTATGTGTTACCGCCCTCGCAGAATTTGGCGCATGTGGTATATCCGAAGAGCACAATGGAGCCCTTGCACTGTTCGCACTACATCGTGGGCCCAGGTCCGATCGACTACGCGCCCGCGCCACCGGCAGCGAACCTTGCAATGTGGGACACGCCGCAGGTGCCGAGCAAACTGACGACGACGACGACCAACGACGTTTCAGGCGGAGGTAAAAAGGTGAGGGGCGAAATCGAGTTTTCGGTTCGATTGAAAGAGTCAACAAGTACCCCGAATGTTATCTCGTAGAAATCTCACAAGTATTCATTTTTTCTGCAATTGTAATATTCTTAGTAAGAACGTTTCATTGTGTGTAATATTGGCGGGTGCGTGTGAATCCGCTTTGCGAGAATGTGCTTGTAAAATTGCGAATATGATTCGCAGCAGCGAACGGTGGCCAAAACGCTGGCCATGCTGTTGCAGCGCAGGATGGAAATTTTGAACCAGTTGGAGACGATTGTCGGCAAGCAGTCGCCTCAGATTAAAACGGTAACGCCGAGAGAAAGACTCCCATCAACGGAATATAAGATTATATTTTGAGGATGGGATTATACACATGCATGTGATATTATTTCAAAGTATCTTAATCCTTCCTCTTCCTCAGGATTACGATTTCCAGACTGACTCGTTGTTGACGCCCAGCTGGGCGGCCACTGGCGTACCCGGCACCCCGCTGTTGCTGCCACCCAACAGCTTTCGATTGTCCGCTGCCCCTCGAGAGCAGCCTCCAGTCATCCTCCACGACGACGATTTGGTGCCCTTCGAGCCCACCGCTCTGCCGCCCGTCAGCAAATACGGACCAATCTCCAGGCAACTCTCCAAGACTCTAATAAGGTGATGAGGGATACTTTTATCCCGAAAAAAGTCGGTGAAATTGAGGTGAAACGTTAATGAGCGAAATCCTTCGCAGATCTCCGAGCGGACTGCAGGCGCCGGCGAGTTTTTACAACGAAGGGGGCGGTACGCCCACCCCTACTCCGCTGACTGCGTTCAGACCAAATTCCTGGTATTACGGCAATCAATGTGAGTAAACAATCACTTGCTTGTTCGTGATTGAATCGGCGCAAGATTGCATCGTTACTACGTCACGTAGTGGAAACTTGCCCGGAATTTACGTGTGTGCAATGATGATGTAGATTGTTAAATAACGATTGTGCGCGTGCGTTTCAGCTTACGCCACAGTGGGAAGCAACGGGGGTATGCAGGCGACACCGACCAAGGCCGCTTTCGCCGACAATTACGTCACTCTCGGCCGCAACATTGCCGTGGAGTCGCCGGCCATCCAATTCCCTCGTCCGGAATGCACGTCAAAGGAGTGAGTACACCACACGTGGCGGTTAATTACGAAATTTCGCATGGCGCGAAATTATACTCAATGCTCTCCTCCCCTCTCGTTACAGCCTGATCATCGAGTCGCAAAAGGTGAAGCAGCAACTCAAACACCTCGAGAAGAAGATTAACGATTTGAAGGTAGCGTTTCTCGCGATTGAACAACACTTGTTCGCGTTATGTTTATCTTCACGTTTATCTAAAATGTATGCGCACGCGACAGCTGGCGACGCAGGCCAACGCGACGTTCACGGCGGGCGAGAGGCTAGCGCAGGAATTGCAGCTGATCGAGGCAGGCATTCGTGAGCGCGAAAGGGATGTGCGCAATTGGACAGTGGCGGCTACAACCCCTTATTGCGCGGCGCCTACTTCCGCTACCGCCACCACTCTCCCGCTTTGCTGTCAACAACCAGCTGTCGATAACGACTTGCTCGCCGGTCAAGAGTACAATCGCGACTATAAGAGTCAAGAGGAGGTGAGTGATGGTCTTAATTTAACGGAGATATATTCAGGGATGATGCGATAACTGGAGAGATATGGAAAAAATTAATACAACTTTCCTCTACTCGTATCTTCTCCACCTCCTTCGAATCTATCATTCGTTTCTCGCGAATGCAACTCTGTTCCATGAATATACATGGTAGAGAGCCGGCTTCTGAGTAAGCTGCGTTTGTGAAAGATATGACTGTTGTTTCCGACAATAAGATGTGTATGCGTTTTAAGGTATATGTGTGTGTGCATGCATAGGACACGTACGAGGCGGGAATAGCTCATGACATACGCGAGTTCGAACTACGCTGGGAATATGAACTGCGAGAGGAGGACAAGCACTGGTCCTCCAGCGAGGACGATCCCTCCAAAAAATAATGTAACAACGGTATCCTACTAATCCGGAAGGAAACATGTATTTTCACATGTTGAGCAATCCTTCGCTTCTTCGATTATTACGCTGAGAGGAAGTAAGTAGAAATTCCGACGAGAAAGCGAGAGAGAAAGAGAGAAAGACGTATTATACAAAAGAATTCGATTTACTTATTACTTGAAAGTTAATATTGCAATACATAAGATAATTTATTATTTCATTGCATTGATTGTTCGAGAGCGAAGATTACACAACGATAGAAAGTGATGAGCTAACAAGTCAAGTTGGAAAGTTTCCGTCTCTCCTTCCACCTGCCACTCTCTTTCTCTCTGTTTCCTTTCTCTCTGCGATATAATAAAAATATACATATATTAATATATAATAAATATATGTATATATAAATACATACATATATACATTACACTGTATTCACGTTAATTTTAATACAATCGGACAATTTTTATGTTTGGCAAGCGAGTCATGAAAATGCCTTCGAGGAAAGTGACCGCCGAAATACGAAATTATGTAGTGTATTAAAATTAATGAGAGAATGGTAGTGTATCTATTATATACTATAATATATGTAAAGGGAACTATATACATTCGGAAAGAATGCTGATTGACCTCAGAAAAGGTAATACTATCTTATTAGCATTATTAATGCGTTTTCCTTACGTGCAGGTTCAGGGGGGAATTTTTATTCGTGAATATGGAAATAAGGATAGATATGCATTTTTTTCGATATAATCACATTAGTACAAAGTTATTATCTTTTCTTTTAAATTCTATCAATATAAATTTTTAATGTCACATGATGCTTTTGTGACCTAAATTGTTTTAAAATTTATTACGATTAATTGTGCATTACATTAATTGTGTTATACTCAAAATTTCTATCTTCCGATTCAATTACCAAAAATTTTTATTTGATAAGTAAGACTTAATTTTTTAAATTAGAATTACGCATCCTTGTATGCACTAGCTTCTAAACATCAGCTCAATTTCAAAGTTGATTTCTTTCATCAAAAAAAGTTTTTAAGAGATTTAGTTGTACACATAATTGCAATTCATTTTTTATTGCACGATAACGTGCTGATTTAAAATGATAATTACACTGCGTGGATTATTTATATATGAAGAATCATCCATAAAATTAATTACAATTATATAATTATATATAATAGCATAATTATATACAAAGAATGATTTAATAAGAATTGAACATTTTCATTTAATGTGTACATGAAGATATTCAATTCTTTTTTAATCACCGTCCATAATAAAGCGGACTTAATTATGGGGAATAATCGAAATAATGTTAGACAATGATATGGTGCAATCAGTTCTTTTGCGTATTATTATGCAATAACAATCGAGAAGATTGTCTATTATGCATTTGTTTGCACAATGCAGATTTTTTATTTATTATACACTTTATTGCTGATCTAGCCAGCGCGCCATAATGATAATAATGATAACTGTGCGATGTGGTGGGAGGTTTCGCTTGTCTCTTATTAAAGAGATTAATTGCAAAAAGCAAATCCTATCGCTCCTTATTAGAGAGAAAAATAACAGTAAAAAAGGGTAGAACTAGAGAGAGAAAAATGAAATAATAAGAGATAGAAAACATTCTACCTTTCTCTTCCAACGATAGAAAATATTTTCAATATTTTATTCAGAGGAAACGTCTCGCGTATTTATCGATACAGTAACAACGCGTTTTTAATACATTTTTACGATAAAATGAAAATCTTTCCTAATAATAAAAAAAAAACGTTGCTTTTTTCTGTTTTGTAGTGCGCCAAAATTTCCGAGACAGAATTCCTTCTATCTCTTAGTATTTTATTCTGATAAACAATTATGTAACAGAGTTGGGAGAGGAAATTCTATACCTGTCTCTGTTAAGCAGAGAATAAGCGCAAAGAAAAATTCTATTCAAGAGAATAGCGGTCGCTTCATTTTGGAGGAAGGATAATAGGAAACAGAATTAGAAGAAATAATAGTAGGAAATCATAATTAGTGAGAAAATTGTTTAATTGTATGTATTATGTAATGCAAAGTCGTGCAATAATATCGAGTTCTTTTCCTTTTCAATGTTTCATGTGTGTTTCGCAGCAAATAACGAGATTTATAACGAAACAAATAAATGCAACAGATGTATATGTATAATTTGTGTGCTTTCTTTTTATTGAAGTAATTTTAACTGTCTGGTGTTAATAACAGCTGATAATTTGCAACACACAAGTTTCATCGCACATTTCCTCCTATTATTATTGATTCTAATTCCACTAGCTCTCTTATTATCGCGCTTTGGACTTTTAATAATAAAAATATATTGCATGTTAAACATGTCGCTATGTGTACAGTGGTTACACGATCGATCTTACAGTTCTATATATGTTATTACAAATAAAACGTTCTTTGTTTTATACAATATTGTTCGTGACGCGATATGATAGTTGTATACATATCGAATGTACGATAAATAAATCTGCACCTTAGAAGTCAGGAGGGCCCAGTGTCCATGTTCTCTCAGTTTTCAGAAAACCGTGGACTTTATAAATTGATCAGCCAGCAATTTTAGCTATTAAAAAGAAAGAAAAAAACAAAGAGAAACAAAATGTACGACGAGACTGAGAGAGAATCATTTGACTAAATGTGAAAATTTTCACAATGGAAAACCGAGTAGGTGGACACTGGTTCTTTCTTTTTCCCAGGCGCACAAAAAGAAAGAAACACACACACACACACACACACACACACACACAATCGGCGTGTGCTCGCCGCTTATCAATATATACGTACACTCTCCTTTTTCCATGTTATCTTTCCGTTCATATTTACGAATTAAGTAACAAATTTTTCGATATACCTAAAAGGAATGTGATTTACGACATGATAATTTATAACTCGTAAATTACAATTATCGTGCACATGAATATGCACGCGTTAAATTATATATCCCACATGATTATAATTTACGAGTTGCAATAAAATTTATATATTGTTACTTTCTCCTGCGTGTCTTTCTCGTGCGTATACGTTCACGAGAGAGAGAGAGAAAGAAAAGAGACACACATACACAACGCACCACGTCACGAATACATAACAAACATAGGCACGTGCGCGCGTATTTTTCCAACGGGTATACTGCGTAAGAACAAGAGAGAGAGAGAGGGAGAGAGAAAAAAAGAGTGTAATGTATATAAACATAATATATTCGTGTACTCTCAATAAAAAAAACAAACAATTGTTACGCAATGCAACTTACCATAGGAACAACCGTCCGTCATACTGCACGTCACTTTGGCGCGTCACGCTTCTCTAAAGAGCGAGACTGCGCGATAATCCGCCATCCAGAGAGATAACTCTCGCGGTGACCTCTCGGGACACCCTGTATAACTCTCCACGCGCGCTCGATTTGTACGTAGCTGGCGCGCGCGCGCGCATCCTCCAGGCGCGCAGCAGTGCGGATGCGTGCGTCGCGGCGGTCGAAGGACGCCTACCACACACACACACGTGCATTTGCCAGGCGCTCACACACACACACACACACACATATATATACAACACGTACCAACACCGCTACGGCTACTTACCGTGCGGCACCACTGCGACACAGTGCTGGACAGCGCGCGCGAAGGGCTGCGCGAAAGAGCGTTGTCGCGTCGTGTCGTGCGTCCCGTGCTGTGGTCCCGTCGGCATCGCGGCGTCGTCTCTACGGCCTGGTGCGCTCGAGAATTAACAAATGCCGGCCAACGGAGGCGGCGGCGCGTCGCGCTTGGCGCGCGTCATGCCGCCGCATTACCTGCACGAGCTGCCGGCCCAGGATGAGGAGCGGCTGGAGCGGATCTTCCAGCGGCTCGATCTCGACGGTAACGGCCGCGTCGACGTGCGCGACCTGTCGGCCGCGCTGCGCGAGGTCGGCGTGCACTCCCAGTACGCCCAGGTACGCGCGTCATATCGTTCCTTGTTTTTACCGCGCGCGCTGCAATTATTACGTGCAATGTAACGCGGCAGTCGGCTATCACGATGTTGCTCTCTCTCTCTCTCTCTCTCTCTCGCTCTCTTTCTGTCTCTTTTACTCTCTCTCTCTCTCTCTCTCTCTCTCTCTCTCTCTCTCTCTCTCTCTCTCTCTCTCTCTCTCCCTCCCTCCCTGTCTGTCTGTCTGCCTGCCTCTGTCTGTCTCTTTCTCTCTCGGGCCAGTCTACAAGCCAGTCTACGGGCCAGAGCTACAAGCCCCGGCCATCGGCGATGGTACACGGTAACCTGGTAATAGAGATTCGCTCTCTCTCTCTCTCTCTCTCCCTCTCTCTCTCTCTCTCTCTCTCTCGTTTGAGATATATTGCACCCGTTGCACTTTGCTCGAGAGAGCCGTAAAACTCGTGTCTGGAGAAAGAGAGGCAGGAGAAGAATTCTGTTGAAAAGTGCAGGAAGTGTAGATGCGAGTCCGTTGGAGTCCGCTCGATCCATTCGATCGCCTCGGACGAAATACCTGGGGAACGCGCAACGTCGGGGAGAAAAGCGCGGCAAAGAGGGAGAGGAAGGGAGAGAGAGAGAGAGAGAGAGAGAGGCAGGGAGAAATCGTGATGGACGATGCGGAGAATGCGACAACACAGCGTCTCTTGGCCCGTTCTCTTTGAGCGCCCCGAAGTAGGCCCGTAAAAGAAATCGAGCGATCGACCAATGGCGCTCGAGACTTATCGAGAACGTAAGACTGCCATTTTGAAATCGTCAAGCGTGATTGGTCGACTCGCGCGCTCTTCGAGTTGCTGCACTCGAGGCACGCAGGTTGATGAAACGGTTGCGCGCTCCAACGTGTAGCCGGAGGTGTAAGTAGGTCGACGCAGTGTGCCTTTTTGCTAGGCGATTTCTAAGGCTTCCATGAAGTCGACGAAAGGTGATCGACCTTGGCCCTATAATGCACCGCAGTGACGAAATCACATGTTTCTCGCTATGTATCATACTTGCCGCGCGATCTTGCGAGATCATGAGATTTCATTCGATCGCTCCGAATCGGGACGCTCCGCGTCGTCCGTTCGGCCTCAACTTTGCGCGTTTTCTCTTCCCGCAGAAATTTCTTGCCCGGTCGGATCGCACGAAGAGCGGCGACATCAGCCTGGCCGAGTTCATACATTATGTACGGGAACACGAGAAAAATCTGCGGCTGCAGTTCTCTCATCTCGACAAGAACCGAGACGGTGAGTCAGTCGTTCGGCCACTGTGTGGGGGAAGGAAGCAAAAAGCAGCAGGAATTTGAAGAAAATTGACTTGGCGGAAGTTACGGGAAGTCTCAGATAAAAAAAGATAGGAAAGACGTTTGCTTCCTATTCTTCCCATTTTTTCTTTTCTTCATTTGAATATCACTTGATGTTTGCATCCTCTGCAGGCAAGATTGACCTGGAGGAATTGATAAACTCCTTCAAGGAACTGGGTATCGAGATCTCGCGGGAGGAGGCGACGAAATTGTTGCAACGGTAAATCCCGCTTGTTAATTATTCTGCGCTCGATGGTGCAATAAGTACCGTGGAGGCATACCGAGTATCTCATTTTGATTCTTTCCTTTATTTTATTTTTGCTCTCTCTCTCTCTCTCTCTCTCTCTCTCTCTCTCTCTCTCTCTCTCTCTCTCTCTCTCTCTCTCTCTCTCTCTCTCTCTCTCTCTCTCTCTCTCTCTCTCTCTCTCTCTTCACTGATAAGGCTTCAAAGTGGGCACTCGAGTGCCCTGATTATACAAATTTTTGTTTTATTAGTCACTCATTAATTAAGCGCATGTGCGTTACTACGTTTAGGCTCTGACTGGTCTCTCTCTTCATGTACCTCTATTTAAATTCTTCATGAAAAGTCAGTCATCAATGCGTCAATCTCTTTTCGCAGCATGGACCAGGATGGCAGTCTGAACATCAGCTTCGACGAGTGGCGGGACTTCCTTCTGTACGCGCCGAGCACCACGCTGCGCGACATCGTCGAGTACTGGCATCATGCAACGGTGAGATATCGCTCCAAGATACACATGGACAAACCCGAGCATACCAGTCATCACCTTAAACCCAAGTAGATTTAAAGCTTTTAAGAGCGAGCGCGTCTGAGCAAAGACCTCGGACGGAGTCGACTTTGACCACATGCGCGCGCTGGCTCTCGTATACTTAAGCGATGACGCGTGCTCGCGTTCGCTGTCTCCCCTCGACTGATGATCGGACGAGGGGCCAGCGGGGGCGGGAGACACCGAGGTGCGGAAAACGCGTGTAAAGCTGGTAAGACGGGAGGAAGAGTGGAGAGCGGTACGGGTATTCCCGTTTTGGAGAAGAGTGGGGCAGGCCGGTATCTCCGGGTTCATGCTCTCTGAAGAGAGAGAGCCCCAGCCAGTCTCGTGATCGGACTCCGAGCGTTCGAATCGACGGTTCGTGGCTCGTTTCCCCTTCTTCATCCTCCTCCACTAGCGAGCAAGAAAAAGGGCCAATCTCGTCTCCCTCCCACCAACATCGGTTGTGTTTCCTACGAGTTTCCTTTGTAGTTCTGCTTTGGAAGATTTTTTTCTACTTCGCTCTTGAACCCTTTCGGATCAGCTTCGCCAGGGTTACTTTCCGGCGACCTCCAGAATCAGCTGCCTCCAGAATCAGCAAGCCGTAGCAGCGATAGTGCATCAAGAGCAACGGGGGAAGAGAGAAGTCGCGAATTTGCGCAACTCTGGTCGAGGTAGAAAGTGCGAAAGTTTGCGTGAAAGCTCGCTCGACAATTTCACGACGTGCCAGCGAGTGAGCGGGTGAGTGTTCCGTGTGCAAGCCACGTGATTATTTCGAGCATGTACATCTTGAGGAAGTCAGAAATTCTGCAATACGAGAGAGGAATCGCATCCGGTTATCAGGTGTGCGGCGATTTCCTGCGGGTCTATCATGAGTTGCTGCAACGGGTATGTGAATGCATCGTCCGCGTGCTGCGGCCCAAGGCCGTCGAAAGTTAACCTTTCGCTAACCTCATTCCTAACCCAGGATCGCTCGCTTCTTCCTCCTCCTCCTCCTCCTCTGCGCCGCACTTTGAAGGTTCGGACGTCGTCATTCGAATTTTTCTGGCTCCTTCGTTTATCTCCTCTTCCTCTGCCAGCGCAAACCGGATATCTGTTTGCTCGCAAAATGGAACATTGTGTGTGTGTGTGTGTCTGTGTGTGTGTGTGTGTGTGTGTGTGTGTGTGTGTGTGTGTGTACGCACTGCCAGCGCCGCGAATAATCGCGTCATGTTGTTAACAATCGCGAGGGACGCAATCGCGGGGAATTATTACAAAAGACCGCCTTGCATTCTGCCGATCCAATTGTGTGAGCGCTCCTGAGTTATTAATGCACCTCTTCTTTCATTAGTCTTCGCTCCGTTTGTAATTAGTCTTTGCGCTCGTTACTGATTTACATTCATTGCGCAGTCTGCACTCTGCAGCCATACAAGTTGCTTCCGACGCGAACACGTGTATTGCGACTTGTACACCTCGGATCTGAAGACATAGATTGCGTTCAGAAAACAAAGCGCTCACTGAGCGCTTAGTAACTATTGGCCCTTACTGTTAGATCCTTACATTCAGACCGATAACGTTGACGAATTATTCAACCGTTGTGTAACCGTTGTGTTTTCTGAACGCAACCATAAACTTTCTCTCCGGCTGGTTACATTGAAACTTGAATAGCCGAGAGGAAAGAAAGCTCGCAAAACTATTGAACGAAAAAAGACTACTGAGTAGAAAGAGAGAGATAAGATCCAGGTGACAAATATAGTCGAGTTGCGCAAGGTATTGTTGTCTCAGGTCAGGTCAGGCCGACTGGAAAAAGGAAGACACCGCGCACACAAGCGCGCGCGCGAGCATCACGTTGAGATAAGCTTTAATGGAGTGAAAGCGATTTACAGCGAAAATGAGCACTTCAAGGTTCCAGGTAGCTCGTTTTGCAACGAGCATCGTGAAAACGTGCGTCACGGTGCGCCGCGATAATAGATCTTTCGAGAAATTTTTGGCGTCGATCCTCGATTTCACTTCGCCGACGCCTCCGTCGTTTATCCAATCCCGGAGTGTTAGCCGAAGAGAGCGGGCAGCTTCTATTCGCATCTGGCGCGTCGCCCAGGCGGGGACGGGACGGCACGGGAGGCTCCTCTTCTCGGCTCGCGGTTGCACTCGAACGAAACTCAGCCGTCGTCTTATCGATGAGATTATGTCCCGCGATTCCTCGCGTATTCGCGTCTTCGTCCTCGCACTTGTGCCGCGTTGCACAACGAGTCTCTCCTTGCGGACGTAATCGGACGTCAGACGATTTTCTGATAGCATTATTACGTCATGCCAACTTATGCTCGCCGATTGACGTAAAAAACTGAACATAAAATTCAAGGATCGCTCTGCATTTGCATGGCACTCGTGTATACATTCAAATGTGTCGTCCGCTCGACGACAGATTAGAATATCCTCATTTTTTCCCGGGGAACGGGATGACTCGGTCGCGGAGTCATGTTTGTCGCGCCCGATCGAGACGCTGCAGCACGCGCTGACATTTTATCGCGATCGATAGCCGAGTAATCTGAGCAACGTGCGTACAGGACGTCTGGTATTTCAGACGAGGAATCGCCGATGTCTTATCGCGTTGTACTATCGATCCGTCGCGCGTTAATGCGCCAGTTGGCTCACTCGAACGTAAAGATTCCTTTGAGAGCCGATAAGCGGAAACGTCCGTTTTTCAAGTCACAATGACCAATATCCGCGAGTAAGGAAGATAAATGATGGCGGAATTAAGATAACGATAGGTCAATATCGCTCTTTGCCGCCGTTCTTTGATGCCGAGAGAAAGAGCTGGCTTCTCTCGGCGTCGCGCACGCTATTTTTACCCCGCGCGAATTAATCTCCGCTCGATAATTGTAATTACACGAACGCTAAGTTAATAGCCGCGTAAGAGAGTATTGTAGAACACGTTCGGGTACACGCGTAGGTGTAAGCTCCCTCGAACGTTCGAATGTAGGTGTAATTCTCCTTTGTTTCTTCTCCCTTTGTACAGTATATGGACATTGGTGAGGACATTGGCGTTCCTGAAGACTTCACGAATAGCGAGATGGACGCGGGAGTGTGGTGGAAACATTTGATATCCGGCGGCATCGCCGGTACTGTTTCACGTACCTGCACCGCCCCCCTAGATCGCATCAAGGTCTACCTGCAGGTAAGTCTTCAATCGTCTCTTTAGATTCAGTCATGTTGAGTCTCACAATCTCGCCTCAGCTTCATCGACTTCACTTCGCCAGGTATTACGATTATGCAGCTGACACATGTGTATATAATAGAAACACAAATTCACAGTAGAAATTATTGCGCGTCTCATGTTGTGACATTAACAATAGAATAATGCTATTTGTTTCACGCGCTTCCTACACAGGGTGTTCCAGAAAGATGGAATGAAAGGATGACGTTTTCGAAAAAAAAAAAAATGTTGAATACAAGAGTTTTAGGGTTTGGAAATGGGCGTGTCTAGTGGTGAACTTGAACTTTTGACCTAGAGATCAATTTTAAAAGTCAAGGTCAACTTTAAAATCCCAAGTGGAAACCCCCATTTTTGTCACATCATCTTTTTCTAGCAATCAATTTGAACAACTTTTGTCGGAAACATTTTTTTATCTGCCCAATATCTTTTGAGATATTTAAGAAAAACTTGGAAACTTTTTCAGTATCTAGCTTACGGTCTCTATATCTCGGTAACTATTTGTCGGAAGAAATACTGTTACAATAGTGCCCTAACTTTTGTTAATTTGATGATTTTGAAATTTCCAACGTACGATCTTAGAGTTAATCTTGATCTGACTTTTACATTTGATCAAATTCCTAACCACTAGGCGCCCATTTCCAAGCTCTGAGACTTGTATTTCTTTTTTTCTTTCAAAAACGTCATCACTTCAGGTTAATTCGGTCTAGTACCGATTTTTCTAGTGCGCCCTGCATATATCTTATTCATGCGCTACGTCACAATCTAACGACCACGAAAGCGAGAGTATGGTAAAGAAATAGAATATCGAACGATGTATGAGAGTGTATAGTTTGGTTTGATACGAGAACGAAGAACGTACGATATGCACGGTTGCAGGTCCACGGCACACGACACTGCAATATCATGAGTTGCTTCAGGTACATGGTGCGCGAGGGCGGCCTGCGCAGTCTGTGGCGCGGTAACGGCATTAACGTGCTCAAGATCGCGCCGGAGTCAGCGATCAAGTTCATGGCGTACGAGCAGTTGAAGAGAATCATCAAGGGAAATAACGATAAACGCGAACTCGGTTTAGGCGAGCGCTTCTGTGCAGGGTCCTGCGCTGGCGGCATCAGTCAGAGTGCCGTTTATCCTCTCGAGGTAACTCCCCGCACCCCCTTCAACATCTTTAATCCCTTTAACCCCTTGGCTGACGGAAATGCAAAACTGCGTGTGATATTTCTAATAATACAATATTCCTAAAACTGGATATTCAAAGATTCTTGAGGCCGTTCTATTCAGTGATGAGCTTCAACATTCAACGTGTGGCGGATGTAATATGACTGACCTAAAATTGAGAGAAAAATGTAAAAGTTTTATAAAAACTTTGAAATGTTATGTATTTTAGGGCTTTTGAGAGCGCTGCTTCAAAAATTAAAATTCGAGATGGCGAGATTACCAGAGCAAAGTGTTATCCACATATTATATAACTTGTTATTAAATTATATTTGTCCATTATTTCGGTATTCGCGCTGCTTTACAGATTTAGGAAAACATTTTTGGTTCCTTTGATTACCTTCGCTGTTTATTTTGATGAAATAAAATTATGATTTTAATCGCCGTACTGGATCCGTCACTTTGAATGTGAAAGTTTCTGACTTCATATTCGTAAACAACGACTTCGGAAACCTTCAGGTACAAAATTTTAATGACGTTGCTTGACCTTTGAGAATTATTTTTTATCAGCTGAAGCATTTTTACTGAAATTCATCTTGCCAGTCAAGGATTTAATTTGAGCTACGTTCCGCGTGAAACATTGCCAGTATTGACGTCCCGGGCATGCTAAAAAAAACACGTAACGCGACGCGATTTAATCCTGCAGGTTCTAAAGACGAGGCTGGCTCTGCGGAAAACGGGCGAGTTTAACGGCATGATCGACGCAGCCAAGAAGATATATAGGCAAGGTGGTATAAGATCCTTCTACAGAGGCTACATTCCTAATCTGATCGGGATAATTCCGTATGCTGGCATCGACCTTGCCGTTTACGAGGTGAGTCCAACCTACGCGCAGTTGAGTATTCAACACTTAGATTTCGTCATTCACGGCAGTTTTCACGAACCCTTTCCTCTCGCAGACGTTGAAGAACCGTATCATTTTACGTCAACCGCTACCTCCTATTTCGTTCGACAAAGAGCAGCCGAAACCGGCGTTTTGGATCCTATTATTTTGCGGCACTATGTCGAGTACTGCGGGTCAAGTGTGCTCGTATCCTCTCGCGCTAGTGCGTACCCGTCTGCAGGCGGAGATCGCGACTGACAAACCCCAGACTATGGTCAGCGTGTTCAAGGACATCATCAGTCGCGAGGGTGTGCGCGGCCTTTATCGTGGTCTTACGCCCAACTTTCTCAAGGTAACTATTGTTCCTTCAAGTTTCTACCCATCGAGTTCATCTTCGATATCTGCAAGATGTAAATGTCGGACATCATTCTTATTGCTTATATGCCGGCTGAGTGCAAAAGTGCCGATGGATTTCGCGATGGAAACAAGAATGGGCCAAGTATGTTTGATTTTATAGATAATTGAGAAACCCATCAGGACTTTTGTGCTCACCAAATAGATGTGACGATTCGTAAATCTAATTTACCCGCGTGATGGAATTTACACGAAATGTAGCAGCATATTTTACCTTGTGAAATAATATGTCTTTTTCTCTCTTTCTTTCTCTTACACAGGTGGCACCTGCAGTGTCCATTAGCTATGTCGTGTACGAGCACTTACGGCACACGTTGGGCGTCAACATGACGTGATAAACATGCACACTAGGCCATTTTTATTAATTAACTCAATTAATTTATTCCCCCCTCTCTTTCTCTATTTGTATCTATCTCTCTATCGCTCTTCGATTATCACTCAAGGTGATAAATAAATGAGGAAGCGCGTTTGCTCGATCGTTGATTCAATTCTCGTCGAAGATAAAGAAGAATAAAAAATAGAAGATTAATAAAGTCAACAGTGATGAGGATGACGAAGAAGATGAGAAAAATGATGATGCTGATACTGATGACGATGACACAAAGGAGAAGAAAATAGTGGCGCTTATTTATTATTATTAGCTACAAACTCGAAGTACCGTATCCTTCGAGTCACGGTCCTAGGATGAAGAAAACAGGCCAGTTTTCGACCACTTGGTAAAAGAAACACGTCTTAGTTTTAACGGCAACATTCGAGCCAGTCGAGAGAAATGTTTGTTTCAATTACATGTACAGAGTTGGAAAGATTTGAACACATTCCACTTGTATTTTGGAAGATAAACTAAAAAATGGCTGAAACGTTTAAATCACCACCAAGATTAAATTTGACAAAATGCTCTACGTGAAAAATTGCGCGATACGAAAAACGTTCCGTTACAATATATTTAAAGATGCAATGTGTTGCGACACAGTACAATATGATGAAAAGAGCTGTTGCGACACGATACGATATGATAGAATGAAATATTTATGACCGACTTGAAATGGCGTAGAATTTCGTTACGATCGCGGTTTCTTGTTTCGAGGCTGGAAAGATTGTGAGTTATATACCGACACTGTGATACATATATTGTAAATGTATGAGCCGAATAATTTCCTTTTTTTTTCTTTTTTTTTTTCGTATATTTCCTCGCAACACGACGTCTCTTTGTTTGCTTCTTTTTGTGCGCCCAGTGTCTTGTAAGCGAGATGAGAAAGCGATCCAGATCACACTTAGGATTTGCATAGAATATTTTCTTACATGTTTGATTTTTCTTTAGAGGAAAGCTAATCGTACGGAGAATGTAAGCGTAAAGTTTAAGTAGTGCAAAAGAGGAATCCGATAGGTTAAACTTGGAGTGAAATCAAAGTTTCAAATTTTTTAAACTTATCAGTGACTGTTTCCGAATGTACGTAAAAATTTGAAAAAGAATAAATACGAATGCCCCCCGAAATTAAATTAAGTACAATAAGATCCTTGGAATTTTTTGGTTGAATCAGTCGGTTGATTTATCGCCTGTCTAAAAATCTCACTTTGAAGATTACGAGAAATTTTATCATCTGTATTTTTAGTACGATTTTACGTGGATTGTTGTACACTCTATATTATATAGAGCTGAAAGTATCAAAGAAATTTTTCTCGGAGAAAATTAGACTTTTCTGTATATATTGCAAAGAATTGATAATAAATTTTTATAAATATGAATTAGAGAGATATACATATGTGGCGTGTATGTGCGAGTGTGTGTGTACGCATATATACATGTGTGCGTGTGTGTGTGTGTGTGTGTGTGTGTATGCATACGTATGTATATGTTTATAGCATAGACTAAAAATATGAGATATACGCAGAAGAATATTAATTAATTTATGTATTTATGAATTTATACAAATCTCCGCAGACTCAATTTAGTTTTGAGATTTCGAGTTTTCTCTGAGAAAAAAAGCAACGGCATCGTATATTGTCCTCGAAGAAACAAAAATGCATCCCTACTGCTGGTCCGCGCTATTTTCAAGACACCGTGTATATAATAAGATAGGCTCTTGACGCGTATACACGGTATCAGGACTGAATAGATTAGCATTAACAAAGAACACCGTGTATATAAACGATCGACGAAGCTTTGAAATTGTCCCTTGACCTCGATAGCGCTTCGATACTTTCAATGTATATAATATAATAATTATATTATTAATATTATTTAATAAGTATATCTTTAGAAACAGAATTTTTTCTTAAATAAAGACATTCTTGAATGCTACTCGCTCTTGGATCACTTTTCTATAGAGAACTTATAGAAGAGGATTCCAGTGTTATGATAAAGTTTAACGGCTTGTGGATTATGTATTATGTGTGTGAATGTGTGTGTCTATGTGTGTGTATGTAAACTTATCAAATGTATAATATACACACATACACGCATGAGGTTCAATTTTGAACTTATAAATACTTATATACCCAGAAAACTGCCCGCATATATTCGACTCGTTCAGAACGCTGAAGTTGGCATTATACCTTATATCAACGACAATTTTACTAAACTTAACTTAGAGTCACGAAAACCCGCCTGGTACTTAAACTAAATAAAACAGCGAATATAAATAAACACGATATCAAAACCACGAGATCCTGTATCTGTGATATCTCATTTGAATTACCCGTTTGGTCGAAATTTTTATTTCTTCGCTCAAGTCAGGATTTTACTTCTTTCAAGAGTCTACAGGAGCGAAGAACAAATCCTAAATTGACTTTAGTGGCATCGTGCACAGTGAGCGTCTGAAGATAAAACTAGCGGAGTTCATAAAATTTGATACAATTTTTAAATCGGACATTTAAAATTGCACTTTGCGGTATTCGTCTAAACGAACAAGACGACATCTCACGTATGCTACGAGAACTACTGAATGCAATATTATGACAGTTCCTAAAAAACTCACTGCTCACTTTGTTCATTCTGATAACGAAATCGAGAAAACGAGCAAAATTGCAATTTAGCAGTTGCAGTCTCGAGTAAAATTTGTGGAAATTTATACATTGTAGTTTGTTGTGTCTCGACTAAAATGTTAGTGAGGAAAATTTTTAGCTAAGACTCAAACTACATATTTACCGTCTTTTATAAAATTGTGTTGCGACTCGTACTGCAATTAATAAATTGGAATTTTACTCATTTTCCCGATTTCGCGTTCTCTCTCTCTCTCTCTCTCTCTCTCTCTCTCTCTCTCTCTTTTGCTGTTTCTTTACAGCGCGGCCGCGGTGAATCCGCGAAATTGAAAACTCCGAAATATCGATACTCCAGGAAGATCGACTATCGATTTATCGTCCGTTTGCCAACATCGATCCGCGATTTGACTCGCGTGGTGGCGGAAATCAGTTTCTCTCCTTAACCAACCGTCTCTCATCCGGTACACGCGGTCGAGTCACTGGCTAGATAAGTGCCGAGCTACGGGCGATATATCCTGGTCTGTCGGAATTTGGAGTCATTTCGCAGCGCTCTCGAGACTCGGTGGATCGCCGCTCGTCGTTTATGGTGGAATTGTAGCTGCGGTCTCGTCGAGGAGCCATGGCGCGATACGGGCAGCGTCCCGAGAACGCCCTGAAACGGGCGTACGGTACGTACCTCTTGTACTCGACGTGTGTGATACGATACGACATGGCCGATGGCACGGGGTATACCGCATGAGGAAAAAATGTCACGTCTCTTTATGCCATTTGCGAGAGTGCGACGCGTTCGATCGCGCCGTCTCTCTCTCGATTGTAGCGCGATTTATTGACAATCGACGCACACTTGTCGCACAGTACGCTAAAATCGCCTTCGCCTCACTTGGCGTTTCCTTTCTCTGTCTCTCTCTTTCTCTCTCTCTCTCTCTCGCTCTCTCTCTCTCTCTCTCTCTCTCTCTCTCTCTCTCGCGTTTTCGCTCGCTCGCTCGCTCGCTCACTCTATCTATCTCTCTCGCTCTCTTTCTCTCTCTTTCTCTATATTTGCCTCCGCCTCTCTCTTTCTCTCTCGCGGTGGAATTTTACGTTTTGGCGACCATATGTATCCGCACCCTGACTACGTTGTTTCGCAAAACTTGTCAACAACAAGCGGTCTTGGAAAGCGGAATTATGCGTTTAATTGTTAGTAAATAATCGTTGGTGATTATTTACCATTCTCTTAGTTTTGTGAGTAAAATAGGGAGATACGAGAAGCTGCATTTTTACCTCACATTTTATGATATAAATTTCCATGCTAGACTCTTGTGTTTTAGAAAGTGACCTCATTTTGGAGATTAAAGCCTCCTATATGTTATATAGTCAAATTTTATCTGTTAAATAAGCACGAGAATGGTCGATGATGAGAAATTGACAATAGATGCTTTTCTTTCAGCCTTATCTTCTGTTAAAATTTTTTCTCTCCCTCCCATAAAGTTGTGACTATTTCATGTTGGCTCGGAAGACATAAAAATAGAAGGATGAAGGATAAGATGTGAAAGTTGTTTTTAGCAATGTCAATTATATAATCATATTTGTCACTGCACTTTGTACCAATCCATTGTGTCAATTCTTGTAGTACACTCTGTAAATTCCTGCTTTTATCATTGATAAAGACGGTCTATTTTCTATGCATTTAACACACAAAGTATTGACATTGATTTTCTTCCTTTGCCTTTTCAACAGAATTTATCGAAGTGGGCAAGCCAGCTCGGGCATTAGATACACTGCAGGAAGTCTTCCGTAACAAAAAATGGACGTACAGCTGGTCAGAGTCTGTACTGGAGCCCATAATGTACAAGTACTTGGACCTATGTGTGGAACTGAAAAAGTCACACATAGCCAAGGAGGGTCTGTTCCAGTACAGGAACATGTTCCAATCTGTCAATGTCGGCAGTTTGGAGAACGTCATACGCAGCTACCTGAGAATGGCTGAGGAGAAGACGAACGCAGCTCGCAAGCAGAGCCAGCAAGCGGTGATTGACATTGACGATCTTGACAATCTCGCTACGCCAGAGAGCATCCTACTGTCCGCGGTGAGCGGCGAGGACGCCCAAGACAGAAGCGACCGCACCATATTGACACCTTGGGTGAAGTTCTTGTGGGAATCATACTGCCAATGCTTGGAGTTGCTCAGAACCAACGCGCATGTGGAGACTCTCTACCATGACATCGCGCGTATGGCCTTCCAGTTTTGCCTCGAGTACAATCGTAAGACTGAATTTCGTAAATTGTGCGAGAAATTGCGGAAGCATCTCGAAGAGATCTGCAAACTGCCGCAGCTGGTCTCGAACGTCTCCATGAACAAGGCGGAGACGCAGCAACTGAATCTCGAAACCAGATTGAATCAATTGGACTCGGCAATACAGATGGAGCTCTGGCAAGAAGCCTTCAAGTCGTCGGAGGACGTGCATGGCATGATGAACTTATCGAAGAAGTTACCGGTCCCAAAGACCATGGCCAACTACTACCAGAAACTGGCGATGGTTTTCTGGAAAGCCGGCAATTTCCTGTTTCACGCGGCCGCGCTGTTCAAGCTGTTGCAGCTGTCCCGCGAGATGAAAAAGAACATGTCGTCGGAGGAGCAGCAGCGAATGGCCAACCGGGTGTTACTAGCAACCTTGTCGATACCATTACCGTCCGCGCATCCTGAATTCGACCGCTTCATAGAGACGGACAAGAGCCCGCTGGAGAAGGCGCAGAAGCTCGCGACGCTCTTGGGCCTCTCGCAACCACCCACTCGCGTTTCTCTGCTCAAAGATATCGTGCGCCTGAACGTGGTGATGCTCGCGTCGCCGCAGCTGCAGGAGCTGTACTCGTGGCTGGAGGTGGAGTTTCACCCGTTGGAGCTCTGCGGCAGAGTCGACTCCGTTATACAAACGCTGCAGGCGGACGAGAACAGCCCGTTGACCCAATATGTCCCTGCGTTGCAGGACGTTACGCTCGTGCGTCTTGTTCACCAGATCTCCCAGGTCTACCAGACCATCCAGTTCTCCCGGCTGCTGGAGCTCGCCAAGTTCACGACCGACTTCCACTTGGAGCGTCTGCTGGTGGACTGTGTGCGCTACAACGACATGCAGATCAGGATAGATCACGGCAAGACTTGCGTACACTTTGGCGTGGACCTGTCAGAGGCGCAACGGGAGGATCATCCGGACGGCCCGGTGCTGCAGGCGATGCCGTCCGAGCAGATACGCTGCCAGCTCGTCAACATGGCGACCGTGCTGCACCGCGCTATCAATGTTATCAATCCCAACAAGAAGAAGCTGGAGCGGGAGAAGATGCGTAGCGCGATGGTCGGCCACTATCACGAGACCAAGATGAAGGAGCACCAGAGGATATTGGGGAGGCACAAAATCATTGAGGAGAGGAAGGAGTACATCGAGCACATCAACACCGTCCGCGAGGAGGAGGAGATGCGCAGACAGGAGGAACTCCAGCGACAGCAGATGCTGGCCGAGCAGAAGAGGATGGAGCAAGAGCGCGAGGAGCGCGAGCGGAAACGCCAGCAGAGCGAGATACAGCAGATCAAGGACCGCCACCTGAAGGAAAAGATGCAGCAGATCTCGCAGACCAGTCATGGGCAGAAGGTGTTGAAGAAGCTCGACGAGGACGAGATCAAGAAGCTGGACGCGGAGCAGATCGCGGCGAGGGAGGCGGAGGAGCTGCAGAAGGAGCGGCGGGAAATGCAGCAGAAGCTCAAGTCGCAGGAGAAGAAGGTCGACTACTTGGAACGCGCGAAACGCCTCGAGGAGATCCCGTTGCTGGAGAAGGCGGTGGAGGAGAAGATGGAGCTGGCGAAACAGTGCTGGAAGCAGCAAGAGGACGAGCGAATCGCCGCGACCGTCGAAGAGAGGCAGCAGGCTGTTGCGACGCGAGAGCGTATGGCACGCATGAAGGCCGACCACGACATCTTCCTCGCCAAGATCCTGGCTGAGCGTAAGAACATATATCTGGAGAAGCAGAAGGAGTATGACAAGCTGCTGAACGAGGAGCGCGCCAAGAGGTTGTTGCAACGCAAAAATCAGCGCAAAGCCGAGCGCAAGGCCAAGTGGGAGAAGGAGCGCGCCGAGGCCGCAGAACGACGGCGCCTGGAGGAGCTGCGCATCAAGCAGGAGGAGGAGAAGAAGCGCTTGGAGGAGGAGAGGGCCAAGAGGGAAGAGGAGGAGAGAGTCAGACGGGCCGAGGAGGAGGCCAGAGAAGCGGAACGTTTGGCCAAGCTCAAGAAGCAGTCTGAGATCATGCGAAACAGGGAAGCCGAGATCGAACGGAAACTCGAGGAAGAACGCCAGCGGACCAAGGAACTGACGGCAACATGGCGGCGTAATCCCGAAAGAGATCAGGAACGTGAGCGTGATGGCCCGAAACCTGGTGAGTATATAGAACTTTGTACACACACACACACACACACACTTTTGTACCTTGTCGATGGCTTCATCGCACTTAATGCATCTCTGTTTCATCAGCAATGGAGTCATGGCGGCGTAATCCCGACCCCAAGGATTCCAACGGACTCAAGAGCGAAGCGGAGCGCTGGAGGAAGCGGGACGACAAAATCGAGGAGTCTTCATGGAAGAGGAGGGAACCGGAACGACGCGACATGGACAAGTGGAGAAGAAATGACGACTCGGATAGATGGAAGGACAGTATGGAGAAATGGAGGGACAACTACGATAGAGATGATCGCGAGCGTGATCGCGACCGTGAGCGTGATCGTGATCGTGACCGCGAACGTGATCGTGATCGCGAACGTGATCGTGATCGTGATCGTGATCGCGATCGTGGAATGGACGGCGGTCGCTCGGTGAGTGCATTTTCTTCATTTACAAGCCATTGCAATTGCCTTTTTTGTTTATTTACGTATTTGTATGCACGTATTAACAAGCACTTGGGCGAGTCATGGAAGTGCCGAAAGAATTACGGAATTTTCACAAAAGTCTAATGGCGACGTATGTCTTCACTGAATTGTTGCAGATACGCGAAATTCCTCGGGATCCGATGCTATCATCCGATCGAGACCGCGGCAGAATGTCCGACCGTCGCGGTGGTTATCGACGTGACGAGCCTGTACGAAACACCAATCAGGACTGGCGCAAACGCGACCCACCTCCAGACTCTCCTAGAGATCCACCCAAGCGAGAGTGAGTATCGAGATGCGATAGTAGGTTCTGCGCACGTGGTACAAATTTCCAAGCGTACGCTTGAACGAACTTCAAGTTGTCAATCCAACGTAATTCCTCTAAATGTTCTTTAGGCGAGAGGAACGCAAGGAAGAGAAACTTCCGCCTAGGCCCGACGAAAGAAGGCGGCCACTGGAGGATGACGGCTGGTCAAAAGTCAGTCGACGCTAACAGTGGATCTCTACAGCTTCGTTCGTGTAATTGTTCGATGTCGGTTACTCTGTGTATGGAGTCTACTTATTATCTGAGTCGAGACTCTGTTGAGACAAATGAACAAACACGAATTTCTTGCTTTCCAACGTGTCTTCTTTCTTTTCCATCGAGAAGATGCTGCGTACCCATCCGCGCCAGTGGCGCCTCGCATCGACGTGCGTACGGTCGTTCAACTTCAATTCTAACACACGTAAATTAAAGTTTAAATTAAAGGAAAACTTCTTAAGACATAAGAAATCGTGGGATAATATAAAGAGTTCGACGAGGGCTTATAGGACACGCGACAATTTTATCGATATCTTCAGTCCTGAACCCTCGTTGTTGGTTTACAAGCAATATGCGCCGAGTTTCTGTCTCTCATCATGATGAAACTTGGCATATTTGTAGAATAGTTAAAATTAAGGGACCCGTCATTTTATTTTTATTTACTCTGATGCAAGTTTAAACGATAAAATCATTTAGTGTACTATCCTGCTTATGCCGTTTCGACGATCATCGGATGCGCATAACAAATACAATGTTATATATTAAAATGAAATGTTTTTGTCAACTTTTACTTTTGATTGATTAATCAATTGTTACAATAAGAAAACAAAATTTTATTAATTAGATCCATCCACATATATATATATACAGGGTGTCCGGAATGTGATCATTAATATTTTGTGTACTGGTAGATTGGATGTAGCCGAGAAGAAAGTCATGTACCATAATGTCAAATTGGCAATAGTTATCGAGTTATTTATTAATTAAAACATGTGAGCCAATGAGCGCGTAGAGAGCGCTGGGCGGTCGCCTCTCGCCGCGCGAGGTAAGCCATCTTCTTGTATACAGAGCCCGTCCTGTCGCTTTCTCGTGCGCTCATTCGTTTATACATTTTAATTAATCACGAAATAAATATTGAAAAAATTGTAAAATGGCACAGGACTTTTTTAATTGTTTTAACGTGTTCTACCAGTACACAAAATATTAATGATCACATTCCGGACACCCTGTATATATATATATACATATACGTATATATATATATATACGTGTGTGTATATATATATATATAAAAGAGTTGCCCAAAAAACTACCTTATTACCAATGAAATTCCAGGCCCATATTCAGAACACGCTTGTAACTATGTTAGCGTGTTGTTAACCAATGAAAAGCCACGCAATATGCCTTCTGATTAGTTACCAGCGCACTAACATAGTTCTAAGCATGTTCTGAATATGGGTCACAATTGCCAAGATGGCATAAACACGACAAAATCTTGGGGAGTTAGTTTCACTTCTTGTAAATTTATATGTTAGTAGGAAAAAATATGTACTTTTTACTTTTGTCCATTTTACAAATTCGCCAAGTCTCGTAAAAATCGGAGACAAATACTTTACGGATATTCCTTATTGTAGTATGTTCCTTAGCGTAGTAAACTGCGTTATCTCGAATTATACACGCGTTTATCATTTTTTGTATAGTGAATAAGACATGTCGGTCTCAAAACGAATCGACCGATATAATAAAAAAATCCGCTCTCGACTGTACACATTATCGAGCGTCTCAGTCATTATGTATACGCATAATTAAAATTCCGTCATCGTTGCGACGAAAGAAATCTTAACCGGTGACGTCAGAGAAAAACAATTTTCCGAATGAAATTTCATTGAAACGGAGAGATGTTCACGGAATGACGAGACGAAGGAGTAAATTTCTAAAAGCTATTCCGAAAGCTTACTTTTTACTGTAATAATTAATAAATTATGCACACAATCAATGCGACAGAATTACGTTAAAAATATAAACCATAGGTGAATATATAAGAAATCAGTTCGACCGACTCTAGCGAGTACGTTACGTTTAGTACTTAAGTTGCATTCTCCGTTTCTCTCGCACGCTCTCGTATTATGCGGATCGATCTCGACAGCAATTATCTCTGTGCTCGATTTACAATTTCCGACGAGCGTTCTGCGCTCTCCCCCGACGTGACACTTTTCCTGTTCGGAAGAAAGAATAAAGCCGTAAAACAACGGGGCGCGTACAGGCACTTTTATATCGTCAGGGTAAACAAAAAAGATATATCTCACCCTCTCGGTATATAAAAAATCTGATAGCAATATCTAGACGTGTACCGTTGACTCAGAAATAGAAAAATATATCTCGACCATTTTCTCTGTCATGCGATGGACGACATGTCGTTGCGAACGTCGACAATCGATCGACGTGATTAAAGTGGATCCCGCTGGTGCAATTTCCGTTTTCCTTTTTTTTTTTTATATTATCCCACGTTTTCTCATCATGATACATCTTCCCTCGAGAGGAAGATGCGTACTATTCCTTCCTGCCGCACACACAAACTACTAACGATTACCGCCATGTACAATACACACGAGCCATTTTGCAAGGTATACAATAACGACGAAGCTTTTGTAACGGAGAGAATGTACACGAAACGTATACATATATTAATGATAAAACAGCGAAACAGGATTACACTGTGTATAAACATAATTTCGCTCGCTGTTTTATTATCGTACACTCGCGACATCATAAATAAATATACCGTCGGAGGGCAAACTTGCTATTGTATTTACATTTTTTCATATCGCGCGTTTCACGCGCGGCGGAATTTCAATCCAACTGCGAATTACCGTTTTCGCAACGTGCAAATTAAGCGTATGTTATAGAGGAGGAGGAGGAGTGATATCGAGAGAAAAATAATCGCGCGAGAGATAAATCGATGCCTCGAGGGAAAGGTGCACATCACGCTTACTCGTCGCGGAGATACATCCTTCTTTACAACTACTTAAACTATGCAACGTATATTATCGTTTCAAATCGAGCCCAGTCTAGTCAAGGTAATCGCCTTTGTAAAAAAGCAAAAGAGGAAGAGACGAACGGGAAATGGAGCGCTAAATCTAAGAGGGGTTGTTTTCGAGTATTTCAATACCTCGGGGTAAGCTCCGAAGGGCTGAAGTAACGCACGCGGCGCCGTCTCGCATTTGATAGCGTCGCTTATACGTCTGTATACGAGCGTATACCAACGACAGAAATCTCAAGGCGACTCAGGCTGTTGGATCTAAGTCCAATTATTGTCTAGATTGCGACCTTATCGATAAGACGTAACAATACATAGATTAAGTTACAATAAAGCATCCTTTTCCATACACAATCCGGCCAATTTTCGTGCGCGAAACGTTCTGTAGGAACTGCGCGATTCGGTCGTCTAGTCTCTCCGTCCGTCGACGATCTGAGATGCAGACCTGGACGTCATCCACGAGAGTGCCTGTTTCGTTGACCTCGTCGCGCCGCAACGTTCAGTACAACATTATCGCTGCAGCTGTCTTCTCTTCGAGCGCGGGGATCGGCTCCAGACGATCGTCTTTCTCTCTGCCCGACCCCCAGCCGACTAACGCTATGCTGATAAGGTGCACGATGCCAGCGCTGACGACGAGCCTGAATGAAACGATAAAGCGTACTTTATTCGAGCAGAGAACCTGTTTCAAATCAGGTTTCCTGATACTGACTATTCGACTAGCTCGACAGGTAACGCGAAAATATCAGTGGAAGATATGGAAATATCAAGTAGTCTATATTTACATTTACCGTGATATTTCAGGTCGTCGAGATGAGGGAGAAGCTTTGATTGGAAACGGAAGCTCTCCTTCTGCACTCTCGGTGAGAAGAGCGACTTACCAGAATGAATAGCCGAGCTCAGCGGAGCCTTCGCTGGTCCACATGTTGTCGATGTCCTCCTTCGGAAGCACATTGACGTACAGTCTTGTGTAATATTGCGCTAACCAGGTGCAAGTGCTGGCCAAGCACATTAATACTGGAAACAGATTGTAATTGGGAACTCACGTCGCGTGTCGTGCGTGACCAAGGTACGGCTGCCTGCGAAAAGGCGAGAGACAAGGAGAAAGAGAGAGAGAGAGAGAAAGAGAGGGAGAGAGAGAGAAAGACTCACGTGTTAACATATTTATAAAGTAGACACTAGGGATGGACAGGATCTTCGATCTCGGTGAGGTGGCCGTGTTGAGAACTGCCAAGAGCGCGGCGAGCGCAGCCGCTACCAAGGCGGCCGACGTCGTCGTCAGAGTGCCGATCCAAAGGGACCAGGACATCACTGACGGGTCCTGGCGGATCATCTGAGGCACTGAGGAACATTATTAACGAGGCATTTTAACATTGGCTGACATGGATTGTACGATGAAGCGTAAACATGCTTTCTCGACACGTTGGCTGTCAAGTGCATCATCGACGATATAACTTGGTATAAATAATTCACCGCCGTGTGAAGCAAACATAAGAAAGCATATTTAGCTCCTCAGGTAGGGGACGGCATTTTTCTCGGTTTTCATGACTAGGCACATTTAATGAATTCGAGCCGGGCAGCCAAAGTGTTGACGCGCGTATTATTGTTTCATGCAATTGAAGCGATGCCGACCCTCTCACTCTCTCTCTCTCTCTCTCTCCCTCCCACTCTCTCTCTCTCTCTCTCTCTCTCTCTCTCTCTCTCTCTCGAGCGATTAACGCGTCTCCGGTCTCGGAGAATATTATACTCGAAATTCCGCGAACTTTGCGCCTCGGAAAAATATGCGCGCAGCGTTCGGTGCCTTCGGACGTCTCTCGCTGATGCGGATGTATTGCGCGCCGCTGAAACTAAAAGCCGCCGCTATTGCATTTTATGCTCGAGCGTGACGTGCGCTTCGAAGAGTGGAGAAAGAGAGTAAAAAGAGAAAGACGGGAGGGGGGGACCGGGTGTATAAGTGAGAATATTTCGCGCATTATATGCTTCTACGGTACGACGAAGTTTTCGCGAGACATTTCAACTTACGCCGGCACGAATAACGGATCATTGCACTCGCCGGAGGCGGCGGCCAAGTTCCGCCGCTGCGTGGTATCGGCCGCCTCGCAAAGTACTCGAGCTACTCGAAAACGTATCTCCGCGTTCCTATCGAATCCTCCTCCTCCTCAAATCCGATATGGCGCATTCATCACTTGCGCTCGCTCACGAAAGCCGCTCCCGAGGAAAATCCAAACTCGCGAAACGAACGAGCGAGAATTAGCGCGGCCAACTAAAGTTCCGGAAAACCCCGCCGGGATTGTTTTTCCCTCCTCCTTCGCTCTCCTCTCTTTCGCAAATCCATCCGCAGGCGCTTCCTCGCGCGTCGGATCGATCGCCCAGCACGATCCGATACTCCGGCCACGGTCAGTATCGGCAACGCTGATGGCCGAGCGCGCGCGTGAAAGTAGACCACGAGGCTTGGTCGTTGATTTTTGCGCGCGCGGAAACTAGTTTCTGCGTCTATTGTTACTCGCGTACGTCTCTCGTAACTTTACACTGCTTCCCCTTCTCTGCTGCCTTTTTTATCACGCGCGCGAGATTTCGACGAGAAATTCGAACGCGTGCATACTCGCTGCCTAGACGAAGCACCGCCGAGGCATAGGCCGGCACGAGCGAACATCCTGAACGGTTGTGCGTGCGTTCCCGAAGCGCGTTCCCGAAGCGCGTTCCCGAAGCGCGGGGTCGTGGAGCGACGTTTACCCTTCAAAGCTATTAGCCGGCTGAACGAAAGAGAAACGCTTCTCACAGCGCGTGCCGGCGATTCTGTTGTTCGCCTCCGGAAACGACGAGCGTGTAATAACCCACGCAAAGTCGCTCGCTCGCTCGCTCTTCGCCGCGATTATTATGCATTGTTGCGCCGGAGATTTGTCGTATTCAGCTCCTCGACGAGGCATTCGCGATCTTCGCAGAGCCGCGCTCTCACCGAGCGGCGAGATGCAACGGCGAGACAGCGGAACGTGTCCTTCGTATCGCGCTGATAATCGCGACGGCATGCCGATCATCTTTGGCTAACGGTAATATCCTGCCTATCGATTTTCCGTGCTGGGCTATATGTTAATCGGCCTGCATACCGGTCAAGGTTGCGATATGCTGAGCGTTTTTCACTCGCTCGCAAAATGCAGTCAACGTGGCGCGAGAGCGAGCGAACGAGAAAGGCGGAAAGGCAGTCCGGCATACCGGACACGTGATACGTCCTCCATCCGTAAGCGACGTTCAATTCCTTCTTGCCCTGCAGCAGGCCAAAGTGAATCCTGCCGGCGCTCTCTTGAGGATTCGGCGTCCTCCACGGTCGCGCCTCCACCCAGTGCTGCGTCACCAGGGCGGCGCACACGAGGCCGCCGCCCAGCAGTGACAGGAAGAACGTCGCGAAGATCGTGCCCCTGCGGAACATGGACGTCATCCTCGGGTCGCGCGACAACGGTCCAGTCTTCGGGAAGCTCGCGAGCGCTGCAAAGCGAGGGAACGTGTAAGAGGGAGGTGCGTGATCCCCGCAGTTTCTCAGCGAGGAGATCTCGTCGTTTCGCGAGGAAATCCCCTGCGGAAGAAAGAGGGAGGCAGGAGGGGAAAGAAGAGATAGAAGAAGCCAAGCCCGCTCGTGAAACGCGTATTTTCCGCGGCCGCGCCGGGGCAAAAAGAAGATGCTACGTCCTCCATCTCGCGCACGTAGCGCAGAAAGCAAACGTCTGCGCGATCTCGCGTGGAATAATGCCTCGCCTCGCTGCATCCTATTAACATCATCCGCGCGTTACGCCGTACATACACGGGAACCGTCCGGTGTGGAAGCCTCCGCGGCGGAGGAGAGGGCACAGCGTCCGCTCCGCCGGCGGAATAACAGTACAAATTCGTAACGTCGGCGCGCTTCGAGACGGGCGAGGATCCCGTCCGAACGGGAAAGCATCGAAGAAACAGACAGATGGATGCAGTCTCTTCAAGTCTACAAAATGATATAAAATACATGTAAGGTAGGTAGAAAGGTACTATACATCAAGAGAAACACTATACGAAGCGACTGATAATGGTCAGAGAGCGAAATGCAGAAAGAAAGAGATGAGTGTAATCGTAAGTTGTGTTTACAGAACACAGGCAGAGATGAAGCGCACAGATTCGAGGGAGAGAGGGATCGTGCCGGGCGAGGTAGATGAGACGTGGCGGCGGAAAGTTTTCCAGCAGAAATCTCCCGAGGAGAGGGACAGATTCTCTCGCGGAGTCTCGCGTCATTATGCCCGCGCGGCACTGTTCGTTCGTTCGTTCGTCGGTTCGCTTCCTTTCTCCCTGCTTGTGTTTTCTCCACTCGTTCAACCGAGCGGAGACAACGACGCAGCCCGTGCGACACGCGCCGGGCGGAGAGAAAGAGAACGAGACGCGCCGCTCGTGTGGGCATCGGCATAATTTACTTGACGACAGTCGCCATTTAAATTATGCCACACAGAAACGCCGCTTTCGCGAGCAATTATCCGGTCTGCTAGAGTCCAATCCGCGGTGGCGTGAAAGCGCCACGAGAGCGAAGCGCGTCGACACTCGTGGGCTCTCCTCGGTCTCTCCTTCCCTCCCCGGCGCGAGGTGAGCGAACGATACGAGAGGACTTTAATGACGATAATGACAACAACCTTGACCGTGGCTCTCCGCAAAGTGCACCTGGTTCAGGCTCCTGGAGAATTCGCCTTGCTTGACCTTCTGCGAGAAGTCGGCGTTGCCGAGCCTGCGGGAGAACTTGACGCGGCAATTGCCGCGCGCTGCCGGCGGCTTGGCAACGGTCCTCAGCAACGACGACGCGGCCGGCTTTGGTCGCTTGGCGAAGGTGTACGGGATCGTGTAGGGCTGCGCCACGTAAAAGTAAATCGGCCGGTAGTCCTCGTGGAGCTGCTGCTGCTGCTGCTGCTGCTGTTGGTAATGGTGATGATGATACGACGGCTGCTGCTGCAGGTTGAAGCTGCAGCCGTTGGCGGTGCAGCCGGTGCCGGTGGTGTACACGCTCGGTGCGCCGTTGCTGCAGCCGTACGAGCTCGCGTAATGCACCCCGTAGTGGTTCGCCGTTTTTTGCGAGTGACCTTCCACGGTTCTCGACGAGAAGGGGCTCGAAGGCAGGGTAGAAGACCGTAGGAACGCCGCTCTGTTTGTCTCTGCTTCTTTCTTTTTTTTTCTCTTTTCTACAATCCCCCGTCCGATTCGTCAGGCGACTCTCGCCGTCACTTTCTCCGGGTCTTGTCCACTCGTCCACGGGAACGACCTCTTGTTCTTCCTCTCGCCGGCGCGATCATCCGAGATCACTTCCGGCAGCTGAGCCTTGAATAAAAACGAGCGTGGTCGTCGGTCGTGTTGTCGCCAAGAAACTCGCTCTCGACTTTCATTTATCAGAGTGATCGTCCTCCCTCTCTCACTCTCCACCGATGACTCGTTCTCTTCAGGCACTTGGAGTCACTCTCTGGACCGCTGCCACTCAAAAATCGCGGAAGCGACTCGGCATCTCCTCTTGCGGCCGCCTCGCGGGGATCGATCGTCCGTCAAACACACGAGAGCGCCGGCGACATCGTCTTCGCCAGCGCCGGTGTATATTTTACCTTTTTAATAGAGAGAAAGAGAGAGAGAGAGAGAAAGAGAGAGAGAACACTCTTTAAAGAGGAGGGCTTAGCGTTAATCTCGAGCTGAAAGTCGCGAGCCCTGCGACAACGCGGTGCTCTCTTTTCCTCCCTCCCTCTCTTATCAGAGGGACTATCGGAGAAGCCACAGGTGGTGGATTGCGGAATACCGTTCAGGCGTTGGAAACCACCGGGATCTTTTATTACGTGTATTTCAATGGGCGGCGGCGAGCTCGCGGCTCGCGCAAGATGAGAGAAGGATTCTTTCTTCTTTAATTGTCACCCGTCGAGATTTTCTCTCAATGACGCTTTCCTTTCACGCGCGCGTCGTTCACCCGCTTAAATTACCGCGGCGACGACTCGACGTCCTTGTGTTTCCTTTTTCCTATCGTTTATATTTCGCCTGCTCTTCTACCTCAAACGGAGCTGCCGCGCGTGATTCTTCCCCGGGATTCTGAAACGCCGACGCTTCAGAATCCTCCTCGAGTACCGCTTGACGTCGTGGCTTCTCGTTGATATCTTAAAAACGTGCGCTTCTTCACCACATGAGGTTTCGCGGTGTGTCAACTGCAAGAGAAATTGGTAACGTTAGGAGATGAAGAGAGTGATTGATACGGGTGATTAATTGCGCCGGGTATGTAATTTGACTTGTTCCGAGTTGACTTGGAAAATTTCCTCTTAAAATTTCACCTCTCTCTCTCTCTCTCTGTCTCTCTCCTCTCGACCTCAAAGTTTCATATCGCGGAGCGAGCAAGAACAAAGTTTCAGCGTCACTAAAGTAACGTCTTTGTGCAAAAATTCCGAGATTAAAATTGACAAACGACAGGGAATTTCATTTTGCATCGACCTAAATTTAGATCGAAAGAGGAGTCGGGGGCAGTGTCGGCGCAAGGAGCGCGTCCTTCTAAAACGAGAATACACAAATCCGTTGGCCTGTCTGCCGTTTAAGATCGCACGAAATGGAATAAGGAAATTTCGTCGAGGACGCGGAAAACGAAAGAAAGAGAGAGAGAGAGAGAGAGAGAGAGAGAGAGAGAGAGAGAGAGAGAGAGAGAGAGAGAGAGAGAGAGAGAGGAGGGGTGGAAGAGAGAAGGAGGATAATTTTCGTATTTTCCTCTCGTGCTCGAAGCGGCATCTCTCTCTCTCTCTCTCTCTCTCTCTCTCTCTCTCTCTCTCTCTCTCTCTGACAGAGCCGCCGGTTGCGCGAGAAACAGCTAGGTGAACTCTCGACGTTAAACCGAAATGAAACGAATTGCTAACGATCTGTAATAAACGAGCGGGACAATCGCTAACGGTACGGTAAAATTTAAAAGGCGATATAATAACTCGTTTCTCGTTACCCGACATTTCTCAACTGCTCGTTGCGAAGACGGACAGACAGACAGACAGACAGACAGACAGACAGAGAGAGAGAGAAAGAGAGAGAGAGAGAGAGAGAGAGAGAGAGAGAGAGAGAGAGAGAGAGAGAGAGAGAGAGAGAGAGAGAGAGAGAGAGAGAGAGAGAGAGAGAGAGAGAGAAACACGCCGACTCGCTCGCTTATGCGCGCAGAGGCACATCAAAGATTCACTCCGTCGAGTCCTTCTCACCGCGGAAACTCGAGGATTGAAAAATCGCGAGGTGGAAAATTGCATCGTACACCATGTCGGACGCGGTCTCGCGTATAAATAATACACAAATAAATCTCTTCAACATTTTTGCGTCGCGCGACGACACCTCAGCTTTCAAGAGGATTCGAATCGCTTTTCTTCGGTGCTTTTTGGACATCCGATGAGAGGACTTGATCTCTGTCAATTTTCTGCAAGCAAATTCTCCCATCGGAGAGCTGCGTTTGAGAAAATGTTGAAACCGCGCTCGGAAACTCGGCGCGTTTGCTACGGCTCGCGTTTAATTCTTCGAATAATAGCCGCCGCGCAACCGGAAATTTTTATTTCAGAGACGCATCAGTCTCTCTTTCTCTCTGTCCCTCTATCGTTTTGGTTTATTTATCGATGTCGCGCCGGGAAAATGAATTTACGCCGAGATTCGCGCATAATACCGGCCTGCTGACAGAACTGGAGCAGCAATTGTCACGATGTAATGCATCGCGCCCGCGTCACCGCGCATTATTAAAGTCGGACTTATAAATGCACAGCCCAAGTATTTTCCTATTACTCGCCTGTGTGTTAACGGCGACGTGGCTGATGTGTCGGCGCGGCGAGAGGAGAGCGGGGGAGAAATTCCGGAGAGTTGCGTTATCGCGCAAAACGCGGCGATATCGAACCGCTCGACGCAACGGCAATTCCGCGTGTCACTTTGCTGCCCGACAATTACCGGGTGAGGCGATCTTTCTCTCTCTCTCTCTCTCTCTCTCTCTCTCTTTCTCCCTGACGGTTTTACCGTTCCTTTATTTATGCCCGTTGATCGCTGCTCGAATATTTCCAGCCGAGAGGAAAGAAAGACAGCGCGGGAATGCACGTGTGTGCACACGCGAGCACGCGCGGCTGCGGGACGAGAGCGGGTTGACGAGGTCGGCCGAATGCCGTTAGACCGTGTCACGACGCGACTACATACGCGCTGCGTGAAACATCGTCGCCTAGGAGAAGCAGAGACCAACGCTCCGAGCGGGAGGGGGCAGACGGAGACAGCGGACAAAGAGAGAGTTCCAGGATCGGAATCTGCACGATCCCGACCGCTTCGCGCGAAAAAAAGAACTCGCCGAGGTCGATGAAGACCAGGCGGATGTCGAGCGAGAGAGCGAATAAAATAAAATAAAATGAAAAAAAAATGTCAATCGTCCAATCATCGGGGAATGTCACCGTCGTCACCGACATATCTTTCGACAGACGGACTCCATTTTGCAACGATAATTACGTTTTAGCGTCGTCGTCTGCTTCTTCGCGCAGCTTCTTCATCGTACGGTACAACAACGCGCCACGACGACATCGTCCCGGAGCGAAAATTCGAAAATCCTCGTGGACGACGCGATCGCAACCGGTTCGACTGTCGTCGGCGTTTATTTTTCCCCCGACCGCACGGTGCGTGCCTCGCGTGACGCAACTCCCTCGACACGTATCGGCCCTCGGGGCATCGGACGGAGAGATGCACCGTGGCCCGGCGCGTCCTGCGCGCGAAACTAGGACACGCAGCCGACCGTCGGCGCGGTGTCTCTCCTCCTCCGGTGCCCCTCCTTAATTCCTTCGCACCCGCGGATCTTGGGCGACGCGCGATCCCAAGCGAGTTTCGGTCGTCGTCGCACGCGCGCTCCAGCAGGAGAGAGACAGAGAGAGGAAGAGAGATATCTCCGAGAGATCGATTCCAGCGGCCCCCCGGAATCGGGGGAGGGATCTATTTTGACCCAGAAAGCGGATCCGACCGGCTGGGATCGCGACTCGCGAACCGCGACTCGCACATTCGCGCGCACATATTCAAATGCAAAACTTCGGTCGCAACGCACGCGTTTTCGCGCCGATCGCCGGCGATGCAGCACGCTGCACGGCTCTCATGAATAATTTAATGCTCGACATAGTTTCATTGTCGTGCGTCAAATGCCATTGTGTACACACGCGGATCCCGCGTCGGTGCCCATCATCGTTACGCACATTCCTCGCGCTTCATTACCAAGTGAAAAAGGGAGATTAGGGCGCGAGAGAGAGAGAGAGAGAGAGAGAGAGAGAGAGAGAGAGAGAGAGAACGACACGCGCGACCAGATCCCTCGCTGATCGCACGGTTTTGTCGCGCTGCTAAATAGCAAGCGATCTTTCTCTCCCTCTCTCTCTCTCTCTCTCTCCGTCTCTCAATCGCGATTTGATGTCGACACGAAGCGTGAGCTGGGAATTTTCCTGGAAATAATTTGAGCGACGATACCAGCCCGCGAGATACCAGAGTCGCATACTTTCCAAAGGATCGGTCACCGCGAGATGCCCGCGCAAAAAGCCGAGAAAGTTTGAAAGTAACCCAGCATCATCTTTTTTCAAGCGGCTCTAGCTTGGGAGGCAGGGCTATGGGGGACAAGATACACTTTAAACGCGCGGCTGTAATCTTATATAATCTCTCTCTCTCTTTCTTTAGCGGAGAATAAAAATATTCATGATGATTAGAAAAATACAAGAGGTTGACGAGTTTGCTCTTTGCATCGTCTTGTAACCAAGCTTCTAACATTCAATGAAACGACGCAGGTGCGAGTGCGAGCGACATTAACGCACGAGCGAGACAGTACGACGAGCCGGCCAGGTATCAGAAGAATGAGATACACAAAGGACTATGTGTTTCCGCAAAGAGCGAGGGAATAGCGCGTGGAATCTTGCCTGCATCGCTTCGGCATCGTTTGCATCCTGTTCCGCCGCTGCGTCTGCCCAACGGCGTGCGCGTCTCTCCCTCGAAGTAAACGGCAAACTAGCGAGTAAATGGCCTTGAGCGGCGGCACGCGGTCCTCTCTCGTCTGATTCTCTTCGTCGGCTTCTTCTCCCGTCCGATCGCGGCACAATTTCAACACCGATCCGATTCCGCACACGGCGTCGCGAGCTCGTAATTTCCGGAGTCAACCGCGCCGAGATGACGCGCGCACTGCGTGTCCCACAGTGTCGGTCGAACTGAATTTCACGCTGCCACGGCTCCGTCTCTTTATGCTTCACCTGGCGTGTGCAGGTGTGCTGCTTGCAGGTGGCACCACCTTCCGAGCGACCATGTCTCTTGGTCGCTTACCGATCCTGCCGCACGTCCTGCGAAACGATCGCGCGACGGCGACGGTGGAGGATTCGCTTAGGAAGAAAGGAGCGGGCGTTCAGAGTGCTGAAACGGCAGGTCGAGGGATTTAGACGAGATAAATAAAGAAAAACGAGCACACTTATTGCGAGAAAATATAGCAACCTTGCGCGACGTTGATACAATAAAATTTATTCGCCAGTAGCAATCTATACAGCCTGTACAACGCAAGCACGAACAATTAAATATTGTATTGCTTTAGAAAACGTTCCTCCGCCTTGCTGGATTTAACGAGTATGAGGAACGTTGGCATGCCGTGACGGACTGTGAAGCTGAAAAACAAATTTTCACATTTTAATGACAATTCTTGCACGTTCTCATCGATAAGGAAATATTGTCTCACCGTTCGTCTTGCAATATTTTGCCTAATGTCTGCTGAACATTTATCACATGGATAGAAAGTTCCTTCTTGCCTTCAAAATATACATTTATATTTTCGACGTTATACTCATGTTTCGTGTCCCATTCAGGGGGCACACTCAATATGTCTGTCAATTGTTCTAGGAATCTGCAAAAACAATAGGGAAATGTATCCTAACAATAAAGTAATATATGTGACTGAGGAAAAGAGAGAATTTTGCAAGTTGGAAACATACAATGTGTCTTCGTGAAATCCTTGCACAAAGTCACTTTGCATTGACTCTGGATATAAAATTAACACTGGCCATAACAGCCTGTTATTTGTGTCCAACTCTACTCTTTTTTGCGGTATGTGTGACTCATTGTGGTCCAGATCGCTTAGTTCTATCTTTAGATTGTTACTTGTCTGAATGTTGATACCTCTTTCTAAAACTGCCTTCAATAATTTCTCATCAGCTTTGTTCAATTGTTTCTCTAACCTTGTTTGTTTTCTCTTATCTCTTTCCAAACATGCCTATAGTTATCAATATTGTACAAGGAGTAATATTTTATAATCAAAGTCTACATGTGCATATATATTTATCAATAGTCCTTACTTTTCCAAGCACAGCATCGTTTTGTAATTTCAAAATGTCTTTATCAGTCGCTGCCTTAGCAAGAAGCTTGTCGCACAATTCAATACACTGATCATAATCTTTAAGATGAAAACTGCAAGTGGCAGCTCGAAGTAAGGCTTTGGGGTATTCTTGTTTCAAACTTAGAGCAAGTTTACAGTCGTTTAAACTTGACCTGTAATTTTGTTATTGAATTATACAATAGTGCCCACTAAATATGTCGATCATTTAATACACACAATTATCAAACTTTGTACCTATAATTTTTCAACATGAAATGGGCAACTGCTCTGTTATTATAGAGCTGGGCCATCAATTCCTTATCTTTACACTTGGTTTTGATTCCTTCTGTATAACTAAGAATCGCAATCCGATACTTTTTGTGCCTGTAGTTGAAGTTGCCGTCCTCTTTGTAATTATTTGCTAATTCTACACGACACAAGTATGAGAAAGCAGATATATCATGCAGTTGCACATGTGTGTGTGTGTATATCAAAAGCAATTAGAAGCGAGAACAATTTAGGCATGTCGCAGATGACAACGTACCTTCGGGAGTATTTTCGTCCTCTCCGTACTTGAGCTGTTGCAAACCTTCCATCAGTGGGGACAGCTCCTCACCGGGTTTCGGCGCGGTACTCATGAAGAACGGATGCTTGTCCATTTCTTCTTGCCATTTGTCCTCCGACCATCCTTCCGTATATTTCTTTTTTTCCAGGTTGTCTATGTACTCGTCCAATTCGGCATCCAACTTGGTGGCGAGTGCTAAACGCTCCTCGTCCGTCCAGGTTTTCTTCTTATCGAGCGTTTCCATTCCTCGTTTCCATTCGTCGAAACGAATACTTTTGCGTCTCGAGCCCACGAAAACTGACCGTTGTTAAAATAAAGATTGATCAAAAATATTATACGTGATTTGCGCTTCAAATATTGTTCAACGGAATGAACATAACCGCAAAAAACTATCGTACTCGTCTCGGGGACCACATGAATGTAATTGACAACGATAAGCCCTTCTGTTTTTATCGACCGAGCGCTACTTCACCTCGAGATGGCGTCACTTGGGCTTCCGAAGAATTTTTGAATCTCAAGCGCATTTCACGTTCACTACCTTACGTAGTACGTATACGAATGTTTTATTACTTGCATTGATTTATTGTAGAAACTCGACGCAATTGTACTTACGACGAACAAGTGCCTGGTAAATCGCGACTTGAATACCGCAGACAAATCAGCCGCGGAACGGATTGTCACGTGACACAATCTGCTGCGATGTCGACTCGCTAAGGGGATATTCTGCGTGCGAATTGTCATCACCCAGGAGCACCAAAGGTAAGCTTCGCACGTCGATCGTGAATCGGCTGCCGAGAGTAAGTATTCCACCAGATTCCACAAAACAGGCGGGGGGTGTGTCGGGGGTGTCGCACAGATTATGATGCGCGGTGCCGACGATTTAAGTCGACGTCGTTTACAATCTCGATCTGTCAACGAACATTTTAACGCGAATTATCGCCGAGAATAAGTTTAGCCCATTTTCCGAGATGAAATATTGTTACAAATTTCTTGAGAACATACCTCGCGTAACAGAAGCGTCGGCGTCCATCGGCGTGCCTCGAGAATCGTAATCGTCGCAGTTCCGGAATATGGCGGCCTTTCCGGCACGGGTCATGGCGGGGCGATAACGTATCCGAAAAGCCAGCCCGTATCTTTCGCGATGTCGTCTGGCTAAAAGCGAGTGTCACGCAAGATTTGTCGTCTCCGGGGAGCACCAGAGGTAAGCTTTGCGCTTCGATCGTAAATCAACCGCCGAAAGTGAGTATTTCGCGAAATTAGCCGTCGGAAGCGTCGCGCAAGGTATTACAGGTTATGATACGCGATGCCGGCGATCCAAATCGATGCAATTTTATTAATGAACTCGTCATCGAGAAATTCGACGCGAATCATCACCGATGACGACGAAAACAAGTTTCGTGCGCTTTTCGAGACGAAATTATTACATAGGAAGCTACTGAAAGTATATCTCGCAAATATCGATACGCATCGGTACTTCGAGAATCGCAATCGTCACAGTTCCAGAATATGGCGGCCTTTCCGAGACGGATCGCGGAGCGGCAAAGACATATTCGAGGAGCCATCCGGTATCTTTTGCGATGTTGACTGGTTAAGAGCAAATTCCGCGTGCGAATTGTCATCTCCGGGGAGCGCCAGAGGTAAGCTTTGCGCTCCGATGATGAGTATTTCGCGAGGTAGCCATCGGAAATATTACGCGCGAGATCGAAGGTTATGATGCGCGGCATTGACGATCCAAATCGATGTCGTTCACATCCCCAAACTGTTAATGAATAATGACGCGAATTATCGTCGATGACGACGAGAACAAGTTTCGTGCGCTTTTCGAGATAAAAAATCACTAGAAAGTTACTCGAAATTACATCTCACGTAACAAAAGTGTCGATGCGCATCGGTGCTCGGAGAATCGCAATCGTTTCAGTTTCGGGACATGGTGGGCTTTTCGGCACGGATGATAGCATTGACATATCCGAAAAGCCGTCCCGTATCTGTCGTGACTTCGACTCGCCAAGAACGAGTGTCGGGCGCGAATTGTCGCCGGGAGTGCCGAAGGTAAGCTCGACACGTCGATTGTCAGTCAGCCGGCACAAGCGAATATTGCGCGAAATAGGCTGTCGGGAATGTCGCGCAAAGTATCGAGGTTATGGTACGTGACGGTCGGGATCCAAATCGATAGCGTTTACATCGTCAGCCTGCCGACGGCATGTTTGACGCGAGTCGTCGCCGTGATTGACGCAAGTTTCGATCTTAAAGCTGAGGTACGTACATATAGATGAACCTAGTCAAACCATACATGTTAAGTGTTTGTTTCTCATTTCCCATGCGTTTATTTATCGTCATGTATCTCTGCCTCGTGTGTAAGCAGAATGAATGTGCTCAACCCTCGATAAAAATTACTACTCTCATCGTGAAAGTACTCGCGCGCGCAGCAGTCACTGTAAGAATCGCGATCGTCTCGTGTCCCCTCGCAATCTCGACTCGCCGGCGACGATTCCGTCCGTCGCTGGGAGTGCCGAGCTGCCGAGAGCGAGAGCGGGCGTGTGCGATGATCGAGATAAGCGGCCGCTGGAAGTGAGCATCTCACGGGCGACCGAGCCGAGAGTGTAGAGTTTCGCGCATTACGGCAATTTCGAGCGGCTTTGCAAATCGCCGCCGCGATTACACCACGTTGTGCGAGTCGAGTCGTCCGTCCGAAATATCGCCGATCGCACGCGAGCTCGCGCCTCCGCGTAGCTTCCCGCTTCGCGGGAATAATCCCGTCGGATTGTCGCTCGGCGAGCGCGCGCCCCCGTAAAAGCCCGTATCGAAAGTTGGGGCACACCGAGGAAGAAACGAAGCCGCAAAACGCACGTCGATCTACCCGCTTGGCTACTGCTAGTAGTAGGTTAGGGTGGTGGTGCGGCGCCGCGGCAATATAGCACATAGGTGGTGTAGGAGAACAGGGAGAGTGGAAACGCGGTGGCGACCGAGCGAGAGGCTTCGTGCGTTTCCGTCAGCACTCGGCCGGGTAGCCTCTTTGTGTTCGGGTAGGGGCAAGATGGCGCTCGGTGAAAGCCGGGCAGCTATTGGTCGATCGCGCTGCGGCCGCCAGTCTCCCGAGAACAGTCGCAAACACGGCATCGCGGCGGATCGAGCGATCGAAGAGCTGGCGTCGTCGTCGTTCTCGTTGTCCGCGGACGGTACGGCGAAAAAAATATAAGGCAAAACACACTCCTCGCTCCTTCGTCGCGGCGGCGGCGAGTGTAACAGACGTAGGTCGTGCGCGACTTGTGATACGGACGAGAGAAAGAGCAAGAGAGCGAGAGAGGAGAGGGCGAGAGCGAGCGACAGAAAGAGGGCGAGCTTCGTGGCTGTCGTCGCCGTCGTAACATTGTGCGCGAAGCCGCATCGACGCGCGCGGCTGCGAGAACGAACGAACGAACGAACGAACGAAAAGAGAGAACGAGGAACCGCGCGTCCTCGTAGTCGTCGGTATTGTGAAGTTAGCAGTGTTAAAAATCTCGAGTCGAGTCGTGGGTCGCCGTAGTCGCTGACCGCGCGGGCGGCTGTGGTCGCGTCGTCCGCGAGACCCTGTCGTGCTACCCTGTCGCGTTCGTGGTCGCGAGTGCGTGTACGGATCACAGTGCCAACGGTAGCAGTGTGCAAGCGCCAAGTGCGCCTTGTCCGTTGTCAAGTGTGCGTCTTCGTGGTTGTCGTCGTCGCTGCTGCTGCTCGGAGCTGGATTTATCAGGCGCGGCGTCGTCGTCTCTCCCCCAGCCACGCGTTTCGCCACCCTTCATCACCAACGCTCGGCACACTCGGACTTGCTGTAGTATCGGTGAGTGCAAATCTAATTCATACATACACAAGAGAGGCGCACGAGCCGTCGACGAGATCGCTCGCGTCGATCGCTGCTCCCTGTGCGCCGATGCGTGTCCCCGTGCGTGCGTGCATGCGTGTTTACGGTATCACTCGAATGTGCGTACGGTCGTGTGTACGCAGGGCGGAAAATCGGAATAGCGGTGGGTGGTGCTTTCTCTGCGCGGCGAGTTGGCGTGCTTCTCTCTCTCTCTCCTCTCTCTCTCTCTCTCTCTCTCTCTCTCTCTCTCTCTCTCTCTCTCTCTCTCTCTCTCTCACACACACACACACACACACACACACTCTCTCTCTCTCTCTCTCTCTCTCTCTCACTCTCTCTCTCTCTCTCTCTCTCTCTCTCTCTCTCTCTCTCGTAAATCCGCCACTCGCGCGGTAATCGAGATCGTTCGTTGCTCCGAATTGATGTCGCGGCGCACTTTTTATAACGCACGAGTACGCCGCGCATTGTTTTTTTCCTTTCGACCTCTCCGTCCCCCTTTGTTTTCCTCGATTGTCCGCTCGCACTTGCGATACCGCGTCCTTCAACGTACGCTTCCGGATGTCCACAGTTCGGCCATTGCGAGCGAGCGTGAGTCCCGTGTAATGAGGGGGTGCCTTCTTTTCGTATCGACACGGGCATCGCGGGATTCGCACCCCCGTCGTAGTGCGGTGGTGCATGTTTGTGCGTGTGCAAACGTGGGGTTGCGGCGACCGCTCCTTTCTCGAGCGAAGAGGCTGCCCGCGTCACGGGAGAGTCTCTCCTCCGGCGTCCCTCTCTCTCTCTCTTTCTCTCTCTTGATCGCGTCGACCGAACGTCGACACTCGCACCAGCACTTGTAATCTGCGCGAAAGTGCCATTTTTCCTCCGCGAATAAAGGGTAAGCGTGAGAAAGCACGCAGCTGCGAGAAGAGCGCTCGCTCGCGAGTTTGATTTCTCTTTAATCTCGTGGAAATTTCGTAGAAATCGGCCGAGAAAGTTGACGAAAAAGCCTTCCTCCCTTTCCCTCCCGACGCCGCGCCGCCGTCGGGGAAAAGTCCATTTATTGTTGTACACACCACCACTGCGCTGGTGGCCGCTGGTTGTAATGAGAGTATGCGCGTTGCGCGATCAATTTCGGAAGATCTGCCCCGGTAGTACGCCGCGAAAGATGTCGCGCCACCCCCTGTCGCTGTCGCGGTAGTTTATTATCCCTAAGTGCTGCTCCGAAGTGCCGCTCTCTTCTGCCTCTCTTTTCCCTCCAGCTTACAAGCCGTCTCTCCGCTCGCTCGCTCGCTCGCTCGCTCCCGCTGTTCTCTTTCTGCCGGCGAGATACACTCGTCACGCTCTCTCGTACTTATTTTATACGCGCACGCGTCCGCGCGCGTTTATGCGATGAATGAGAAATGGGCCGTGCCTCTCTTTCTCTCTCTCTCTCCCCCGTCCCCCCCTTCTCTCGGTGGGAACCAGTTCCGATTTACGCGGTTACGCGTCATATGCTTATTACGCGGCACACCTCTCGGCTCCTCTCTCGAGGAGGCTGCGACTCGCGCGTAACGTTATCGTCCTGACGGAAATTTTACTAGCGACGGCGAGACGCGTCCTCCGTGTCCTCCGCGACG